CCAATATGTCTGTGCGAGCTGTCTCAGGCGTTGTTCTTCCCTATCCAGCATTGATTGGCTATCCTTTTGCTCAAACAGTTTGGACAGCTGATCAGCTAGGCGGGAGTCTGTGGAGGATGTGTTGGCATTCATCTGTGCCTGGCGGAGTTTTGACATCTCCTCATCCTTCTGCTCAAGTCTGCGCCATAATTCCGCAATGAGGTCGTGGCTAGACTTCTTAGCAGGTCGTTGAGCAGCTTGGGTAGACTGCTCAGGCCTTTCAGACACTTGAGGCCTTTCCAGAGCCTTTGCCCGATGAAAGTCTTGTTCCTGAGGCTGGGGGCTTGATTGGTCCCCCCCTCGAATCGGTGTCGATGGTGTGTCGTCAGGGAATCCTCCCTGAGTAGTCGTCTCGTCGACGGGGTAATCACCTGGAGTAGGCGTTGTGTGGTCGTCAATATCCATTGAATCAGCCTGTTGGTGGCTATCATGCTGGATAGTTTGTGGGGTTGGCACCTGGGTAACTGGTGCCATCTTGGCCTTTCGGGGGGCCATATCGACGCAGAGGCAGTGGAATCAACTGTTATCGTCGGCGTCATAGTCAATTTTTGATTGATTGATATCGGAGCGCTTCAGTATGGATATAAAGCTTTTCCGACGAAAAACGTTTTCAGGGATAAACAGAGTGTACGATAGCGATTGATTCTTATAGGCAAATAGCGTAAACTGTTAGGCCAAACAAGAATAGCTCACTAAAGGAACCAACACATATATCGCTCTTCCCTTTATCGAGCAAGAGGGCTCATAACCTTTTGGTGTGTGGTGAATGGTTGATTGGTTTATGGCCTATCGGCTGAGCTAACTATATAAACTACCGGGCAGAAAGCGAGGGCGGTCAGACACGTGACCCGATGGGTACTAACATCTCCGCTATCTTATCGCAACGACCCCAAAAGTTCGACGAAGACAAAGAAACCTCTGCAAGCATACATACAAAAACCACCAATCAGAATGCCTGACAATATTTCAAATCAAACCGCAACCCCCGACTCCCTCATCAACCGCGATGCCTCGATAAAATACTGGAACGACATGCCCGCAACCGCAGGCGGCATGCTCGCCATGCTCGGCTCGTATCCCTGGTATACCCGCATCGACCTCCGCGGCTCGAAAGCCTTCCTCGCCAAAGCCCGTCGCTTGGTACCTGGCTGCTCAACAGAGGGCAAGATAACGCAAGCTGTTGATTGCGGTGCGGGAGTCGGGCGCGTGACGGAGGGGTTCCTCAGCCATGTGTGCGAGAAGGTTGATGCGGTGGAGCCGGTGGGCAAGTTCACGGACGTCATACACGAGAGTCAATTAAAGAAAGATGGTGTTGTGGGGGATATATACACAATGGGTATTGAGGATTGGTATCCGGAGAAGAAATATGATTTAATCTGGACGCAGTGGTGTGTGGGACATCTGACAGATGCGCAATTGGTTGATTATATCGTGCGGTGTCGGGAGGCTTTAAATGAGACGGGGATTTTGGTGTTGAAGGAGAATTTGTCGACGGACTCAGATGGGGAGGATATGTATGATGATGAGGATAGCAGTGTGACGAGAACGGATGAGAAGTTTAGGAAGATCTTCAAGGAGACTGGGATGAATGTTATCTCGTCTGAGATCCAGGGTGGCATTCCGAAGACGATGAAACTGCTGCCCGTTAGGATGTATGCTTTGCGCCCGATGAGCGCGTTGCGATAGACCTATCTTTATGCTGCGGCGGGCGTCTCATATTCATGATCCATAATGACATGCCTCATTAACATAAATAGAACCGATCTTCGCAAGAATAAATTCATGGAAATACACAAAAGGTACCTGCTATATCAACAAAACTTGTAGATCCGGCATCATATATATACCCTTCAATGCTCCAATGAACAGGATGGTTCGCTCAAGCATATCCAAAAACGCTGTCATATACCCAAGCCATCACTCAGTATCGGTATCTTCCCAAGCAACCGCATTCAATGCACCTTCACACAACGACTTGATCTGCTTCCATCTGTTCAATATCATTGATACCCTCGTATTCCGGCGCTCATCTTGCCCAGCGGCAATGTTCGCCTCAAGACTTTCAATTGACATCTCGCATTCTTTCAGGTAAGCGTTAATCCAGTCGGAGATGATCTCGGCTGTCTTCTGTGTATCAACGCCCTCGTCCGAATTGCTTTCCATGATGTGCGGCCAATTTTGGCGGTCCATGTATTTCATGCATGCGACTGCCCCGATGCGGCGGCAAGGTCCCTCTGAGGTGATTTCGTAGTTGCTGCCCAACGAGACCCATGTTAATTTGGATACTGTAAATGTAACCAGAAGGCACGTACCCATAGTATTCCCACTGCTTCAGCTCTTCTTCATCAGCTGGGCTCAGTTCTCGGAATATGATACCGTCTAGGTATACTGCGTCGCACACATTTTGGTCGAGAAAAAAGCCATCTGGTTGTCGTTAGTCTCCCATTTAGCTAAAAAGGTGAATGCAGCTTACACTCAATCAAGAGAAAGTCATTTGTGTGTGCGCCGTAGCTGATGTATATTTCCTCATCCTTTTCTGGAACGCGATGTCAGCTGCTATGTCCTTCTACTACTGATACGGGGTATTACCAATCCGTCGATTCGCCTTGAAAGTGTAATCCGTAGGTCTGAACGCGACATCACAAGTCTTCCTTTTGTCAGTGCTTCGCTATGGCGCATCTATGTCGGAGATACACACCCATTCATCCGAATGATTGAGGTAATCCACAAAAGGCACCAACCCTAGAGCATCATTCCAATCCTCCGGATCCTCCTTTCCTGGACCAACATAATAAAAGCTCCTCGTGTTAACAATACACCAATTATACGAAAAAGAATCCCAGTTCATATCAGGGATCACAGAAACAACATCCTCCCACGAACGCTGAAGACGCGTCCGTTGTCGGGAGAGGATATTCTGATATATCTCTTTATCACCTTCGCCCAATGGATTCGCCTGGGATGTTTCCGAGATCCCAGAAGCAGAAGGTGGTAGGATAATCCCACCAGCTCCTGAATCGCTCTGCGACAATTCGGGCCATAATAGGGGCATACTATCTTCGAATACCTGTCGACTCGGCCATACTTTACGCCATGCATCCCATTTCTTGAGCGATCTCCTATCGCCGTGAGTGAGATATGCAGCAAGAATAGCTTGGGTCGGAGTACCGGTTCGGAACTTCTTGACAAAAGTTGATGGGATACTGTCAACTGTCAACATCACTGACGATGGAATTATGATAATCGTCTCATCTTCCTTGAACAGATCGATTAGTCGAATGTTTCCCCCGTTGTATGGACATGCTTGTGCTCACTTCTATCGTTCTGGTTGCCACCATCCCAAGACCTCGACCGGGGAATCGGGCTGGAGTGACGCCACGGACTTCAGCGCCATGGGATATCGCCCATTCCATGCACTCAAGGTGCTCTTTTGGTAAGCCATCTGTTGCCATCGTATAAATATACTCTGGGGTTCGTACAATCGATGAGACGCGTCGCGATGAAGATAAACGAAAGTCACGTGAATCACGTGGAAGCGGAATATTTACATTCCGATCGCCGTGAAATTGGGGCTTAGGGCTGGCTCATGAAAAGATGACAGACATTCAAAGAATATGATGATGTCAAAGTTTGTAGCCTAGCATTTGCCTATAAATATCTAGAGAGCATTCCAAATATAATTAGTCCAACAAACTTGAACTATCCAACTATTGAAACTACTACTACGATTTGACGATCATCTACAGAACGTATCACAGAATGGAAGAACAATACCTTCCTGAATTCCACTGCCTCGGTCGAGGCTCTTGCGGAAGCGCCTGCGCAGAATCAGAGCGCGGGTCGGCGTTCAAGAGAGAAGATGGCTCGACGAGCCGATCTTCGCAGAATGACTTCGGCGTGCACCGGCGTGTACTTGAGAGCATAAACCGACTGATGGAAATCAAGAAGACTAGAATCTTACCTGCTAAGCGCGATGGGTTTCCGCAGATACAAGTCCCAGAATGCCGCAATTTTGTTCCACCACGTGATCACTGGTGGACGGCTAATGTCTCGAGGTTCAGGGCAGATTACCAGCCTTGCAACGCTCTCGAGTCTCAGCGTATCCCACCATTCCCCGACGCGACAAGAGATCTGCTGATCCAGAACTACCGTACACCCGAGAATAGGCATCAGGCCAGCGCACACAAAGCTAACCACGACTGCCTGATCAGACCATACCTGGGCCGGTGATGGATACGCAAAGAGCCCTCGAAATCCATCTCTCTCAGGAAGTATTCGTTCCATGTAGACCAGATGGAAGACATTGGCTTGTCGTCCCATGATATCAGCTTCTATGCCCGGACCTTGGCAGAGGCTTTGGCTACGCTGTACTGGATTGGAAAGGTGTACGGGAATGATGTTGAATTTGTCTTGGCGCCTCCGGATGGACAGCAGCGGGAAGATACCATGTCGAATATCCTGGGTGAGCATACCATGTGAATGCTTGACTTCGACCTGTGTATAGACATGGGAATGGACGAAGAGGGCGTGCGGAAGGCTGTTCGGGCGTATTGACGCAACGATCCGTTTCATCCTCGCCCGGGTAAGGAACCGTGGAAGGAGTTCCGGGAGAAGTATCTGCAAACTAGCCACGAGATCTGTGAAAGTTCAGAACTACTGGGACTTTCAAAATTGTTCATCGACTTTATCAAACAAGGAATAAAGGACTAGATAGTTAATGCAGTGAATGTCATACTTGCTCATGAATAGTTCCGCAGTCTGAGCGCTTTTATTCACGTAGACTCGCAACGTATATAACTACACAGAATCTTTCCCCTCTAGCCATCTCTTTTCTTCTTTTTACCGGTACTAGACAATCCATTCTATATTGCATCGATATGGAATATGGCAACTAGACAAAACAAACATGCCAGCGTATGGCCTACGTGTCAGTCCCTAGCATCTATTGAGCCACTGTGCTTTATCTAAGTTTCTACTATTTTACTTATCTCAGAACGCCCTAGGGACAATTGACATAGGCGCTCACTATTCCACTGAGCTTCGGGCACTGATATCTGCAGCAGCCCGTTCTTAATACCTATCCCCCCACGAACGCCCCGTCTCCGATAACTACATCTCTGTGATGAAGGCTTCCATAGCACTCGTTCCAAAGCATTGTAGCATGTACGCAGTTCAGTACGGCCACTGTTTGTTCGAGAGCTAAGCTCGGTGACGGGGCGGTCATTCCCCGCTCATTTACGAAGGAACTACAAAAACAGTCCCACACGAAATGCGTTTCAAGGGCTTATACGGTCCATTTCCTTTTGGATACAGCGTTTCGAGGCGATGAGAAAAACAGGAATATAGCAAATACGTTGCGACACAGTGATAACGTGGATATTTTGCCGGTGTGCAATTACCTAGAGGACAATACACTGTCACGCAAACCGTCAAAATGGAGTCTTAAGGTGAAGTTGACTTCTCGGATGATTAGCCACTCCCATACCGAAGAAAAAACGAGTGCACACTTACCATCCTGCTCCAGGTTATCAGCGAAATATAATGTGTCATCCTCTCCCGGGGGATGCGATTCTGCCATTTTGGCCATGACAGTCCATGATGGCTGGTCATTGTCGACCGAAGTGATCTTTTTGGTGGTGCACGTGACTTCAAAATTGAGATATTACTAAGCAACTGTATAGTTTTCATTCAGTGAGAAAATCTGTAGAAGTCTGGGTGGAAGAAGATACTGTTTGCTGGATTGAGAAAAAAGGTTGAATAGGAGGCCATGTGAATGTGATGCTTTAATGGACAATTGTGCCCCCTCCTCGTACTTCCCCACATCTTCGTCTATCCTGCTATTGCAAGTCAGGCTCATCTCGCGCCAAATTAGTGTCATTGTACCTCTTTAGTCAAACGAAGCTCATCAGAGAGGTATCCGTATTAATTATTTGATATGCAGGTATGTCAGATTAAAGAGAGGTACGATATCAAAATGTGTCTCGCGTGTTTGAGCATGCAATAATTGGAAACATATTCCGCAGTACATGCCTCTCTCGAACCCACGGAAAGCTTAGACACCAGGGCCTTTGATCTTATAGCGACCTCAAAGCGTCTTCAACCACCCAAACCCGGTACATTTTTATGCGCATGGACATCGACTGTCGGCTTAGATCTACCAGACATTGTGTATGAAAGATTCAATGTGCCACGAGTCGCGTAGCATGCAAGCAGAGACTCCGACTTTTGGAAAGAGGAAACTGGGCCTCTTTCTCGACACTCCAGCGTTTCCACGTGGTCGACGGGAGTTCCTCTACATAATACCAGGAGCGGCCGCCATGTCTTGATTGATCTTACCTGTACACAGACGGCAACTGGAAACAATAACTGTCTCATTCGTCTATACCTGGAAAGTCAATGCTTATCGACCAGGCGAAGCATGTTTTTCACGCTGCGAAATTTCAAAATGCATGCAGACCAAATCACGAAGCTTGACCAAAACGTTTGTCCAGCTGAAAGGGCCTAGAGACCTTTGATTTCGCTTCGCGCAAATGGTTGTGCCTAGCGCATATTTGGAAGTTCATGAAGGATAACGCATGGCCTTACCAGCCATAGGAATACAGAGAACGGCGAATTTCTTGGAATTTTGATTGCCCTTTGATAGAGCTTACAATCGTGAGCCGAACCTCCTACGGCACTGAAGTTATTGGGGATTCCGAGATGCATCAGAACTACGGCAAGGCGTGTCTGAATAGAAGGTTGGGCATCTGTACGCCTGTCCAACTCTGTCACGATGCTGTCAGGTATGCAGACTTGGATGGAAAACGCTCTGGCAGTCCTTCACTGGCATACCGAAATCGACGGCATGGATGTTGAATTTGTACTAGGTAGCCCACTGATAAAAGTGCCATTCACTCTGCCACTCCGTGCACGAAATTGGACGTGCATTAGGTACTAGTACTTTCATGCGCGTCACCAAGGTCGACAATCCAAGTGAGGTCGGAAGTAGGATATTTGGTTAGAAAAACGTACCCTTACGGACTCGCGCATAGATCAGCATGTTGGTCTTCCCTAATAATATGATCAATATCAAGATTTCAAGCAAAAGTATGCCCAAGGTAGCAATATAATTCCGTATTTAAGCATACAAACCAGTGCTGACTAGTAAGATACGACAGCACACCGATGGAGCTAATATAAATTGGAATGTGCATGTTCCCTAACAGTCAATGTCCCCGACGGCGTACAGGAACAACAGCGGTCAGGGCTGTAGGCGTAAAATATATGCCTGGTATTACCGGAAAACTGGGTGACGTTTTTGTGCCCGATGAATGCGTTATTTGTGAGTCCGATACGCCCCGATACGTGATACATCTCCACTGTCGCAAGGAGAGGAAGTCATAGCGTGACGAGGCTCAGATGACCTACTGTGTAGTATATCGAGTCATGCCAAACTGCAGCGTGACTTCTGTGACTGTCTATCTTTTTATCTTACTATCTTCTCTATTTTCTGGTATTTGTATGTATCTGTACTTGTATGTATAGAGGCTGTGCCACAGTATCGTACCTCGTAACGTACGGTAAGTGGCTCCCCGCTTTGCATGGAAGTTGGGGTTAGTGGCCGCCACCAAGTGGGGCTGGAATGGGCTCATCGTCCGATCAGCCGATAAGAAGCGCCGATAAGCCGTGTGGCGATACACCTTCCATACAGAATACAGTACATGTCGGTAAGAACAGGAACATTTTTTGATAGGTGGATGGTGTCGATTTCAGGGCACAATTATCCTGATTGGTGGGTAATTGGTATAGCCGTATGGGTTATCGGTATAACGGTCAGCTGACCAATACTATCTCCAAACATCTCCTGCTGACACTTTTTTTCTCTCACTTTCCCATCTCTCCATTCCTCTCGAATCCCCCTCCGAATCCTGCCTGTTTCCCTCCTTCGAATCCTCGGCTCTGGACCGTGGTGTTTGCTGGCTTCTTTGCAACCTGAATGATGCCCGAGTGACGTTCGCGTATACCACGACTACTAATCCGTACAGTACTCTCGCGGTTTCGGCTCCCCGGTTTCTCACGGCTTCGTCGTTCCATGGTACATTTCTAACCGAGAAACGCCTCCAATATCGGTCTCGGCCAATCTGCCCGAGTCGCCTGCGGTCCGCAACTTTCGCTTGTCTTCGCTCTTTGCCGGCTGGCGAATTTGATTATCAAATTTGGCCTCTTGACCTGTGCGATCCGGGATACTTTGGACATACATTGAATCACTCCACATCTGCTTTCAGGAACACTTTCGTTATCAATCGTCTTTTTTAAGGTTGCGGAAAGAAACTTATGAGCATAACGATATCGTTACTATGGATGTTTAAGAGAACCGTCATTGCGGAGTTCCCGCGTGTTGTCATCGAATTGTCGCATTGGGTCTTGGACCCTTATATCTGCTTTTCACTGCCTGCGAAAAGGATTCCGGAGTTCTTTCTTCTTTCTTTTCTTCGTCAATTGCGAGAAAGTCCCCGTGATTTTGTTTTACGGACGTCACCATGGCAGTGCCACGAGCTGTGCCTTCGCCGGTGAGTGCGTCTCCGGTGAGTCCGACGAGTCCGGCTTCGTCGAACGGTCAAATCCCACTGGGACAGCCTCCGAAGCTCAAGGGGCGTCGTAAATTGTTACAAAGCCTCCAGCGCATGTCGTCAAGTCCGAGTTTGATCAGACGCGGTCGATCCCATTCAGCCGGTTACCGTCGCGATGGCAAAGCCTCGTTATCCTGCGTTTCCCTTTCTCAATCCGCCTACAATCCGTGTTTGGGGAACGGCAGTTCGTCTCAGGTGTATGGTGGGTTGAATGTTCACCCGGTGACTCCAGGAGTTCCGGGTGAGGAGCAAGACGGAGGTCCGCGGATTCGCGTCGTCGGTACTGATTCCCCCAACGCCTCCCAATTGAGGACAGTGCCTCTTCCGACTGAATTGAGACCGGTATCTCGTGGGTCGCCATGCAATGAGATGGTCGAAGACATCGTTGAAGAGAGCGAATCAGTTGTGCAGCCGGTACCTACCACGCCATCGACCTCATCAAAGAAGACCTTCGATTTCTGGGGCGATATGCCCAACGAGATCAAGATGCGCATCTTCCAGCACTTGACCCCTAAGGAAATAGTCCGCTGCTCATCCGTTTCGAAGATATGGCATGACATGTGCTATGATGGACAATTGTGGGTTAATGTTGATACGACCGACTACTACCATACCATTTCGAGTGATAGTCTCGTGAGACTCATCATGGCGGCTGGTCCGTTCATTCGCAACCTCAATCTCAGGGGTTGTGTGCAATTGCGAGACAAATGGTTGACGGACGGTGATCGCATGTCGGAAACGTGCCGAAATCTGGTCAACCTTTGCCTTGAAGGGAGTCGCATTGACAAGCATACCGTCAATCACTTTCTTCAGCGAAACCCTCGTCTGGAGTACTTGAATGTCACTGGACTTCCAAGTGTGACGGATTCTTCTATGAAGACTATTGCCAATTGCTGCCCTCAGCTCCAAATTTTGAATGTTTCATGGTGCATCAATATCAGTACGAAGGGCTTGAAGAAGGTTGTCACATCGTGTCCCCAGTTGAAGGATCTTCGGGCTAGCGAAATAAGTGGATTTGAAGACGAAGAATTCGCCTTGGGATTGTTCGAGAAGAACACACTCGAACGCTTAGTTATGAGCCGCACAAACCTCACGGATGAGAGCCTGAAGATCCTTATGCAGGGTGTCGATCCGGAAATTGATGTCCTTACCGACCAGCCCATAGTTCCGCCTCGACGGTTCAAACACTTGGACCTCCACCAATGCCCCAACGTAACGGATGATGGCATTGGCAGCATGGCGCACAATGTGCCTGACCTCGAAGGCCTTCAGCTCTCCCAATGCCCCGAGTTGAGTGACGATTCCATCATTGACCTCATCCGCACCACGCCCAAGCTGTCGCATCTCGAGCTTGAGGATTTGGAACACCTGACGAACGATACCCTCATTGCACTTGCCAGATCACCATGTGCCCCCTGCCTAGAACACCTCAACATCAGCTTCTGTGATTCTCTAGGCGACATCGGGATGCTCCAGGTGATGAAGAGCTGCTTAGGGCTCCGTTCAGTTGAAATGGACAACACCCGCGTCTCCGACCTTACCTTAATGGAAGCCAGCTATCGTGTCCGCAGAAGGGGTTACGACAGGAACCTGCCTCAGGTGGGCCTGCACATGGTCGTCTTCGACTGCGCCAATGTCACCTGGGCCGGCGTCAAGGAAGTTCTTTCTAGCAACGCATATATCCCACGAGCCTACAAGAATCAGCAAACAATCGTTACTGTGTCGCAAACCCAGGACTCCGAACAGCCAGCATCGTCAACTAGCCCTTCAACATCCGCTCTCCCCCCCCCACCACCAGTATACCCCAACGAAATCATCCAGCTCAAATGCTTCTACGGCTGGCAGATGACGGTCGATGAACATAAGAAGCGGGTCTTGCGCGGTGACCTCGCTGCAGCGAGCAGACTCGATCGCAAATGGGCGGATTATATGATGGCCACTGAAGAGGCCGGTGCGACCGGCATGGGGGTATGGAGGAGAAGACGTCGCGCGCGCGAGGCTGAGCGGCTCTTTAACACGAATGAAGATGAGGATGTGTATGGTATTGGGGGTATCTCTGCGTTTGGTGGAAGACGTCGGAGAGCGCAGAGTGGTGGAGCTTGCGCTGTGATGTGAGACGCAAGCCCTTTTCGCCCCTTTACCTTCGTCTAAGGCAGGCATCTTATAATACAACATGATGATACTTTTTGGCCTCGTCAGTCTGGAATTGACAACTAACACCTTGATGGTGTTGAACCTGGTCTATGATTTACGATTTCCCTCTTCCTCTTATCCTCTCTCCCTTTCCTTCCTTCATCTACCCTTTTCTTCTTTTTTCTCTCTCACTCTCTCCGGTGTTTTGGGTTGGGTTGGGTTGGGTTGGCGCGATCTGCGTTTTATATTTTGTACGGGGATGTTCAAGCGTGGAGTTTGATTTGGGGCTCATGTGTGGTAGCCATATATGACTTCTATTAGACATTGGATGTTTATGAATTATGACACTTTTCATCAATTGACAAATTTTCGCACGATTACACTTGTAGCAGCTTCCAAGGCCTAAGTGTTGCGATATTCAACTGCAGTGAATGCCACATCTATAGTTCAGACTGCATAGTAAACATTTCCTTCACTGTCACCCATTCCCATCCTAATCCTCTGTTTCTCTGTCCCCATTTCTGATTCCTGGCCATTCAATTCTCAGTCCACCAGGGTCTTGTCAGAACATCAAACTCGTAGCATTCGAAGCCGATAAAAAAGCGAATACAAGCAAGATCGTAGAGTTGGAAGCCGGGATCGAAGCAAAGACTACCAACATCGCAGCTCAGATTAAACGAAACTCAGCATCAAGGAAATGGTGGCCGAAAACAACGGCTTAAATCCCGCCTACCCATTGAGGGAATGAGTGCTTTTGCTCATAGATGTAACGGCTACGCGTCCCAACGTAATCACTGAACGGGTCAACCGTATAATACGCTGGAAAACCGCATCCAAATGTTAAACAAGTCCATCTTGCATGGCGTCCCCAGTTTGTCATGTTCTGGGAGAGACGACCGCAAGCGGAGCTGCGACCATTCAGCCCTGTGTGGCATAAGGCCCGAGGCAATCCTAGAGATTGATAGGTTTCCATAATATCAATCCACCCATACGGGAATTTTGTTGCTAGCATATATCCTTCAAAAGTCTAGCGGCCAAAGGTCCGAAGGCACTACTTAACGTGCTGAACGCAGTCGGAGGAATCCGCCTAAACAACAATCGTCACCTGAAGGTAGAAGAAGAAGAAGAAAATTTTTCGAGGAAATCAAGACATTGCTTGGAGACGGAAGCCTCGAGTAAGCGAAGCACACTTTTCAAATCAAATGTTTACTTCCCTTTTCGATGGGATTTCATAGAATCAGAGCCTATAATGACTGATTACTTGAGGCTAGCACAAATAATGTGCTTAACAAGGCCTTTGCTTTGTGCTACTGGGATGTGTTAGGATGGTGTTTAATATGCAGATGACCACAGGCGGTGCAGTAAGTCTGCTGGTTGTTGTGTTGCTTGGAATCTGCAGGAAACACAAAGGTGCTGGGGGGATGAAGGTTGTCTGGAAGTCCAGCCATATGGGCCCTGGGACATCCGGAATCACATTGAGATGAGATGGGACAACTTATGAGGGCTCTCATTGCGATTACGCTTGCTGAGGAATTACGAATCGAACACTCTACGAAAAAGGATGGCATTCGAACTGAAGTAAAGGGAGATCCAGAAATGGAGGGAAATAACGAGTGTACTTAATTAGCCTGCTTGAGAAGAAAAATGCTGATATCCCGAACTCCTAAACTATGCACATGCGATATATAGCATCTTCTATACACACCATCCTGATACAATATGGTATGGCCTGGTAGAAGCACATTACATCTCGAAGAAACCACCGTCGCTGTCACCATCGTCATCCTCCTGGGCCTTGCGCATGACCGCCTCTTCTCTGGCAGCATTGCGCCTGCTCCTTCTGTTGACGGGCTCCGGCTCCAGCTCCGGCTTCGACTTGGTGCGGCTGTCTTTCTTCTCCGTTGGTTTCTTCGATTCCTTGTTAACCTTCTTGACAACGTCCTTCTTCTTCTTCTCCGTCGTTGTCGATGCCTTCTTCGCGTCTCCTCCACTCTCTCCTGGAGTGCTCAATTTGCCCTCCCGTAGAAGATCGAGCGTTCCCTCTTCCATGCACTTCTCGACGGTAAACCACATGGGAGGCTTCTCCGCATGAGCCAGAGTCATCGTCACAGTGGTATCCTTCTCGTCAGCCCCGGAATGGGTATCATCCGCGGACTCGGGCTGAGAAGGCTTCTTTTGCTTCTGTTCCGCGTAAAGGGAGATGTATTTGTCATTGAGCGGGTAGTAGATTGTGTAGTTAAGGCTGACGCGGGCGGCGTGAACTTTCTCGTGCAGAGACTCGAGGGCTTTCTGGTCTGTAGTTTCCTTTTCGCGGCGCTGGAGACGCTTGAGGTCTTTGGTTGCTGATTTGCGGTCTTTATGCATTCTGTTAGTTATTCTCTCCTTCTCATTGTCAATGGATTAGAGACGTACCCAGGAATCTAACGAAGTGATACTTCTTGATCATCTGTGACCTATCCCGTCTCTGCATCTCATCCTCCAAATCCTTCTCATACCCAGACAACGCTCGTTCCTGCACGATTCGCGCATCAGCGGGCAAGTCCACCTTTTCCAACAGTCGCTTCACAGCACGAATCCGTCTCTTCAATTCATTGACGGAGGGATATTCGTTCTTTTCGCGCTTTTGTGTCCCGAGTTGGATTTTCTTCTTGGCCGGTGGAGCATCATCGGAGGCTTCGCGGTGTTTACGCTTGTAGGCGCTGCGGTCGCGGTGAGCAGGAGATAGGTCTCTGGAATGTCCGTCTTTGGGCATTGTGGCGGTTGTGCTTCGTTATGATATGGGAGTGTTCTGTTTTCGCTGTCGGACAAAAAGATACAAAAATCTAGCGGATCATCAGTCGGTCCGAAGACCCCCAGATCTTGATCGAGCGACCAATCAGAGAGGCGGGTTTTGGATGACGCGCGGGTGGATTCCGGTGCGCTTGGCGGTTATTGGAGCTCTCCATCTATTATCAGATAATCCAGATCTCCAACTTCGTCTCTTATCTCTCTCCGTTTCTATAGAAGGAAGGACAACGGAGCTGTTTCCGGGCGTATGGGTTGTTGTGGTCACTCCCAATGCGCAATTGGCATCATGCAACACCCTTGAGCTTGATCCACCCGAGCTTTGCAAGCTGCACTCCAGGCTGTTGGTAATCAGGAGGGGTACGGCAACTACTCTAAACCGCCATCCTTTTCGTTGAAACTATACATCTGCTGCAAAACACCACCATGGAAGCAGCAATCCGCTGGTCGCAGTCGTCGACCACCACAGAACAACGCTTTCTCCTAGCAGACGTGACAGGCAAATCCTTCCGCCTATGCAAAGTCACAGCCTTCGACGGCAAAAACATCGAGCATGAAGTGCTCTCAACACATACTAAAGTCCCCTCCTTCCGCGCCTTCGACTGGTCCCCCGTGGACGAGTCGCTGGTTGCAGTTGGGCAGTCATCAGGCGACGCGACCATCCTGCGCATGGGCGGGGGCGGCGAGTCTGGGTCTGAGTCTCAGGAGACATTTTCGTTCCCGATTCGCAGTCAGCGGTATTGTAATGCCGTTGCATTTAGTTCCCATGGACTGTTGGCTGCGGGACTGGATCGCGTGAGGAATGACTTTTGTTTAAATATTTGGGATGTTAATCAGCGGCTGTCGATGAGGGGGACGAAGGGGTTTGCGGAGCCGTTGAGGAAATTGGCGAGTTCGGAGCCTATTACTAGTATTAAGTTCTTTCGTGATCAGCCTGATACACTTGTGGCGGGTGTTAAGGGCCAATTTGTGAGGATTTATGATTTGAGAGGTGCGTTTGTGATGCTTTTGTCCATGCTTGACTGGCTTTCTAATGGCTTTCAGAGGGCCCGGGGAATCCATCCCTGCAGTTCCCGACTCGCTGTGTGCATAACTTGGCCATCAACTGGCTTGATGAGAATTACATCGCGTCTTGTTCGTCAGGCAGTGATGCTACTGTCTGTGTTTGGGATCGCCGTGTAGGCTCACACTATACCACACCGGCCATAGGCCCAGGCGCCGCCCTGGAAACTGGTCAGAACGACCATGCCCTCGAGTTCAAAAACGTCCTGGGACCAAAGTCAAGCATCTGGAGTTTGCGCTTCTCTCGGACAAAACGAGGTTGCTTAAGTGTCCTTTCCAACACCGGGCACCTCAAAACTTACGATATTGCCAAGGACTATCTACCTGAAGAATATCGTTCTTCTATAGATGAGACACTTGGCCAGGGCTCTTTGAAGAACTATCCGGAGAAGGTCTACACGAGATACGTGCGCGATGTTTGCAGTCCGTACAACCATCCTTCCCGTGGCTGCAAGGAGTCTGAACGGGTGGTGTCGTTTGATTCGTTGAATATGAGTGCCTCGAATGAACCTAGTGCCATAACGCTTGCTGGAAACGGTGATGTTCAAATAGTCACGCTGCAGCCGCCAGCTCCGCCAGTGCATTTATCCTCTCAAGGGGTTCTGGTGCGCGGAGAATCCAATGGCGAGTCAGACTTCAAAACAATAGGCCCTTCATCACATCCAGACCTACCCATCTCGGAAGTTGTCCAGAGGATCCGCGAGCGTGTTCTGCCCAGTTTAGAGGAAGATAAAGATGGACTGAAGAGTCGACGAGCGAGCGCAGAAGATCAATGTTCAGAACATCTCTCGACTCGCGAATCTCGGGAACGTGACTTGTTGGCTTTTGGCACATTAGGGGAGCAATTGACGGCCGAAGAGGCTTTGACGTTGTTGACCGCTCATAGGCGCCGGTGCAAAGAGGGCTATCTCTTTGATGGCGCCAAAAACAAGCAGATATTGGAGGATGACCCTTACTTACAGGACTTCTGGGAGTGGATGGAGCGTGAGTCTCGTGCGAGTCCAGGGTAAAATGCGTACTGACATGGTGCAGGTGCACGTTTAGACTCAGCTGGTCAGTCGATGATTTTACATGGTTTGGACCTTAATTATCTAGGCATAAACAATGTCTGGAATAATGACTTGGGTATGTTGCTTTGCTTACCAAAGTAGCAACGAACTCCATACTGATAGTATGCAGGAGAAAGTCATCGGAGCCGGCAAATCGGCACCACACCTCAGCTTCCCATTCGTGATGCTATCAACATTTTGGTCCGTGATCAACTTAACTTACCAGAGACGAAAGTCTGCGAAACAAGCGATCCAGCACATCGCCGCCTTTGCCTTCGTCTTTGCGGCGCAGCACTATCGTACCGCGCGCTGGAAGGGCTGGTTAAGACACTATCAGCCGAAAATCAACATACAAAAGCAGCCGCCCTGGCCATATTCCAGGAAGAGCCAAAGCTGGCTTATCTGGCATTACGAAGCCACGAGCCGACCCAAGCCCATAAACTGCTTGCTATGGCGATTGCCGGTGCGGGCAGAAACGAGGCGGATCCGGATTGGGAGGAGACGTGCGCGGAGATCGCGAAGGAGCTTACAGATCCATATGCCCGGGCTATCCTGGCGCTGGTGAGCAAGGGTGACTGGGCTTCAGTGATCCAGGAAATTACCTTACCCCTGAAATATCGTATCGAGGTTGCTTTGCGATGGCTTCCCGATGACGATCTTACTGCATATCTGGAACGGTTGACGACTTCAGTGATCCGTCGAGGCAACATCGAAGGAATCGTCCTTACGGGACTCGGGCATCCAGCACTGGATCTATTCCAATCCTACATCAACACGTTCAACGACGTCCAAACCCCAGTCCTAGCTATGAGCCACACCGTCCCGCGCTTTATCAACAACGAACCCTTCAAAACCCGCTTCGAGGCCTGGTGCGAAACCTTCCGCTGGCAAATGAACTCCTGGAAACTCCAACTCGAGCGCGCCCGGTTCGATGTCGGATCCCGCAAATTCGCCGTCACCTGGGACGGCCGACGCCTAGTCGACCCCCCACGTCAACAGGTCAGCTTAACCTGCAACTACTGCACGAAACCACTCACCCAACACGACCCCTCTTCACAAACATCACCCTCAGCAGGCAATGAAGTCGTCCATCCCACTATCGGCAACCCACTGGGCACAGCAGCGATGTCGGGTATGGTGTGCCCGCGCTGTGGCCGACATATGCCTCGCTGCGGAGTATGCAGTTTCTGGCTGGGCGCTCCGGATCCGATGTCGAGGGCTAGCATCGCCGCTGATGCAGCAGCGGCCCAGGAGCGCAAACCTACAGAGGATGAATTGGTGAAGAGGTTTTTTGTGTTTTGCATTAACTGCAATCATGGGTTCCATGCGCATCATGCGAGGGAGTGGTTTATGAGGCATAAGGTTTGTCCTGTTGCGGAGTGTAATTGTATTTGTGATCGATAGCCGGAGTGCTCGTTTGTTGTTTGCTTTACTTTGGCGGGGTGGATGTTTGGTTTCGGGATATACCCAATACCTGATTATATAGGAGCAAGTTTTATCTCAATTTATTCTTTAGATCTTTAGAGAAATACAACGAGTGTCTTCGGTCATGTTCAAATATGTATGTAGATGGTCCCTCTCACTATCTTATCTGACCGCCCACCGATGATGTCAAAATAAAAAAGAAATACATCCCACCACAACATCTCCTATTCTCACCAACTTGCATTTGAATATTTTAAGCGAAAAAAAAAAAAAAAGCTGCGCGCGTTGATTGTGTTACCTGTACGATCATATAAGTTGAGCCTCTTCGCATTGTATGAATCAGATTTGCCTGAGAGGCACCAGGCCACCACTAACCAATCCAGACAATATTGGAATCCCTGCTAACAGACAAGATTCACTCCACAGGGGACTATTTAGAAGTCAGCAATTTCTACTCAAACCGCTACATCTACCACTTCGATTCTTACAGCGACCTCTCATCCGCCTCGGATCACTACAACAACCACTGCCACTACCACTACTACGACTAAAACCTACAACCCGTACCTTCGCAACAAAGCCCTCATTCCGAAAAACAAGAAACCCTCTATCCAGAAAATGCCCGGAAAACAATATCGCAACCCCAAAAGCAGGGATAACCCCACCCAAGGCCGCGAAATCGCCATCTCCAAAGCCCTGAGCTATATCCTCCGCCATGCGGCCGAGCGCGAGGGTCTGAAGATGGATGCTCAGGGATATGCGAATGTGGCTGATGTGGTATGCTTCGTCAACTGCTAATGGGTATATGGATAGTGGGAGATACTAATGACTAAGATATAGTTGGAATGGCGAAAACTCAAATCCCAGAAAGCGACGTTCCCTGAAATCATTCACGCCGTCGCGTCGTCGGATAAGAAGCGTTTTGCGCTGCTACATATTCCCTCTGATGAAGCCGAGAAGGACGCTGCGCCTACGGAGATCTGCACCACGGAACAGGAGTCGAGTACGGGTACGGGTACAAGTTCCGGTGCGGACGGACAGGAGAATGCGACGCAAAAAGCACTTACGGTGAACGACCCCGACCCAACGAACTTCCTCATCCGGGCTACGCAGGGGCATAGTATCAAGACTGTAGACGCAGCGGCGTTCTTGGAAAAATTGTCGCTTTCGGAGGAGGATAAATTACCGTCGACTGTTGTGCATGGCACGTATCACACTTCGTGGCCGGCGATCTTGGAATCCGGGGGATTGCGCTGCATGGGCCGAAACCATGTGCATTTTGCAACAGGGCCAACGCTCGAGTCTGTTCTCCCGCTGCATATTGATGGGACGAGTCATACCGCCGAAGGATTGAAATCTCTAGGCCTAGACGACGGACGGGTGATCTCGGGCATGCGCAGAGACGCACAAGTCCTGATCTACATAAACCTCCGAAAAGCGCTAGAAGCAGGGTGTCCATTCTGGCGCAGTGAGAACGGGGTCATTCTGAGCGAGGGGCTAGCCTCGAGTAAGGATGACGGGAACGGGAATCGGTTGAGTTTCGTGCCGCTGGAGTTCTTTGATGTTGTTGTTGAGCGGAAGGCTGGGTTGGGGAAGATTTGGGAGGATGGGAAGGGTGTGCAGGAGTTGCCGGCTGAGTTGACGAAGAAGTGGAATCCGAAGGTGAAGAATAATGAGAAGGGGAAGAAGAACGATAAAGGGAAGAATAAAGATAAAGGCAAAGAATAAGAATAAAGGGAGGAAAGATGTTGATGGTGATACCTAAAATATAAAATTCATTGATTTACTGAATCAAAGCCAAGGACCACAACGGAAACTCTTTTGATTTACCTCCCCTCTTTCAAATCCCTACATATTCACCATCTGCAGCGAGCTTTGCCCCCATCTCAGAGACCCCGCCGTGAGAAACCGAAGCCATGGATCTCTACGACAAGCCCAAATATCTCAAGTTGTTCAGTGTGTACTATGCCCAACCGCGCGAGCCGACTACGCGCCCCACTGAGTTGGCTAAACAGCTCGCTTCACGTTACTGTCGACGAGGTCTCAATTTTTGACGCAATCAAAGGGACAGTTAGTGCTGCAGGAAATCACAGAAAAAAAAAAAAAAAAAAAAAAAAAAAAAAAAAAAAAAAAACGAAAAATGAGGCCGCTTGGGTGCAGACTAGGGGAACGGAGACGGATCAGTTGTGTACCAACTGCGCCAACAACTATGGCCCGTTCTTGAGTTGCGTTGCTACCACTTTTAGAGATGGATGTGCGAATTGTCATTTCCTTGGTCTCAGATGTTCGCTCCGTAGATGGTACTGGTCCCTTTACCTTGAGCATCGACTGACTGACATAGCTACATCGCGCTCGTCATCCACCAATTCTCCCGCGCAGTCTCAGTCGGTGACGAGAACTCCGGCAGCTAAGAAGCAGGGCGAGGTACCAACAGCATTTCAATAAGAAGGCCAGAAGGCCAGAAGGCCGAATATGCTAACCTCAAACCGAGCACCAGGGCCAATCACAGGCACCGAAGTCAAACCCCGTTCTTCCTCTACTGAAAACTCCCCGGCGACCAAGAAATCTCGACTGGAAAATTCATCTCCTGCTGGAGCTTCCAGTTTCAGCTTTCGTTCTTTACTTCAACTTGAATTCGATAACAGTCATGCGTCTGCTCCTTCTCCGTCTACTGCTGTTAACGGCGCCCTCTCCCGTCCTCGTCCCGCTTAGTCTAAAGCTGACGGAGCTGTGTTGCAGTGTCCGCTCACTGCTGCCATGTATAAGGGTCCCAACCTACTGCGGAAAGTACACCAGAACTTGATGGGCTTTGTGCGCTTGGTTGAAACTCGCTTGGAGGAGATAGAGATTGCTGAGGACCCGGCGTACGACTTCTGGGGGATTGTTATGGTGCAGATGGGGAAACAGGATTAGGGTGGGAAGGGCGCTGGTAGAATTGGAGATAGGAAAGAATAAGGATAAGGGGAAGAAGCAGCTTGATGAGTGATATCAAGAATATAGAATGTATTCGTTCCCTAAAGTGCTATCAAGGCACAGTCCCGAGTATTCCCAAGAAGGTGACCTACATGCACTGTCAACCTCTCACGTCGTCTTGATACGCGTACGCGTGATATTCTCAGGATAGACGCTTTTCTTTCTTTCTTTCTTTTTTTTTTTTTTTTTTTTTTTTTTTTTTTTTCTTCTGCTCCCTCTGTGAGTCCCTACACACTCACCATCTCCTTTTCAGGGATTCGACCGTTGTCTCAACTACGGAATTACCACCAAACGCAATCGTTCACATGAGACACAAGCACCATAGATTAGAACCTCTCGGGCTTTCGCCGTGTGGCCAGCCTCTTGAGCCCTTGACTGAGCTGGCTAAGAAACTTGCATTGCGCCCTCGTCAGCATCTTCTCAAATTTCGCCTCGACAAGGCAGGACGTCCATTACTTGAGAGTATCGTCGAAGGAGTCAAGAATGAAGCTGCATGGGGCCAAACCAGGGGAGTATTGGCTCCTCATCCGTGTACCCGCTGTGCCTTTGGCCAGGGGCCCTTCTCAACTTGCATTACCGTTGGAAAGCGATGTTCGAACTGTCATTTTGATGGGGCTAGCTGCTCGTTCTGTAAGTCAGCCACTAGCGCGCTGGGTTGGTCGGTGCCTTTGATTAACGGCAATAGTTTCCTCATCCTCGTCAAATTCTACTTCTCGCGCTCTGTTGAAAGATTCTCAATCAACGCCGCTAATGTTTGGAGCTAGGAATGGTCAACCTGAGGTACGAATATAGGTTCCAGCCCCAAGCAAAGGATCGAGAGCCCTAGTACGCTAACCTCCAACCGGGAACTAAGGCCAGCCACAGACAACGATAATCCATTCCGCGTCTATTCAAGGCACACAGGCGTGCAAGAAACTTCGTCTGGATGAAGAAGCGTCCCCTTTCATGGCCCCCGATTTAACCCCATGTCCCTCAGTCTCACCGGAAGCTGATAAAAATCCCTCTACTGCATCCACCACTATTGATAATACCGTTCACTTCTTGTCTGACTCAGTTCAGTGCAGATGGAGCTGTGCTACAGTGCCCGCTGACCGCTTCAACGGTGTATTTTTCAATCCCCTGATAGAGTTACTGGCATATTAAGAAGACTAAATCCATCTAACGATGTCAATTGTACAAGCGCCCTGAGAGGTATAGAAAAAGCGAAAGGCGGTATCCAAGTACATAACAGGCAGAATATGTGCAGGCGGTGTGTCAAACGGTAGCTGTCAACATTCCAACAACCAGCCCAGCTAACCAGAACCCGTCTACATCCGACATCCGACCGACTGCGGGGAATTTGTATCGGATCGAGCCCTGCGGTTCCGTTTCCGACAAGCAGCCGGGACACTTTGCAATTCAAGCTTCCGAACACCAGCTCATAACGGTCCAACAACAAGCGTTGAGAACCAATCCGACAGCAATATGGCTCTGAATGTACGGGGTCACTTTGTCTTCTGGGGAGAATCCGCCGGAACCCAGCGCATTGCCGCCCGTGGACCAATCATGGATTCCGTGATTGCGCCAGGGTCGGGGAATATAAATCGACCTTTTTTCTCTACCTGACTTACTCTACAGTGAACAATTGTAAAATTCCCAAAAGACAGACAAAATGGCCACCCACCGCTTCGACCCCGATTTCACCGACAATGTCATCAAGTCGATGGGCCCTCAGACGCCCGAGCGATTCCGCGAGGTCATGACCAGTTTGATCCGACATGTCCACGACTTTGCGCGCGAGACCAATTTGACCGTTGACGAGTGGATGACCGGTGTTAAGATGATGAATTGGGCTGGGCAGATGAGTGATGACAAGCGGAATGAGGGGCAGCTTCTGTGTGATGTGATCGGACTTGAGTCGTATGTTCCCAACCCCAATATCCAAACATACAGAGAAAGGAACTAACGTGATTAAACGATAGTCTCGTCGACGAAATCACCCACAAACTCGCCCAAGAAGCCGAAGACACCCCCACCGCAACCGCAATCCTAGGCCCCTTCTTCCGCCCCGACACCAAATGGCGCCAGAACGGCGACAACGTCGTCCAAGACGTCAAGGGCGGAGAAATGGTCTTTATGCACGGCCGCGTCGTCGACTTTGTCACCAAGAAGCCGCTTGTGAACGCTACAGTGGAGATGTGGGAGGCGTCGACGAACGGGTTGTACGAGCAGCAGGATCCGGAACAGGTTGAGCATAATCTGCGCGGGAAGTTTAGGACGGATGAAGAGGGGATGTATTCTTATTATTGTTTGCGGCCGACGCCGTATCCGGTGCCGGGTGATGGGCCTGCTGGGAAGGTTTTGAAGCTTATGGATAGGCAACCGTTCCGGCCTGCTCATATTCACATTATTGTATGTCTGCGCCCCTCCAGCATGTCTGTTCTATGTACTAATGATCCCAGGCCACCTACGACGGCTACAAACCTCTCACCACCCAGATCTTCGACAGCAAGGACCCGTACTTGGCGAACGACTCGGTCTTCGCCGTCAAGGACTCGTTGGTTGTGGACTTTGTCCCTCGCGAGGGTGATCCTCAAGCTGGACTTGAGCTCGAATATGATATCAAGTTGGTGCCGAATGAGGGCAAGGTTAATGGGGCATGATTTCTATTCTCTTGCACTGTAAATTAGTTAGTTGTTTGAAGCATATACCTTTTGATTACTCCGTACAATTGTGTATTTTTTTTTTTTTTTTTTTAATCATAGAATTTAATGTATAGATCCAAATTAATTGGTATTAGCCTTCGTCACCTCCGACATGTTTATCATAGTACTTGTTCTGTATCAATGATCTTCGCGGCTTGCAAATCACCATACACAATGTCTCTATATGGCGCCAGATGAACTAAAAGGATCACTCCAATTGGTATTCAAATATGCTCATAAAGAACCCCCCCCCATAAACATACCTACAAACCATGCTCCACAAAATCCAAAACCGCCCTCCCAAGCTGATCCGGCGCCTCAACACAATGCCAATGCCCAACCCCCGCAAGCACCTCCATCCGCTTCTCCTTCCCCTGCACATTATCAAAAATAAACTGACACCCATCCAGTGAAGCAGACTTATCCTCTTCACCTGCGATCAGTAAGAAAGGCTTGTTGATGGCGGAGTAATCGATGGCCGGGGCGGAGGCGATGGCGTTGCAGAGCGCGGCGTAGCCTTTGGGGTTTTGGTTTAGGATGAGTTCGCGGATGAAGGATTTGGAGAGGGCGGAGGCGCTGGTGCCGGTTGCGCCAAAGGGGATTGTGTTGGCCATTGGTTCCATTCCGGCTGGTTATGTTAGCTCCTGTACACAGCATGGCTATGGATGAACCTGGGAGAAGGGAGGGCATACATTGTGAGACGGTTTCCGCTCTCTTCGTCATAACGTTCACCAGCGTCTCTGACGGGTGCGTCGGTCCAATCGCAATAACACCCTTAACGCGATCTGCATATTTCGCACCCAGCAGCGTCACGACGAGTCCGCCCATTGAGTGACCGACAACCACAGCTTGGGGAACTTGGAACTTATCCAGCAAGGAGACTACATCCTGCACAATGGACCCGATGGAGATGGGCTGGCCGGTGTATTCGGAGCGTGCGGCGCCGTAGGTGTCAAGGGTGATGCAGCGGTGTTTGGGGGTCAGGTAGGGGATCACGGGGTGGTAGAAGTTCTGGGAGGAACCGAGGCCATGGATGAAGATGAAGGTAAGGCCGTTTGAGGGAGCGCCATCGGGGTGGGAGTCGGCGTAGTGGAGTTTGTGGGTGTTGACTTCGACGAAGGGCATTTTTGCGGCTGCGTTGTATGAATGTATGGAGAGAGGACAATGGTCAATGGGTCTGTAAAGGACAAGAATCAATTAGACAGGATCTAAATGGGGTAGACTAAGGCTACGCTACACTTAATAAAGAAAGCCCACCTTGTTGAGTTGTGTAATTCTCACGGCTCGTTGACGTCGACGTCAATATTCCGCATTGAGTATTCGGAACCATGGACGTGCCTTATGTTCCTAATATCTTTCCATCTGCTTCTTTGCCTTCTTCCCCTATTTCTCCTCTTCCATTGGCCCTCTCACCTGAGTGCTGTAGCATCCATCGGATCGGTCGAGGGGCCTGCGTCATGGCGGGGATAATGGATGGCAGCTTATCACCGCGATCCGATATATGAGCTGCCGATCCGAACAATTCCCGACGGGTCGGATGTTCGCATGTGCGCGATGCATAACAATGGGCTGCATAGGTCATGTAGATTATCCTGCAAATATCCAATGCACCAGTAAAATGTATCCAATACCAATGTACTTCGTAAAAGGCAATTCAACCCGCGTTGAGTTGGACCAATTCTCTCTCGAAATCTTCGTCTGGCGCAAACTCTCCATCTGCGCCGAGATCGCAACCAAACTGCTCCAAGAAGTCTGCTGTATCGTCTCGAAATGATTCCTCTATAGCCAGTCTTGGTGGTGGCTGTTGTATTGGCTGCGCTACCTTGTGTTCCTTGTGTTGGCTCCGGGGTTGTGCGGTCGCACCTGTCCCTGCTCCCCGATGCGCTTCCACAACAGCTGGCTTCGCTGCTGTCTGTATCGATTGCCCTTCCTGCGGTTGCGATGCCTTCTTTTGCTGTCCACTTTGTCCCTGTGCGGTTGTATCTGCCTCGCGAATGAAATCTTCATCGTAGAAAGCCGAGCATTCCGAGAATGCATCCTCATCGTCTTTGTTGCCGTTATGCGCTCCCTCGTCATGCTTATTATGCCCATTGGCCTCCGTAGAACCAAAAATACCACTGCGAATTAGATCCGCCGCCATCGACCGAATCAGGACCGGGGGTTTTCCCATCATCCTTCTATCTTCATCCACCATCACCCTCCGATCAAATGCCTCTATCTCCGCCTCATAACTATCCACCGAGCACACCTCCGTATCATCCCCATCAGATTGCCCCTCAAAACCATCATCCTCAAACTCCGGAGTCTCGACAGACGGCGACTCCAACGGCGACGCGGACTTCGGTTTCGCAAGGAACTTCGATAACAACGGCTGACTAGACGGCACAGGAATCGCATGCGGATCCGGTATCCCTTGTTTCCTTTTCTCTTCGCGCTCTTTAGCTTCCTTCTCTGCTTGCTTCTTTTTATTCGCAATGCGTTTCTTCTCTTTCTCCCGCGCGCGGTGTAGTCGTTCTTGATCGCGGTCCATCCATGCGAGTTGTGCTGAGGTGAATCGGCCCCCGCGTTGGGGCTGGCGGCGGTCGACTCTGGATTTTCGGCCTTTGATGCGCATGGTTGGGTTTGATTGGGATGGGGACGTCCATAGTACTTTGTACTATGTTTGTTATCGTTATCGCGTTGCAGTTGCAGTTGCTTTGTTTGGCGGGGATACGTTGTGCCGATTGCGGAGTGTCAACATTAAGGCAGAAAGGCATCAACTGCGTGCCTTCCAACGATTGAGACCATACTGCAAGAGATTATGCCAACAATGTACAATTTGGTATTGATATCGCTGACCTTCTAACTATATACTAGGGCACATTCATCAACCAAGCGCTTAAAGCTTAGAGTTGTTAGCAGGATCCCAGCAAACAGGCGCATGAACATCCGTCGTCAAACTGTCCACATCCTCCTTCGACAACTCAAAGTCAAACACCTGCCCATTCTCAACAATCCGCGACTCAGTAACCGACTTCGGCAGCGGCACAAAACCCTTCTGCAAGCTCCACCGCAACAAAACTTGCGCAGCAGTCTTATTATACTTCTTCGCCAACCCCAGCAAAGTAGGATCATTCATGCGCGTAGCCTGCACCAAAGGCGAATACGCCTGCACAACAGCACCACGTCTCTTCAACCACTCAGTGATATCAATCCGTCCACACCACGGGTGCAACTCATACTGCCCAACAGCAATCTGGCCACCGCCACCGTTCTTGATGTAATTTTCGAGTTCTTCGAGGTGGCGGATGCCGTAGTTCGAGACACCGATGGAGCGCACTTTCCCGGCATTTTGAGCTTCGACGAGGGCTTTCCAGGCGCCCAGGCGGCCTTCCTTGCCGCCGTAGGGGGCGTGGATGAGCATTAGGTCGATGTAGCCCAGGTTGGAGGCGGCTGCGAGACTTTCTTCGAGGGCCTTCGTGGCGGATTCGTAGGTGCCAAGGGCGGGGACAGGGATCTTGCTGGTGTAGAAGATCTTGGAGCGGTCGATACCGGACTTGTGGATGGCGTTGGCGCATTCGGCTTCGTTTTGGTAGTATTTGGCGCTGTCGACCTGTGGGATAACTTGATTAGCGAAAAAAAGAGCGTCAGAGATAAGAAAAGAGAAACATACGTGGCGGTATCCAACTTCCAACGCCTTCAGAGTCGTCTTCTCAGTGACATCTGCGGGGCTGCGGCGGTATGGTCAGCCAATCGTTCGTTTTTCAAACCAATTCATTATTATCTAACTGCTTGAACAGCAACATACGTTTGGTAGACCTGTTTTCAGACTCCGACGTTAGCCTACCCTCTGCCACAGACAGAATGGATGTACTTACACCAAAACCAACAACGGGAATTTCATATCCCGTGACCAACTTAGCGGTCGAAGAAAGCGACGAAAGAGCCATATTTGGGTATATCGTATTGTATGGTTGACTGAAAATGCAGGAACAATTTCTCAGGAAGAATGGCAGGAAATGCACTGATTGATAAGCGGCGGAAGGAAACGCGCGGAAAATCAAGAGGGTCCCCTGGTATTTATATCGGCCGAAGAGAGTCTAGAAGTCAATTGGTTAATAAATTGCTTTATTGTTTTGTCTCCCACTCTTTCGCAGATCAACGTGGGGCCTGATATCACCGGCTGTTTTCTGACTCAAAGGCCGAGGTCGGAGGGAGTACGTTTTAAGTAGTCTTCAGACAATTCCCTAAGTCAATGTAGAAAAAACAGAGTAACGAATTAATTGAAGATGGTGCTTCTGAGCTATTCATTCTCTTCTGTATTCCCAGTAATCTCAATGAGATGCTTGTACACAGATACTGCACTTACCATTCCGGAAGACTAGGGCTCAGGGCTCAAGGCAGCTCTTATCGATAAGTGTCATCAAATGACACTAGTCCTATTTTAGAGTGTCCCGCATCGACCTCTCTTGTCGCCTGTTTTGCAAAGCAGCCTGCAACTTGTTGATCACCATTCTTCACTCTACCTTTACTCTATTTCAGTCGCTTTTGACAATAACGATCTCAAAAACCTAGCGATCGAGATACCTACAAACTTTTTAGCACTCCTTTCAATACACGCGAAATGCGCTTAATAAAGAACAAAGTCGAGCTCAACGGCTCAGGCACCGTCACCCTCTGCCCGGAAGAACCAGAAGACATGGTAAAACACCCACCCTTCCATTCTCGACTTGCGCTTCTATTTTCGCGTTGCTAATTGTACGCGACAGTGGCACGCATACAACCTCATCCGACCTGGCGACCTCCTCCGCGCCAGCGCCATCCGCAAAGTCACAACCACCCAAGATACCGGCTCTACAATCTCCACACGGGTCCATCTCACCCTCGAAATCCGCGTCAAGAACCTCGACTTCGACCCGCAAAGCTCGCAACTCCATGTTGGTGGGCAAATCGTGAATGAGACCCCGCACACGAAAATAGGCCAGCATCATACCCTGGATCTGGAGCTGAATCGCAATTTCACGCTTGAGAAGGAGATTGGGGCGAATGGTGAGGGTGTGGGATGGGATAGTATTGCGGTTCAGATGTTGAAGGATGCAGTGGATGAGGGTGGGAATCGACGGGCGGAAGCTGTGGCGGTGGTTATGCAGGAGGGGATTGCTCACATTTGCTTTATCGGGCAATTTCAGACGATTCTGAAGCAGAAGGTTGAGATGTCGGTTCCTAGGAAACGGATGGGTGGCAGTGAACATGATAAGGTTTGTTTTCCTTCATTTGGTTTGGTTGGCTATTTACTTACCTGCGTCAGGGCATGTCCAAATTCTACCAGACTACTCTAGACACTCTCCTCCGCCAACTCGACTTCAACACTAGCATCACATCTATGACGAGCAGCGAAGGTGTCAGACCAGTCCTGCTCGCATCCCCGGGCTTCGTCGCCACCAGCTTCCAAAAATACATACAAACAGTCGCAACCAACACACCCGCCCTCAAACGTCTCCTACCAAGCATTGTCGTCGTCCACTCCGCCTCCGGCTACCTCCACTCTCTATCAGAAGTTCTCCAATCCCCCGCCGTGAAAACCATCCTAGCCGACACCAAGTATGCCAGAGAAACCAAGCTCATGGACGACTTCCTCGAACAACTCCGCAAAGAAACCAACAAGGCAACCTACGGACCGCGCGAGGTCGAATCAGCAGTTGACCAAGGCGCCGTTGGTCGCGGGGGTGGTGTCTTGATTATTTCAAACCGTCTCTTCCGATCGCAAGACGTTGCGGAGCGGAAACGATGGGTGTCGCTTGTCGATCGGGTGAGGGATATTGAGGGTGGTGACGTTCGTGTTCTCAGTTCGGATCACGAGAGTGGGACGAGACTTGATGGATTGGGGAGTATTGCGGCTTTGTGCACGTTTCCGGTTCCGGATGAGGATTTCTCGGATGAGGAATAAGCGTTTTGAGTGTTATTTGCCATGTTGAGTGATATCCTAGATTGATGTGTCATGATATATATAAGGTTCGAGATGTTGGAATAGACGAATCTTGCTTGTTTCCTGTTACTAGCGCTGCAGCGGAGATGCTTGATTGATTGGAGATAATTTATAACTACATATAAGAAGTGAGATTTTCAGCAAGGACAGTCCCTAGGACCAGCCTACCTGTCCTTACTTCAAGCTATTCACTTTCCAAAAGCCCTCTCGTACTCCGGCAACGCCCACTTCCTCATCCACTTACTATCCAATACACCCTGTATAGTCAACCGCTTTTCAGGCTCCCAACATAACATACATTGAAACAACTCCGTAAGCGCGTCTCTCTCCTCCACATCGAGCTCTGGCATCCAAGCTTCGCGCCGTGATCGCTGGATATCCTCTTCAAAATGGCTTTCCCAACTCGGATGTTGCCATTTAGAGCTTAGTCGCTCACCTGTCTCGGTGAAGAACTGGTGTCTTGCTTCCCATTTCTCCCACCAGTTTTGGGGCGGTTTGCCCAGGATGTCGACTTCTTTGGCAATTATCTGATCATTGCCGCTATAGCCATGATAGAACAACGGGTATTCCGAGGAAAATTCGCATATTGTACAGCCCAGCGCCCAGATATCGGACTGAAAAGAGTATTTCGGGTCTATATCGAAGCGCATTCAGGCGGCAGTATGCAACTGGGGTTGTGGATACCACGACCATGTTGACTTTCTGCTGACGGTGAGTATGTCTCCCCGAAATCGGTGATGAGGAGTCTGGCTTCTGAGGGGGAGTATTGCTCGGGGTCTTTCCCGAGCCAAGCCGGACGAGTAGCAAGTTTTGGGGCCTCGGAGCCAAGTGGCTCTTCGTCATCACATAGGTCGACTTCGAATTGTTTAGGTTCGCCGTGTTTGTCTTACAATTGCTTGATTGAGAGGTGGTCTAAGTTGGAAGGAAGATGTAGGAGTGTGTTGCCTGTGTGAATGTCTGTAATTGGTCTTGGGTTAGCATGAATTTGTCAAGTCGTTGAGTAGTTTACGAACCCCCATGAACAAACCCTCTAGCATGTATGTATTCAACAACCAGAGCCAGCTGCGCAGCAAGTGACCGACCAGTTTCAAGTTGAAAAATAGGTCTCGATGACCGTTCCATCGTATCAACTACACTGCATCGTGCAGGACTCGTCACATAGCAAGGATGGGTCCCATTGACTCCATGGAGTATGAATCTGTCCTGAACCGAGGGTATCATATTCCTTCCCAGGTGACCCATAGTGGAAGCATCGATATCATTGAGGCGATCTAGAATATCGGCCTCTCGCGCATTCGACACTCCCTTTGCGACTTTGACTGCCACATACTTGCTGGATTGCTCATCTCGACAAAGCCACACAATCGAAGAATCTCCCCAGCCCAACTTGTGAACGACTCGATATCGGGACTGCAAAACATCTCCAATGCCTATGGGATGATGTCCACCGGGCTCGTAGTGATAGTAAAATTCAATGCCGCCGTTTCCTTGATATACGGGCTCTGGCGCGGGGGGGGGGTGACTGGAAGCTCTAGTCGACTTGAATGCAGCTTGAAGACCTCCAGTTCTCCTAATACATGCTAACGGATATATTTGACAAGCCCAGCGTGAGAAAACTGCGAAGAGCATCATGGTAGGGAATACTGCCGCGAAGACAGCAGTAAAAACGGTTCCCTGTCAGCTGACGGTGTCACATGTCAGGGCTGGTTTGTGCCTACTTTATCAGGCAGGCATAGTTCGACACTGACCAACTAACTACGTCACTATGGGTCCATCAAACTCCATGTGGCTGGTGCATGGTCAGGTGACAGCTCATGCCTGACATACCTGACATACAGCTCGTTAACTCTACAGAGTACTTGTTACGTCCATTAAACCGAAAGTCTCTCGGAATGCAAATATCGACCAGCTGCCTATCATGTACTCCGTATTATGGATGCTTGTGTTCGCAGATCCGGCCCATTACTAAAATCCCACGGTGACATCATTCGGTTAAGTCCCCCATGGAACGTGCACTTCCAGTTCCGGAAGTTTAAAGCACTACGGAGACTTCTCTTAAAAAAATCTCGAGCCTCACAATCTCTCTTTCCAAAGGCACCCTGAAATGCGACTACATTAAGATCTCATGTGCGAAAATGGCTGTCATTTCAGTGGGCAACAGGTGGCCGCCATCTCCATCACAGAGCGCGTCTGCTCGGCGCTCTCTGTCGCCGCATCGTGCATCATCATTGTAACGTTCCTTGGGTCCAGGAACTTCCGGAGGCCGATTAATCGACTCGTGTTCTATGCGACTTTCGGGAATGTTATGGCCAATGTTGGCACGTTGATTTCTGAGTCGGGGGTTGATCATGGTGCAAATAGTGCGTTGTGTCAGTTTCAGGCGTTTATGATTCAGTGGTGAGTTTCGCTTGATTATACCACATGAGCCCCGGACTGATGTATACAGGTTCATGCCTGCTGATTCGTTATGGGCTTTTGTCATGGCCTGCAATGTATATTTGGCCATGTTCCATCGTTACAAAACCGATCATCTGCGGCCGTTGGAGTGGAAGTACTTTCTCTTCTGTTACGGCCTGCCCTTTGTTCCAGCTCTTGTGCTTTTGTTTATCGAGAGCAAATCCCGTGGCAGAATATATGGTCCTGCAGTTGTAAGTTCTATCCCTTTTGATTCATAGCAACACGGTCTAACTGTCTCTGCAGCAATGGTGCTGGATATCATTAAAGTGGGATTATCTGCAAATAGCCCTGTTCTACGGACCAGTTTGGCTTATCATCGGCCTGACTTTTTGTATATACGCTCGTGTGGGTATTTACATCTTCAAGCAGCACAGACGACTCCACAAGTACACCTACACGGACACGACGATCGATAGCGAAATGCCGGTCTTCGTGGAGGCAGATGCAAATGTTTCAGACGGAGGACATCCGTCAATCCAACACCAGGGTCCAAACAGCGACCAGGTCCATCCTTCTCTCGACCTCCCGAATACGCCAGGCGATGCGCAAGGCCTGGGCATATCAGGCTCGTCTCCAGAAGCGGTAGCAGTTCGGGCATATTGCAAATACGCGTTGCTTTTCTTCCTAGCACTTCTCATCACCTGGGTTTGTCACCTTGCCGCTGATCCAAGCTACCAGTAACTAACGCAATACAGGTACCTTCATCAGCCAACAGAGTCTACGCATTATCCATGTCGAACCAGTATCTCTTCGGCTTGACATATGCCTCCAGCTTTGTCCTACCGCTGCAGGGATTTTGGAATACCGTTATCTATATCACTGTCTCCTGGCGTGTCTTTAAACTGGTCCCGGCCCAAATATCGCGGCTGGAGACCCGTTCCCTTCCTACGCTTCTTGCTGGCAGGTTGCACAGGATGGTCTGGAATACGCCGTTTGTAAATATTGTAAAGAGAAAATTAGGGTATACATAGTTTTGAATTGAATATTGCAAATGAACCATAAGTACAATTCGAACGATATCAATCGAGTTTTGTATCTAAACATTTTTATCACCACAAAGCTCCCGTTAATTGGTTAAGAAACCATACCGCACTCAATAGCGCTTCATATAAAAGTTGAATACGCTAGAGCCTATTTTTACTCTTTGCGTTGAGACCGAGAGCCATTTGCCTGTCCTGTATGCCAGTTCCACGAAGATTTCATATCTCCGGGGGCTCTGTCGGGACCAACCCCGAACTGCTGCGCGGGATAGAACGCGATGTCAGGCACGAGCCCCCCGCTGGCGGCCGACACTTCCGTGATGCCGGTTGTTCTGTTTATGGCCTTGGGTCTTGAAGAGCGCGCCTCACGGGCTTGGATACGAGCTCCGTGGACCTGTGCCTGATCATGTTCTCTGCTTTCACAGGCAGGGGAAGGTGGAGAATCTCTGGCCAAGTTTGTTGTGATGAGGAAGTTCTGATATCGCTGGAGGATTGTGGTTACAGTAAACTTTGGGCCAAGGATTTGTGTATCGAAAGAGGTGCCTTCTGCTGCAAGTAATCCATGAGGGTGATTAGACCAGCTATCATGCCAAATAGAAGGCCAGGAGTTGCTAAATTGATAGCGCGGCGACATTTTTCGAGTAAGGTAGTTTGAATGGTTAGATGGTAACTGATTCTAGCTGTACTGGTCATTCTTTGTTTGTTTTGACCCTTGAATTCACTTACAAGCGTGTCTTCAAGGGTGAAAGAGAAAACTTATCCATTGATTCCTTCACTCTTGGCCTTTCTGCCAAGGCTATCATAGAAGCTTCTTTGTTCTGTGTCCTAGGGTTACTGTGGGTATGCAAACGCATCAAAACCAGTATACGTCACCACCAGCATTTCAACCCCGGCCTCTTTGTGCCTTAGTCATGGAGCTTGATGTGAGGCGTTCAGAGATAGTTTTCAGAGAGAAGTTGCACGGCTCTGACTACTCTGTTTCATTCCTGGTTGACTTCAAAGGAAAACTATGTATCATGAAAGTGGTATGTCTTCATCCCCACAGGACTCGGAGCTGCTCTGAGTAGTTACGTTAACTTATACAGCATCACTATCAGGAACCATTCTCTGACACCCCGCCAGATCGCGAAACGGATACCTTCATCTGTGAATATAACGCATACTTGCGCTTAAAAGAGACGGGGCTGTGTGAGCAAGACATCGTACCCAACTTCTACGGCGCCATGAAAAAAAAAATCTACCCCAAGCTCTACCGCCCTCATCTCGATACCTTCCTCGCCGATGACGGCCTACCAAACGCCATCCTCCTAGAATACATCCCGAATCTGGAGCCACTCAGACCATCCAACTATAGCAAGGCGCGGGAGGACGGTTTTCTGGGCAGCCTCGACAAGATCAATAAAGTGCTGATTGATCACCGTGATCCAAGTCCGCACAATATGATGGTCATTAAGGATGGTCCGGCCCGGGTGGTCTGGCTCGATTTCGATAGAGCACAGACATATGAACATCTAACTCCAAGGAGACAAAAACTGATAGAATTCGAAGACAGCCTTACAGCTGACCTCTTAGAGGGAGTTGTGAGTTCAAATTGAGAATCTTGGTGAAATGGCAAACTGACACATTTCTGACTGAATTGTAGGAAGCTGGCGCTGCAGGGAAGGATTGGAGCGAGATACAGAGATACTTCTATTTCGAATCATGACTGCCAGAATCCTGCACGGTCTCGAATGTTGAATTTGGTTATTTAGACACTCCTTGCTGTAGATTAATTAATGTACTCTTTTGTTGGGTTTGGGGATATATTTTCATGCAACGTATATTTGTCAGACTGTTTATGCTTGTCTGCTCTCTCGAGTTGCCAGAGCTTTCGCCTTAAAACAACGGCTGCATTGTTTATCCAACCGGTTGAAATCTCGATACTCGTAATTTCCGAATCGGCTCAATTCATAGTCTGAAAGAATCTACTTGCTCGTAGTTTTTTCCGTCAGTCCACGGAGCGCACCAAATGCGCAAAAGAATTCGTCTCGAAACTGTGCCTCTAGCCATTAGCTGATGCGAATTTGTCATGTGCGCTTGTACAAAGGCGTGGTTTGGGGAGCTTTTGACCGGCAATTCGCAGATCTGCGTGATTCCGGTAGACGTTCATTGAGAACTTTTGGGGGTTTTAGTATCCCCCAGAAACTCGACGCATCAAAACCGTGTCAGCGAGAGCAATTTCTTTTCCAGTGCCTTGTAAATCTGCTTCCTTCTCGTGCACACTGGACGGCAGCACGTGTACCACAGCTTTCTTTGTGATTGCTTAATTGGTATAGATCCCATCTTGTAACAGAGGGATATAGGTGGGCAGTAGACACTGCAGAACAAACGGGATGCGCCCATATTAGAGAGCTTAACTCGACCCGTTTGGCTGCTATGCTGTGTTCATATGGAAATGATTGTGCTATTGCACGCTCTATGAGTCGTTCAAACAGTATAATTGCTACACATTTGAGGTATCAATCATGCCTTTTCTCGCTTTTTCGGTCGAATTGCGTTCCAGCCAGATTGATAGGTCTATAATGGGGGTTAGCCTGGGCATGAGTCACTTGATCAAAGTCATACAACGCAAGAAACAAATAAAGAACGTAAGTACTAGTAGGTGCTCATCTGGTGTCTCAAAGGGATATCCAAAGCCTTTTAATCTCACAGCAAAGGACTTCCATCTTCTGGACGTAGGCAGTTGCGAACCTCTGCAAGCTCTGCTCAAGTATAATATCTATGGACATGGCTTGGTGATCGAGACGAGTCAACAACGAAAACGCACTGCTCTAGATCAGTTCAAGGAGGGTTTCGAGCTGCTCATGTAACACGATGCCGAGAAAGCACAGCTTAGGCCCTCCAGTAACCGTTTTGTGTTTTGATAAGGCTTGTGCACAGAGCCGAAGCGTGTATGCTGGTTGAGCTTCATCAATTATGAGTAGCATATCCGGAATTCAATCATCAAGGTAAGCGAATCTGTATTCCTCGGAAATATCACTAAATTGCTGAACGGGGACGTGATAGGATTACCATAATCACTTTTCCACACTATGTTAATAACAATGATGGTAGAGTAGGTTTGCTAGAGTGGTTTTCTCAGATAGCAATGTGCCTCATGGGTTCTGTCTAATGCTGTTACGGTCTCTGTTCGAAGGTGTATTTCAAATCCTGGTTTCGAGTGAATTGCTGACGGGGCTACTGGGCCCTATGAGTGGCTTGGGATATTTTGGATTTGGATGAAAGTGATGAATGGTAGGTTCTGGAAAGAGAATTTTGTAGCCCTTACAATAGGCCTCATGGCGACTCAATGGATGGAGACAATCTGAACGCCACTCTGACTCTGATGGGCAGATATAGATTACCTACCCAAATTAGAGGGAAGGGATGGAAGATAAAGATAGAATATTATGAATTTGGAATTCTCAAGGGTCTGTAAGTGTCAAAAGAAGACATATATACAACAAATTCTGAAATAACAATCCTCCTCTATCAACGCCATGCTCATAAGTAAAACGTATAAACCTCATTTCTCATAACCGAAATAATGCCAAGTCTATCCACTTGTAGTAACCGCTATTCTCGGGGTATATCTCGATGTAGCTCGTCGTTGCGCATGCTCAGGTCCAGGTATTGTCGAGTGAACAGTATAGGGTGTAGTTCTTATTTGTTCCCGTTGTTGTTGTTCGTTGTTGAGTATTTGAAGTTGTGCCTCGCATTGTTCTGCTGTATATGACCTTCTGGAACCGAGTTCTTGCATCTGGTCGTATCAATCAGTGACCTGCCTCTCGTCTAAGGCTGGGAAAATCGTGCTCACCTTTCGCGCAATAAGTTGATACTTCTCATGCTCCCAGTAATCTCTTGCTCTTATAAGCAACTGTATCTAACATATTGCGTGTTAGTATGATAAAAGAACAAAAGGCAAAGGACTAAGATGGCACACATACTCACATCACTCTCGTCCCACCGAGCAAGACGCTCTTTACGACGACGCAACAACCTCATCTGCAACCTCGCCTCCGACGCATCCTTCTGAAACCTCTCCCGGAACATCTCCCGAATCACCTTCCACGCCAGATTTTGCTCGCGCAGTCCCTCCACATACGCATCCTCTTCTGCAGCCTGCGGATCCTTCCGCCCCCGGCCCGGAGCGCGTGGCCGCTGATGCGCATGAGCCTCAGTCTGTCCCCGTCGCCGCTCCTGCTCGAGGCGCTGCATTCCTTCTGGATGCGGGAGGATCGATACGGGATTCTCCCGCATGGATTGTGGCTGTTGCTGTTTGAGGGATCGGCGGGCCCGTTTTGCGGGGCGTGGGTGGGTGGAAGGAGCCGCGTCTGTTGGACGGTAATGTATGTCTTCTGACGGATACCCTATTGCTGAGGAGATGTTGCGTGGGTAGTTACCCGGGAAGGGTGCGGCTATGCCTAGTCCATGCTGTGTGGGGGCCGGATCATTGAGGCTGTGCTGGTATTCTTGCGAGTGATGACTCAGGACTGGACTGGGCCTTGTAGGGGCGAAAGCGCTGTCCGGGAGGCTGACTGGGGTCAAGATGGAAGTGGCAGGGAAGGCCGCTGTGCAGTAGGGGCGATTGGCGCTCACGTAAGGGGACTAGATCTCGTCAGTCTTGGTTGGATTTTTCGTGGCACATGGGTGTTTTGCATACTGCGTCTAACCCGGTCCATTGTGCTTGTAGGTCCTGGTAGAAGTCTTCTAGTCCCTGTCCAGGGACGGGTTGGCCGTGAAATGCCATGGTGGTTGTCCTGAACGAGACAACAACAAACGGGTTGGTATAACCGTAAGGAATCCAAAAAAAAAAAAAACCAATTCGAAGGAACGACGGCTATATAAAACTCTCAGTAGAGCCAACAATATAAACAGTCCAATGGAAGCGGTGGCAATATCAAACAGTGAACAAAGGTCTGAAGGAAGAATAGAATTTTTTACTAGGATTGCCCTGAAGCTTGCTCTTTTCAGGCCACGGCCAAGGCACGTATATATATCTCTCAAAAGAAAATAAAGAAAAAATAAAAACATAGAAAAAAGGTAATCCACTGACGTGCTGCGCCATTTCATATATCAGAATCACAACCTATTGGAAAGTCGCAATGCCTCGCAAGGCAGGGCCAAAAACCCAGACTCTGCAGTCAACAGCAAGCTCAGGTCACTTCAGCAAAGCGAATACCGCTGGCGATTACTGTGCCGCATATGCGAGAGGCTCTTAGTGATGGATGCGTACTCGACAACAAACTGAATTTAAGCGCCAGCTTATAATCCCACTGGGCTTGGGGAGGGGGAAGCAGGCCGTGCCGTATGAGTAACCGTGAATTAAGAATTCCAGCCCCCAAAAAGGAGCCCCTGGGGCGCAGACTCTACATCCATCCTCATTGCTCACCCACCGCAGCGCGTTTTCTGGGGAGAAAGGGGACAACGGATAATAGAGAGCAGCGGCGACGGTGGCGCCGAAAACCGAGAAAGAACCCGACAGTTTGGATCGGGCGGGACACAGTGCATGAAATGGGAGAATTGAAAGCAGGCTCTGAGATGCCTTGGGAGCCGGGACCAAATCATGAGAGGAAGGTTAGCGCTAGGAGTCGATGAGTCGATGACTTGGCAATCCCCCGAGTCATGATAGTAGTTCCCTATCCAGATGCCAGCATGCAGGTAACCTTCCATCCTGTTCCTAACCGCTAAAGGATGGCGAAGTGCACTAGCGATCGACACGACGAACAAGGCACGAACGAAGATCGGAGCTGGTCAAAGACAGATCCATAAGTGCACATTACTTGCGGGCCATTAAGCGCTTCTGCGGTGGGGATGTCGTTAGACGCCTGAGCGGACTTGAAGTGAGCCTAGCGAAAACGGAATGGCATCTCGTGTCATATCAGCTTGAATACGGACAGTCTCGGAGAAAATGCGAGAGTATTACTGTAGTCTGAAGGAGCCATATGAAATAATCCAAAGCTTCTCAAATAACTACCCACGTTGTCTTGATGACATTAGCAAAGAGAATAACTAGTTAGCGCTTAGTCGGCCGGTGACTCTGACAGAGACAGCCGACATAGCCGATGCCGCTGTCGAGACCTATGTGCATAGCAACTCTGGCGCTCACTATCTCTCCATATTGCGATCACTTTCGTCCAGTTGTTCTGACGCTGCAGTTGTCGTCGCCGTCGCCGCCAGTCACGTGGTCAGCACAGGAGGGCGAACACAGCCTTAGGAGGCTCATTTCAGCTGAAACTGCACAGTAAGGCACTTCAATGTGATCATACCCATAATCTGGCGCAGTAGCCGTGGCTCAGAGCCAATTTGAAACAACGGAGGGTGTTTCATCGTCTAAGCTGAAGCATTGCTCCGTCCAGCTTACAATTGAACAAATGGTAGTTAGGCCAAAATGACAGAAATAACTATTTCCAAAATCATATAGATCATAACGTACACGCTAAATTGCATCAAGACATAAGCAACCAGGCGACGTGAGCATGAAAGTAAAACGACTATTCAAAAAGCCAAGAAATATCAAACTATCCATAACTAAGCCACCCTCACGAACCAACAAATCAACCGTGGCCATTGACGGGCGACGACTTGTGCGGGCCCTGCTCGTCCGACCCGCTGTCCTCGTCATCAAGGATTCCCTCCAATCCATCATCGTCCGCGTGAGGTCCAGGGCGACTCTGGTTGTCCAATGTATCATCGGCAGAGATGGAAATGCCTCTAGCTCCCCAACGGTTGTTACCAGGCCTGGCGTCCGTTCCCGGTTGGTTTTCTACATCCCCGTCATGCAAGACCTGCTCCTCATCGGTGCTTTTTCGTGATCGGAAGTTCAACACTTTGTTGACCAGCCAGCTCTTGCTGAAGTCTTCCGAGTCGACCACCCCGCCCTGGCGAAGCTTCACACGCTGACGCGAATAGTACACCCAAGCAAAGTCAAGGTAAAATGCGGTTTGAACAATACCGAAGATCACCGCAATAGGATCCCAGTAATGTTCCTTTCCGAAACCGCGCCAAAGCCAGTTCAGTATGTAGAAGCCTCGGTAAGAGCCTAGGGTGACAAGGTAGTAGGAATCAATGACAGTCGGGACGGTGGTTTGGCGCAGGAGAAGGAGCTGGGGAAGAATACAGACAGACTCTAGGATGATAGAGAATGTCCAGAAGATCTAGATAAAAACAACTTTATTAGTCGCGATTCGAGTTACCTCATATTGTTCGATACTCACCTCCGTGAACCAGTGAGGCGGATATCCTTCTTTGTAGAAAGCTGGAAGAATTGGGGCTAACACAAGCGACCCTCCCAGAGACCACAGTGCCAATTTCCATGCCTTTTCCCTTTCCCTTGTCCGAGGATAGACCTTCATCATCAAGAAGATGATGTAGAAGGACGAGATTATATAGAACAGCTTGAAGGAGACCAGATAAAAGCTATTCCATCCTTCTGCGCGGAAGAGATCGAGGTATCGGGTGATGAACACGGCAGCATAGAGCATCTGGGTGAGTAATGAGACGCCTATTGAACACAGAGGTCAGTCGCCGAGCTCAGGTTGATACCGGGAGTCCACTATATCATACCCTCGGCGCTCTTATTTCGATGAATGGCCCATATCAATATGCATTTAGAAGAGATATGGGAGAGATCTCCCACTAAGCGAAAGAAATTCAGATTCATGGTGAACGAAGTGTCGCGTGGTCAAGCGTCGTCTTAAGAATCGTGACGAAATCACCCCTTCATGTCAACCACGAGCTGTTCTAGCACGGCTGTAGCAAAATGAAGCTAACAATATCGTTCAATCTCTCGATCTTGGTTCGGAGGAGTATGGGAGCTCGGCGTAGGTCTGGTATCGGGATCTCTATCTTAGATAAAGCAGTTAGCCAGTTGCCCGACTGTAGAGTGTGCGGGCACTATGTAAATACCTGGACGGAATCAATATAGCTTAAGAGGCAGTCAATCGCGTTCTCCAGCAATACGCAGTTGCTGCCGGATGGACCAGCTGCTGTCCTGTTCTTATCACACTATCCCGCATCCCAAAGGAGCTTAGTTCCGCTCCCCGGACGGTGAGCCGCGTGTTAGTACCCATCGGGTCACGTGTCTGACCGCCCTCGCTTTCTGCCCGGTAGTTTATATAGTTAGCTCAGCCGATAGGCCATAAACCAATCAACCATTCACCACACACCAAAACCGCGTGTGCATCACGTGATATTCGGGCAGTGACATCAGTGCTTTCTTTACTGAAAGACATGTCTATCCGGAGTATATCGAAAAACAATGCGATTGATCGATTTGGACAACAATCCTCTATAACTATGGATATTTTGATCTCACCTGAACAACTAGCAGCGCATTCACGATATGCAGATTATTCCTCGGACTAGTTAGTGCTTACTGCTTACTGAAGAGATCGATTGTGACACTTGATCGACTCTTGTCAGCAAGCGCTATTTATGCAGAACCTCTATGGCAGTCAAAGCACTGGCCATTATATCTGCTACTATATAAAGGATCTAATTCGAGTCTTTGTATGTCCCCGGACGTTCCGTACAATAGTTCCGTTTGAGACCATTGTCCGTATCAACAATCCCAAGTCATTTTCACGAAAGAAATCATAGTTTCGGTGGCCCTACGGTGCGAAGATCTGGAAGTGTCAGCTTGGTGCCGAGGATAGGTGTACTATGGTTCAGCCATTGAGAGGTGTTCTCTCGGTATCAGCTCGGTTCGGGGGCTGTTCTGCAGAATGACAAGGATTACATCTTATGATCTTACTGGAAAAAACAGAGGGAGAGACTACAGGAAAGAAATCAGTGGCGTGTGTACTTTTGCTCGGACTTTGCGATGCTCGACGGAGGGGAAACGGACTCTGTCAACATGTCCGGGAGGAACATACACACTGTATGCATGCAGCTTGGATCGCATCATAATATAGCAATAGAAGACAATTCGGTCTCTTGTTTATCATGCAGAACGTCTCCAATTGGACTACTCTTAACGAATGTGGTGAGCAGAACCCCGTGAGTACTCGGAGGCGCGGGTCTAAGTGTCTCCCCTCCTTCTGGCTGTCTTTCCCCTCTGTACCTTTGGCTTCTTTTCCCTTGATATTCCCTCTCTTTTCTACCTCTTGTATATATTATCTCTTCCGCAACCCAACGGTACTTTTATCTCTTTTGTTACTGTATCGGGTAAGCTACTGAAGAGTACGTCGTATCGCCCTACCCCACATGCTCGATGGATTGATATCTTGTGAACTCCAGCTTCATCCTGTATCTCCAAGTCGCAACAGTCAGATTCACTTATTTTATCCCTCTTTTTTTTTTTTTTTTTTTTTCTGGAAATTCTGTGGCTCTATATAATTATACTACCATATACCGGACCTCTCTGTTCCTCTCGGTATAGCTGTGCTCACGCCGTGGGATGCGCCCGTGTCATCGTTGCTTCTAGTGTAACGAACAAGAGCCCTTTTTTGCCTCTCTCCTAGGCTCGAGGACCAATCTTTCATACCGTTTCCAGTAACAGATTTGCTAATCTCCTAAGCCTGTGCATGTACAGATGATCCGACGCAGTGTGTTTGGGAAACCTGCGTCTCTACTACCATGTCGTAAGTCCAACAACTTTCTTAGAGAGAGACAAATGTGTCAGTGGAAGTCACCTCCCTTTTATCTACTTATTCTTTATCAGACCGGTTTATTTTGCTTGGTGTGTTGTGTCTGGTTTCTCGCGGAAACTTCCCTTTTATGCTGACTGACCGTGGCTGTCTGTACCTCTGTCCCTTTTTCCCATTCACTCACTTCTTTCTTCCTGGACCAGGTCACCTCCAAATCCTAAGCGTTTCAAAACAACAGTCCCTGCCAGCGCACCGTCTCACCTGGTACCACAACAGCAAATTCATTCTTTTCCTGGCGTCTTGAGTCCTTTTGACGGAGTTCCCCTTCCCCAGGCTCCGATGCAGTCTGGTTCGAATCCGCGCAAGCGCCGTTCGTCGCCTCATCTAGGCTCTACAGCATCCATGGCGGCTCCTGTTTCTACGGGTCTCGTGCAGGACCCTAATGTCGCCAGCGTTGCGGACACAGGTCCAGCGCCCAAGAAGAAGGGGAGGACTAACACGCCCTGGACGGCAGAGGAGGAACAGAGACTGAAGTCGATGCGTGACGCTGGTCGCAGCTGGAGTGAGATCGCTAAGGTTCGTCGGTGCTCAACATGATGATGACTCCGTTGGGAAGGCCGTTCAGTGCTTACTCTCGGGTACCGCAGACGTTCCCGGCTCGAACCGAAGGTAGCGTCAAGAAACACTGGTACAAGGTGGGAAACTGTTGGGAATCGTTGAATTATTTTGCCTTTCGCTGATATCTTAACCCAGGACATGCACTATGCCGAATTTGCGGAGGACGAGGTAAGGCCGATCATGACGCATCTGCACCACATGTTGTTTCTAACCCTACCCGCGAACCAGTCTGTCGCACTCCGCGAGGCGATCAAAGAATACGAAGCAAACAAATGGAAGGCCATTGGGCAGAAAGTCGGGAAGCCTGCAAAGGTGAGTTTCTATTTTTTTTTTTTTTTTTGTAATTATCTATCTTTCGATATCTTCCTGTCGGACCCTGCTGAACCGGATCCTCACATGGCAGGCATGCGAGCAATATGCAAAAGAACATTTCAAGAGTGTGTGATGTGTGAAGGATGCCCGGACCTTGACGAAGTGATGACCTTGTTTAACGACCTGTTGCACCTATCCTCTCATCCTTTTTTCCCTCAACTCTACCGTCGACAATGTCAGCAGCATCTGTTTGGGGACACATCTTCCGGTCCCGGTTTCACGCAGAGCGCCTCGCACCTCGCACCTCGAGACAGTATGGGTTATATACGATGGAAGGTTCTGGAGTTTGGTTTTGGCTTTTTCGTTTCTATCTTTCTTCTGTACACGGTTCCTGCATCTTTAATGAGCATCTTCTCCCCGATGCAAAGGCGGCATATCCACGAATTGCATAGTCATGAATCCAGGATTTGGCATTAGTTAACATTTGATTTGGTATATGTTTCTCCCATTCTCAATGTGTGGTATGGCAATTCCTGAGGCAAATAAACTACTAAATTGTGACGTCTTGGCAACGCCGTGGTTCGGAGTTCTGTTCTCGTTCCCCGCCGCGATTTCGATCTTCTCATCAAATCTCCTCACTCTCTCCTCTCCTCTTTTCCCTCAATCGACCTACTTTCCATTTTATTCTAGTCGCACCGCACAGGCGACATTAACCAGTGTTGTCACTCCCTCACAGCTCAAGGCCAATTGCAGTACCAGTGCTCAGTTCCGTCAAGGTGAAATCCCGTTGATAAAGTTTTGCGACATAACCGAGAACCAAATTTGACTGACACCTTTCTCTTTTTTTATTCCTGCCAGGTGCTCGAGATCTCAGTGTACTACTCCCGTTCTCCCCCAATTTCGCTATACCGGATGACTATCATGAACACGAGTAGCGTGGAGTTGTCTATCGATCAAGGTATCTAGGTAACGTGCCTGCATGAAGACCGGTGTTCGTCGACTATTCGTCTACCTCGCGATCTCGATTGCTTCTGAACAACAAGAAACATTGAGAAAGTGGTTGGCGCAGTCGTCGTTCTGAGATTATACGGTTGAACTTGATCTGGATAATTCCAGCGAAAGGACTCATGCGCGCATCTTCCCCCAACACATGGAGTTAAATACTGATCGCATAAGTAGCATGGCCCCGGAAAATGAAAATCCCTCCCTAGGAGGGCGCACGGAGAAACTGGACTCGAAAGTCCAGTCGACAGAACAACCATTCGAACCGAAACAGTATGGCGATGACGGTCATGGTGGCGATGTGGCCAGCGGCAGGCCTACGCCTGGGCGACTTGGTTTATATTTCAGGAAATTCGAGCAGTACCTGGTCGAGTATAATCTTGAGGCACGTGGACTTGAACGGGTGCATGAGAGTGAACGGATGAAGAAGTTGTCCTGGGTTTCGTACCTGCAGGCGGCATTGCTTTGGGTTTCGATCAATCTGGCTGCCAACAATATTACACTTGGGATGTTGGGGCCGGCTTCGTATGGATTGGGTTTTATGGATGCATCGCTTTGCGCTGTGTTCGGAGCGCTTGTTGGCGCTTCGGTTGCGTCGTGGATGGCGACTTGGGGGCCTCTTTCTGGAATAAGAACAATGGTATGTCTCTCCTGTTTCTGACGTCTTGGGGCCGAAAACTGACAATATCAGGCCCTCGGACGCTATTCAATGGGCTGGTGGCCAAGCAAGATCGTTGTCATCCTGAACTTGATCCAAATGATCGGGTACTGTTTGATCGACTGCGTCGTTGGTGGACAAATCTTGTCAGCGGTGTCACCGCATGGAAGCATGTCAGTCGCTGTCGGCATCGTGATCATCGCCGTCATTAGCTGGGCCGTAGCCACATTCGGTATACACGTCTTTCACTACTACGAACGGTGAGTGCGAAGTCCCAAGAAGTCATCAACGCAGTGCTAACAACACCAGCTTCGCCTGGGTCCCCCAACTCATCGTAGTCTGCATCCTCTTCGGCGTCTCATCCTCAAACTTCGACCTCACAACCCCATCCACAGGAGACCCCCGCACAGTCACCGGCAATAGACTCTCCTTCTTCTCCCTCTGCATGAGCGCCGCAATCACCTACGCCCCCCTCGCCGCAGACTTCTTCGTCTACTACCCCTCCACCACCTCCCGATCATCCATCTTCCTCCTAACCCTCACCGGCCTCATGTGCTCCTTCACAATGGCCTTCCTAATCGGCATCGGCCTCGCCTCTGGCATAAACACAAACGCAGCCTACAGCGCAGCATACAACCAAGGCCAAGGCGCGTTGATCGTAGAGGGCTTCTCCCCACTCAACAACTTCGGCAAATTCTGCTCCGTCGTCGTCGCACTGGGCCTAATCGCAAACACCATTGCGCCAACCTACTGCACGGGAGTCGACTTCCAAGTCCTCGGCCGATACGCCGAGAAAATCCCCCGCGTAATCTGGAACACCGTCGGCGCGATAATCTACACCGTCTGCGCGCTCGTTGGACGGGGCCATCTCTCCGAGATCTTCACCAACTTCCTCGCGTTGATGGGCTACTGGGTCGCTATTTGGTTCGGCATCCTCCTTGAAGAACGGTATATCTTCCGTCGACGCAGTGGGTATAGTTGGAGTGCTTGGAACGATCCTTCAAAGCTCCCGATTGGAGTCGCGGGGTTTATTGCGTTTTGTGTCGGTTGGGTCGGGGCTGTTCTTTGCATGGCGCAGGTTTGGTATATTGGGCCGTTGGCGGGGCTGGTGGGGGAGTATGGTGCTGATGTAGGTTTTTGTCCCCTTTCCTTCTAATTTTGTTTTTTGTTTGATGTGAAAGGATGCTAATGGTGTAGATGGGTAACTATGTTGGCTGTTCGTGGGCTGCTGTGGTTTATCCGCCGCTGAGGTATCTGGAGCTCAAGTTCTTTGGGCGATAAAGGCATCCTATATGACCCTGTTCAACAAGGGTTATTGACTGGAAAATGCTTCCAGTATATACAGAGTAAGAGACCTATGAGGTCTCAATCACCAAAAGTTCATCGTTTGATATCTCATCTACATTACACTGTTCATAGAAGCAATGCAATACAACCAAATATAATCCTGCCATTCTAGACCTAAACCTAACCAATGCGAACATCCATCTGCTCCAATTCCCCCTCTATCTAGAACCCTACAGGGCAGACTATACACTGCGGAAAAAGACTCCGCAATCGGCCGGAGACATCACATCCGCTCTCCCGTTCCGCCCGCTCAATCTAGGAATTAAATCATGATCATGCCATACCCAATCTCGGGATTTGCTCACACATATGGTACGTTTGTTAGTATTGAACACTCCATTCATCCACAACTATTCTACAATTAAAAACAAATGAAAGAGACATGCATGCACCTTCGGTGTCGGTGTACAGATAAAAGCAGAAACAAGCTAAAGACCTTCAAGCAATGACTAGACCGAAATTAATGGACGTGAATGAACCCGTATATAGTAGACCCAATGCTTAAATACGTTGCGTTTGACACTCTGGTACTAGCCCGTCTTGATCCGTCCCTTTGCTTGTTTCTTATTCTCTTTTTTGAAACTCGCGCGTCGTACTGCGGGGGTATTTACCGGTACCAGTACTCGGGCTTGACGTAGTCGGCGAAGGTCTTGGGTTCCTCGGGGGCAGCGTGGTGGCCGTGGCCGTGGTCGTGGTCGTGGTCGTCTATGAAAGTGTATCGTCAGAACATGATCAATTGCAAGGCAGAGAGGGTAGGGACATACGGGCGTGAGGGTCCTCCTCAGGTCCGACGTAGTTCAGCTTGACAACGTTACCGCACTCGCCGCAGCGCTCGAGGGGGCGGTCACGGGAGACCTGCATCATTAGTCTGCGATCAAACCATAACCAAAGCTAAATCGCAATCTTACAGTCAACCAGTTAACCTGGTGAGAGTCAACAGGGTAACCAGTGCAACCAGCGTACTGCTCGTCACCAGCACCGTTGACAACAATCGGGTCCTCGATAGTTCCTGCACCAATCAGCATCATGCTCCCTTATCGCACCAAGCGCAGGAAAAGCAAGCAGCATACCCTTGCGGGAAGCATCCAAAGGCTTCAAGTCGAAGATGTCAATGCCCTGCATTTTACCGACGAGTTCGAGACGCTCGAGACCAGTGGCCTGTTCGATATCGGTAGGGATGGTACCGGGCTTAGCACCGGGAGGGATGAGGTCGTCTTCGGTTTGGATCGCTATTCATCCCCCGTAGTTAGCTTCTGATCGCAAACACCCGCGGTAAACCCGGATCGTCGAACCGGATAGTTCACGACCAATTGCCCGGTAAATCAAAGCATTGAGCGGTAAATGTGTATACTAACCGTCAAGAGAACGGAGCTTAGCCTCCTTAACCTCGTACTTGTGGACTATAGCAAAACAAATCCAAGTCAGCCCACCCCGTCTGACCTAACCAGTCCAGTTCAATCCAATCCAATCCACCAAAACCAAAACTACCCCTCCACAGAGCCCAATTGAGCCCCGCAGACCTCACAAAACCAATCCACCACCACAGCATCTCCCTTCTCACAATCACAACACAGTTCCGGGATCGGGTTTACGCACATCGGCTAACGGACGAAGAAAACGGGCGCGCGGCAGCAAGGCCCCGCACGGGGGTGCGCCTCGCGAGGGTAGACACCGTACGCTGAAGGAACATGGTCCTTGTTGTAATCGGGCGGGCAGGAGTAACGGTCGAGGGGGGACGGAGGGGTGTTTGACGTTGGGAGCAAAGGGAAGATTGGAATGAGGTGCTGGGCGAGTTTGAAGCCGCTTCGGGCCGTTGGTGATTGGTTGGCGGGTTCCGTCACCGCCCGGGTTAGTCATCCGCGGTGATTGGTTGGAGCTTATACGGCTGGACATATAGACCAGCTGTGCTTAATTTCCTGATGCGGAAATACTGTAGGGCTTAGGGTAACCTTGCATCGATGTAGAGATGAAGTACAACATTCTATCATATGGTATATACGACAAACACGCCAGCCTTCCCATATAGACATCCCAGACAAAAAAAAAAAAAAAAAAAAAGCGACAAATGAGAGACTCCGCGATATACAATACCCCCATCTTCCCAATGAAAAACCATAACCATAGTAATAACCATAACCATCACGACTCCATAGCCCATCATCCATTCAACCCATTCGTCAAAGATCCGAAGCCATTTCTTCACATGCCTCAGCCGTAACACAGTTTCCAATCTTCCCCGCAATGTGGCGCCATTTGTTTTTCTCATAGTCTTGAATAGCACGTTGAAGCCGTTGTATCTGTTGTCGTTAGTATGCGCCAAAAGAGGAGAAGAGAGGAATGGTAGGGATACCATTTCTTCCGTCCAAACCACATTCTTCTTTTTCAACCTCGTGCAATACCGGACCTGCAGCGTGCCACTCGTTCGACCAGGGAAGAACTCCTCGATTTGCTTCCACGTCAGTCTCTTGTTCTCTTTCAGATCCACCACCAGTTCATCGTCATCTTGCGTGAACGGTTTTCTCTTATGCGGCGTTATTGGTCTCGGGTTAGGCATTCCCGGCATGCCCACGAGGCTTCGTTGGCCGGAAGAATAGTTCGACGACCGAGAGTTTACACTATGGTGGCTCGATCGCATCGTTGCTTGAGGCGGCATGTGATGGTGGTGGTGTTGCTGCGGCAGTGCCATCGAAGCCTGCGGGCCAAAGCCGTTGCTCGATGCTGCTTGCTCGGACTGTGTCGAGAACAGAGCATCGGGTGTTTGGGAAGCCTCTGCGGACCCCTCGACTGGGAATCCCGACAGATGTGATCTGACCCGTCTGCCATCGTCGTGATCTGGATCTGACTCTGCATGAGGTCGCTTTTTGCCGTGTTGCGCAGAAGTGATTTCGAGGCTGGTTGATGGGTACTGAGGCGAAAAGTGATGCCGGGGGAGCATCTGGTGCGGTGCAAGAAGAACCGGCTGTGGGATCCCATGGACGATCGCTTGTGATGTCGGACCTGGAATGACGCCTGCGCTTGCATGTGGATGATGTTCGAATGCTGTATGCGGTGACCCCCCTGCCGCTGCCGCCGCCGTTGCAAAAGGGACGTCTGGCGGTTTGTCATGATGGTGAATCTGAGGTTGCTGCGAGTGCTGCTGCTGCGGGTGGTGATAGGCGAGTAACTCGCCATGGTTATCGGGTTTGCAATTGGCAGGATAGGAATAGTCGATTGCGTAGTCTCGATACGGGTTTGCCTGTGTCGCAGACATACATCGGCACCGCAGGAGCCCGGAAGCCCTGACAGGCTACCCAGTCAAAATGGGGGAAGAAGGGAAGAAAAGGGAGGGATGATATCAACGCGATGCCGGAACAAAACGGTGGTCGCGTGAGAATCGCGAAAACCAGCTCTCTCCAAAAGGGAAAGGTTCAAGTTTGGCTGGCACGAGCTGCCTGCAGCATATATGAAAGCGGGCGAGAGTGACCCGAGGACTCGAGGACCCGAAGACTTGAAGACTCGAAGACTTGAAGACTCGAAGACTCGGGAATACCAGATTCCAACGCAAATCCTGCTCGAGGATAATGTCGCGTTCAAGAAGTTCGCAATGAAGTTGGAAAAGACGAGGAAACTTGCCTTTCTTTCTAAAACGTGATCGTCGCGACAGGCACTAGACAAGACAATCGACCATAGTATAGTAGAGTAAGACAGGAACAGAAACAATGAAGATGAGGTGCATGTGCATTCAAGAAAGGCAAGCGGGATGTTTGTTAAGAACAAGCTAGGGCCAAAACCCGTCCGGAAAGGGAGAAAATAATATAGTGTAGTAAGTAAGTAATAATAGGAGGGAAAAAAGAATAATAATATAAGGCTCACCGGACCTGCCCTCGAGCCATTTAAAAAGGGACGGACGCCACACACACCCCCCAGACTCACCACTGTTCACCAACCGGATGGTGCGCGGTAACGGAGTCAGGCCGTTCAGTTTAATAGGATGGATGAGGGAAGGAAACGCCGTTTTTCTCGGGAGGTCATTTATTTCTCATGAGCAAACTAGCAGGTGTGGTAGTAGCGGTGGACGGGCGTGAAAATGGCAAGCAAGAGGGAAGACAATCCCAGGCAAAACCCAAGCGGCTGATTGTCCGATGGGGTTCTATATTTAAGGGCGACCAAGCCAGAGAACTGGGGCCTAATGAAAAAAATAAAATAAATAAATAAATAAATAAAATAATACTAATGTGGGACAATTCAGTTCCAAGGGCAAACTCTTACTACTCCTACTACGTATTCAGCGAGTCAGTATTTGTGCCAACTTGTACATATAGTTTAGTTCCGGCCGGCGACTAACAACGGTTGCGAGAAGGAAACCTTCTGGAAGATGTCATGTCGGAAACGAACGAACAAACGAAACATGGCCAGATTCAGAGAGTTGCAGCACACTGGGTCGAATATGTCGCATTTGACGATCTGCATCTGCGTTCAGGCAAGCTTAGTTTTAGGGGGGATGAGTCTCCCCGAAAAGCAATAAAATAATTAAAATAATCGAATAAAATAACGCTCTCTAGTTCGCGGGACTTGAAGACCGTAGACTGAGACTGATATCATCAAGCATAAACATACAGTAGGGTCGCCTTGTTAGCATACGACTCCGTGTTTGCTCTCTTCGGAACATCGCCTGGTAATGCACAAATGCCAAGGCAGTGAGAGAAATAATTTTTTGCTGGGCCGTAATCGAAAAAAAAAAAAAAAAAGGCGAATCATGAAACACCCTTTCTCAGACAAAGGATTCTCAGTGGTCGTTCGCAACTTTTCGGTTTGGCTTTTGGGCAAAGACGGAGGGTGCCGCAGCCACCGTCGTCGCGTCCATATGCCTTACCACCACCACCACCACCACCAGATTGGTTTCTTCTACTGTAATTCGTATAGTTAGCTTCGGATCAAGGGAAATGAACTACCCTCAATGTCATCATCGTGTTCAGAAAGCGCTAAATTAAAGAAACTCTGGGAGAAAAAAAAAAAAAGGGAAGAAAAAGGAAAGGATACTCGGAGTTGGTAAACAACGAGACACACCCCGGTCAGGTTGAAAGGACCAGTAGAAACCATCCATAATAATTCATCGAGAAATTTCTCCACTCGAGCCCGTAAGACTGTCCCGTAATTTCTGGGCTTTGGAGCAAGTTGGTTTGCCGGAGTGGTTTAGTTCGGTGGACCATGTTTTTTTCAGTCGGAGGCTCGGAGGGAGGGCGTTCCAGGCCATGCTTCACTTTGACTGGGGCATATTTGAACAATCCTGGTCTATAACAGAAGCCACCACGGACGGGAACGGGCAATGAAAGGAGAGAGTGTTAGAGAAGACGGAGGAGGAGTCCGGATGAGATCCAATCATAATATCCTGTGGCTGGTTTCTCCCGCTTTTCTTTCCTCTCTATATTTTTGCTAGTATATTCTGTCTCGCTCGTTTATTCCTATTCCCAAGCGTCGAAACGGTCGGAGCAAATACGGCCGCGGCCATTCCGTTAGTTAGCGGCCGAAGCGGACTGTAAATCATTGCTAGACCAGAGATATCAGGATCACCATCAGCACCGACTCTGTAATTAACGGGAGGCCACACGGGTTACGGAGTCAGTGGAGGAGCAGGCAACTCAATCCGACTGTTTGATTTTATCGACTGTTGTCAATTCAGCTTTGTAGGATGCTCCGGTTTGGGGTGAAACGGTATGTATCCCTTCTGCTCTGTACAAGTATATACTCCGTACTCTGTATGTACAAGTACTGTAGATGCAGATGAAAAAAAGCAAACATCCTTCGGCATGCTCCGACCGAAGACTAGAAAGTGCGTGTGTGGATGGGAAGTGGATAGCATCACTCTAACCGTTGGCGATAATCCGATCAGGAGGTTATCCACTACTGCTCCATCTTAATTTCGCCGTCATCTCAGATCCGCGTCCACAATTAGACAAAAGCAAACATTCAGTTATTCAGACTTCGTCCATACGGATTGCGAGGAATGCGCGACACTTGTTGTCACAGGCGAAGACCGAGGAGTGCTTATGATTGACCGATTTCTGGGAAACAATCCAATCGAAACACTTACTGTACAAGCTGAATTTCATTCCTTCCGGTAAATTATGCCTCGTGATTGCTTTGCTTTTCCTCTCCGATACACACTCATTAGGCCGAATAAGCAGAAAAATAGCGCCAGAAAACAAACAATGCCATGAGAATACAATGTATATGAAAAGGAAAATCAAATAGAAAAAAAGGAAAAGAAAACAACGCCCAGTAATCACATCACATCACATAATACAGCCAATCTCACGCAAAGTTATCGCTCCGATCAACCCAAATATCCTCCAACTCCGCAAAGTTCTGGAAATGCAGCGGCCGATGCTGGTCATCGTAGAACCGCAACGGCGTATCGATCTTGGTATAGATCGGTCGCTTCTCGACACTTCCAAACGAGCTGCCCATGAAACTGTAGTTCCACACATTGTCCTCGGGAACCAGGAAGTACCCGCGCAACCGGTCACTGAGCAGCAACTGACACTTCTCGCCCATGCTGGTGGAGAATCCCTGGGGCTGGTCCGAAGTCGTGTCCTTGTTCTCCGCTCCCCACTTGTATCCCTGGGGGGTGAGACCCCAAGCCGCCAGCGAGACGGAGCCGGGCGTGAACGAGACAGTCATCGTCACCGTCTTCTTGTCCCAGGACGGGTGTTCGTTCATCAACCGTGCGTGTTGCGTCACGTCCATCGCGGTCATGTATGGGGGTTCGTTTCCGGAGATCGTGTGGATCACTCCCAGTGGCTCCAGGCCGTTCAGGTAGTCATGCTGCGGCAGTTGTTGCGGCAGCTGGACGTCTCGGGTGTTGCCAACTTGAGGAATCATCACAATCGTGCGCACCTCCTTCACTTGCTCATTATCCGGTGGCGAGCTACCGTACAGGTATCCGGCAACTTGAACCCGCAAATCTGCGATCGTGATGAAACGCTTGAGGACATTCTTCGGCATGATGTATGTGTACCCCTCTTCCTGGATATCGTCTGATGAGACGTAGATGTTGTTCGACCTGGAACGCAAGTTCGATGTCGCAATAGCCCGGGTACGCCATTCTGTCTTAGACGCAAACGACTGCTGTTCATACTGAGACGTAGTCGTAACGATAATGTCTTCGCCTCGCACGTTCTGCGTCTTGGTCGTGACAGCCGTGAGCTGCTTCTGCTCCTCCTGCTGTTTCTCGATCTCCGCGGCCTGCTGTCGCTGCAACGATGGCGCACTAATTTCCATACCCAGGATGATGTCCCGAACTTCACTACTCGTCAAGCTCTGCACATTAACGTTGTTCTTCTTGCCGTAGTCGTTCAGGATCAGATCACGCAGCTGGATTTCAACGTTGATCCAAGCATCGTCCGAGAGCGATGGCCAGATGTGGTGCTCCTGCGTGATAACACTCTTGTCGGGGCGGAGGATAATCTTGGCCTTGTCGATGTTGACATGGAGAGCACGGAGAATCAGAATCAACCGAGAGAAGGCCGTGTACGGCGAGATAGACTTTAACCATTCGTCATACAAGTTGAACAAGACCATCTGCGGCTCAGTCGCCCGAAGGATCATGTCTGCAAGCTTCTCGACCTTCATAGCGGCCTGGAACGGAAGCTGAAGCTCAGAAGCACGGATGGAAATGTTGGGAAAGTCGAGCAAGTGAACTTCAAGCGGATCAAGAAGACCCTTCCGAGTGACAATCAGCTGCTTGGGCTGTTCCTCAACAGGGAGAGACCGAATGAGCGCTGCAACTTCTTCTGCCGTCTTCCACTTGGCCAACTGACCCAGACGCTTCTGTCCCGCCCACACACTGGTATGGATGATCTTCAAGAAGAGCTGTCCAGTACGAGGGTTGAAGATGAAGATGGCACCGTTGATGGGCTTCGTGGTCAAGTTACCTTCAAAGGTTTTGTGGATCGTAACACGGTAGACGTTGGTGTCGTCAATGAACAGCTGGATCTGCGGACTGAAAAGCTCAGAGTAGTTCTGCGAGTTCAGGAACTCCTGGTTGCTCTCCGAGGCGTACAGCTGGAGACCCTTACGGATACGTTCTCTCAGCACATACAACGCAGGGTTGGCCTTCATGACCTTGGCCATGGCCTGCTGAACCAATGTCTTGAGACCAGGGAAGTATTGACCGTAGGCAGAGTACAGGTTGTAAGCCAGGTCGACACCGATCATGAGACCAGTGGCCGAAGGATAGATACTCATGCTGTCCGTAGTGTAGTCCAGGTACTTGGCACGAACGTATCGCTCAATGTCGTGCGAGTCGTAGTCACCGTACCGCAGCTGAACGTCCAGCCAGAACTTGTTGGTCGTCGTGGGTTCGTAGACATCCTTGGTGTCAAACAGGATAGACGGTCTGGTCACATTCCACTTGTTGGTGGCGAAAAGCAGAATGTCGGCGCAAGAGCTGTTCATCTTGTACGATTTACGCGGGTGAATCGTCTCTTTCTGAACGGCTTCAATTCCTAGTTGCTCCAACTCTTGGTCGAACACCTGACACAAGTCCATAACTACGGACTCATGAATCTTCTGCCACAAGTGAGCACGGAAGATCTGAATCAAAGAAATCTTCAGAGTAGGAATCTTTCCGTGCAAGAAGATACCAGTAAGATCCAGTTGCACCTGGAAACCAACATACACGTTGGCACGGTTGATAGTCGGAGACCACCAAAGCGTGAACCGACGGTTGGGGATCTGGTTCAAACCGGATCTCTGGGCATTGGTAAGCTTCTTGAACTTCATCGACTCTTCGAAACCACTGTTGTGCAGAACAAGATAATCGTGGCGCAAGTAGAGCTGGTCTTTGTCGACTCGGAAACCGGCCCATTCTGTCGTCTCAGCTTCAAGGCTAATGTCCTTGATGAAGAAACTAGGAGCTTGGGCAACCAAATCCCCGGACGCCTGGGTCCACAGTTCAGGGGAAGTTCTGGGAGATCGGTACTGGCTCCTTTCCGCGGCATCAAGGGCGGCGAACTCCTCTGCGGTAATTTCAACAGTCTCGTTCTCCCGGCGGAGCACCAAGATATGGTTTGGCGTGACCACAAGGTCTTCTATCTCGGAGTCGATCCTGATGCGGTAAAGACGGTCTTGGCCGTTGACGATGTTGAAAGCGCGGCGGGGCGTGCCGTCAGGACCAAGAAGTTCATCTCCTTCTCGGACGTCTTCGACATTCACCTCGGAACCATCATACCGCAGCAGCCGTGTTCCCTTGGCAAGACAGGCACGTTCCCAGAAGAGACCTTCCCACGAGGGGAAAGCTGTTGCCTTAAAGAGGGTGTGCTCCAGGATGGTTTCAACACCACCAAGGGCCTGGATGACATCCGTACGGTAGGCGTTAAGGTTCCACAGCTTTCCGTCGTGTCGCTGGCTGGTCCACCAGAATGGGTTGCTCTTCATCAGCTGGTACTGCTTGAACTCGGCTCGGAGACGGAACCCCTTGTCGAAACTGAGCGTGCTGCGGTCCTTCTGGAACAGGGTGTTGATACGAGGAAGACCACGGTCCCAGCTGTCTTCCAGGTCCTCCAGCGTCAGACGACGGTTCTGCTGTTGCGCTTCCATTCGCTTCTGCGAGTACTCAATCCACACCCGCTGGGAGTCGATGAATTCAGCCTCCCAGGGAATGATGTACCGGAAGATGTTGGGAATCAAGGTCTCCTCATCGTGCGACATACCCGCACGGAAGTGAGTAATACCGGTATCCGTCTGCTTCGACCATCGCTTGTCACTGGCGGGAATGAGAATGTGAGATCCGGAGATCATACCCAGGCCTCCCAGTTCCTTCGGAGTGTAGAACACAGCCGGAGGGAAACGAGAAGGCATCTTGGAGTTCAGACCGATCTTGACACGGGTCTGAATCTTGGTCTCACATTTGACGATGGTATCGAGCAGGTTGACGGTCGCAACAGCACCTTCACGGTAGTATGTGAACAGCGCAATCAGGGCAGTGTTCCACTTGTTCGCGATCTTGGTGAAGGTTGTCGATCCAGAGGACATGAGAATCTGGCGAATCCGGTTGTTGAACTTCTGGATGTCCTCTTCGGTAACCTGGAGGAAGGCGTGGGCCGTACGCTCCTTGGTCGAGTTGTTAACCAACGACCAGACACTGTCCTTCACCGAGAACTCTTCATTCTGGTTACGGTTCTTGGGCAGAATGCGGACCTCAAAACCACTCATGGAGAACAATAAATTGGGGTTGTCTTTGCTGTACACGCTGGCGAAAGTGTCATCCCATTCGATAGTGGTGATGGATCTGGGAAGGCGGTTCTTCAAGTCCCAGAATGCCGCACGACCCAGGTTGACATCGTGTCGCATCAGACGCATCCGACAGTCACGAGGCCAGCACTTCTTATTCTTGTATCCGATAACGTTTTCGAAGTTCGGGTCCGGGTTCTCGGTCAGGAAACGCTGAATCAGGTCCCTGGAATCGTCGGCAGAGAATCTCATGAACACCCAAATCTTGTCGACGTAACGAGTGTACAGACGGATCGGGTGCCTAGTCTCGGTAGCGCTGTCGCGGAATTGCAAGAAGTCGTTCGGGCTCTGCGGAGGACCAGCCATCTCGCTAGCTCTCTGCAAACCAAGGAGCAGTAGATCGATCATGAGACCATAGTACTGGAACACGAAACCCGAGAACTGCAAGCCACGGATCAACCCATAGCTGTTGGTGTGGTTCATGTCCTTGTAGCTCAGCTGCACGTTGTTCTTGGAGGTAATGTAGTCAGCCAAGTTGTGGTCCATGATCAGTCGGAGCAACCGGTTCAGCAACGTAAGATCAATCTTTTCGTAGACCTTGGACAGCTCCGTTTCGACCATCACGTTGGTCTCGCCTTCAGAAGTCTCCCAAACATTGGACAAGTTGTTAATTCCTTGGGCCCACTTGTAGGTGAGCAGAGGAGGAACTTCGGAATCGGAAGGCTTGATCCAAGCAGGGAAAAGGTGGCGCTGCTCGGCCTGGTACCACAGGTATTGGTCTAGGTAAGCATCGGTAATCTTCTCGATCGGCTCGATATCGTACACCGGGTTGATGTCGTTGTAGTTGTCATTCATGTCAATGCCGACTTCCTTGAACGCACGTTGGGTGAGAAGGAAACGCTTGATTCTGGCCAGCGTAGTACCGGGCGAGTCGTATGCCTGTTCGATGAGGGCAAGTTCCTCACGCTGGCTCTGGTTGAGTCGGCCCTTGACAGAGTATGCCTCGCGCAATCTTTCCAGGGCGAGGATCAGGATCTTGGTGTCGTGCTTGTAGGAAACACTGGGGAAGGGAATCGGAGAGAATTTGCGGGATTCCAGCCAGTGCACCATGGTGGTGTAGATCGCCACGGCTTCTTCAGACGAGACGTATGGGCCATCCTTCAAGTAGTTGTGCTGTCTTTCTTGCTCAGACTTGAGCCAGAGACGCGTAAGTCGACCCAGGTTCTTCTTCGCGACCGTCTTGTCGACAGTGGCACCCCGACGAATACGTTCTCTGTTGTAGTGCGCAACGGAAATCCACCAGTCGGCCTTGCTCTTGACGTAACGGAGAATGATGTTTTCGATCGGAGCAGGAAGACCGGGCACCTTCCAAGGAATGTTACTCTTCCAGCATCTCCATGCCTCCGAAAGGTGTTGAAGGACCGTGTTGACCTTGTTCTGCTTGATACCCTCAGGCATCATATCCATCAGGTCGGCCATAACCGAAGCTCGCAGCTCAAGGTCGAAATGCGATTCTACACGCTGCTTGGTTACGGTCTTGGCAACGCCCTTGCTGTGACGACCCTCAAACTGACGAGAAAGCAAGTTTCCAAGCCATCTCTCGAGGAGAGGGATGATACCACGCATGAAGAACAGCCAAACACGCCAGGCGGGTGCCCAGAAACCGCAACCAGGGCCCTTGCCGACCGGGCCGGAGTTGAAACGGTAGTAAATCAAATGCTTCAAGTCCTTGCAAGAACGGATTTGATGCATAAGCTTGTACTTGTAACGGTACATACCAGTCAGCTGACCGACGTGGTTGAAGGCGTAAAGAATACCGTCTGCCAGCTGGAAAGCATCGATGTTACCCAACCGGTACTGAACTTGAGCGTCGACGATCAACTTGGTCAAGCGAAGAATTTCTCTCATCAGGTGGAAAGCGTTACCGAAACGAGACTTCTTGCGCTCCTTGGTGGTGAGGGTCTTGACGGGCTTCAGGTTAAAGTTGTAGTCGAGATGCAGGTAGGTCAAGTTCTTGCGGTGGATCAACAAGTTGAGCATGTTGAAACCCTGGCGGCAAACTTGCAGACCAGCCTCAACCCAGTCGATTGTTGTCTGTTGGAAGAACTTGGTCGACTTAAGCGTTTTGAGCAAGTTCTGCTTGTTCTGGGCCTTGGGCTTGTTCTTGTGCAATTCATTAAGCACAAAGGATTTGAGCATCTTCTGGTATGACACCCGGACTTTGACGGGTTGACCCTGGGGGCAGTGCTCCAGATACCACTGCTTCACCAACGGCACATCCTGTGCACGCACCATCTTCCCAGAACGCTTGTTGAACGGATGAGGTGCCCACCAAAGTGCGATAGCCGACGCCGTGTCGGAAGTGTAGAGTTCTTCGTCACCGAAGAAGGGCTCAGCCTCTTCCGGAAGTTCGAAATCATCTTCGTTATCGTCGCCGAAGATCTCATCTTCGTGGCTGACGGTGATGTTCTTCGGTGCAACGGAGCGTGAGGAAATGGGGTTGATGACGGGGTCGAAGTAAAATGCTGGGAGGTTGGGGTCGTCGGTTCGCGCGTAGACTACCTGGGGATGAGAGTACCAAGAAACCTTGACACTTCGGGGAAGGGTATTATACAAGAAGGGGTAATCGACGCGGTATTCGGTACGGATGGGGGCGCGGAAGATGATGCGGTCGATGGCGTTGAATTCACTAAAGTCTTCGTCATTGGGGTCGATGTCCTTGTACAAGGGCTCGAATCGAGGACCACCGGGAATGGCAACGTTGAGCGCCTTGGCGGTGAAGAAACTGTTAAGGTCGAACATGTGGAAGTAGTTCTTATCCACGACATCGCTAAGTATTTGATGACTTAACCGGTGAAGGGTAGCCATCTGCGGGAGTGTCAAGTTCCACTCTTTATAACTAGGGCCGTTGACATGGGGGGTATCGAGGAGAGGTCGGTGGTCGTAGAGCCATTCGTAGACGGCGGCATCTTCATTCTCGTCGAGCTCCATCTGAATCGGCTCCAAGGGCTCGACGTCTTCAATGTTCTCCGACCAGGAAAGCGGCGGTTCTTCGTCATCGAAGGGAGGAAAACGCATTCGCTTGAAGTGTCTCCGATCACTCTTTTCTCTCCGCATGCACACCCACATGGTAGCCCATTGGGCATGGAACACCGGCTCGATGACTCTCGGAGTCTCGTTCACCAACGTAAGACACCCATTCACGTGGTATAACACCTTAACTTCCTTGGCCGACTCCCAAGGCATGGGCATGTTCTCCAGAAGCTTCAAAACCGCGTGCGGCATGAACTTGAGCGCGCCGAGGTAGCTACGCTTCTCGTTGCTGAACTTTTTCTGCGACACGTCGCCGATATCCCGAACGATCTTCCGCAGATGCTCTGGCGGCATGTCTGCCTTCTGGGTCTCGACGAAGCCGGCCTTTCTCTTCTCCCCGAACCGGTTACGCTGTGTCCGCAGCCATTCGTTCTTCTTTTGCGCAAACTTTGCGACAGTCGGGTCGGCTGGCGGTTGGTATCCCGGCGGAGGAGGAGCCATGGGCAAGGATGGAGGCGCCGATGCACCCCATCCCGGGGGAGGGGGAGGAGGCAACGATGCCATTATGATGGGTTTGGGGATGGAAGAAGTCTCTTCGTGGAAGCTCGTCGATGGTCGATGCGTAAAAGTCGCGTCTCAAATCACGTCAAGTTAACTCATTAAGACCGCGAATCCATCAACGAAGAAACAGGAAAAAGGCGTGAAATAAAAAGTCAAGCAATTAGAATAATAAAACCCGGAAGAAAAAGAACCAACACCTGGACAATCCCCCTTCTCGCGACGGGTGAAGCTCTAACTAACGTAGGGACGGCAATCCTTGATGGCAAGCTTGAGAGGTGGCGGCTCTGCTCCGGAAGCGCGCTAGTCCCTATCGGGCATAGCGCCAGCTCGCCAAATTCCCGCCCAGGGCTCCGAGCGAAACCCACACAAATCCAGAAACCTTTGACAATTCTACGAGGTCAACGACGACACCCGACGACGCCGCCGCCAACTTCTTGACCAGCGCTGCAGAGGTCCGAGAACAGACAAAATGGCGAACAACAGATTGCAATACGTGAGTTTCACGTTCTCTCCAAATGAATTCAGAGGATGAAATACTGATCTTTTCTTTCACAGCGGAGACGGAACCCGTATGTTTGAAAATTCCCTTCCTCAATCGCCCGGATTCGACCTCTTGTCTATCCAATTTTCACGCGAAACACACCACTGCTGCGAGACAGATATTGATGGGAATTCTACAGGTACAACACGCGGTCCAACCAGGTCCGCATCGTCAAGACCCCCGGCGGCGAGCTCCGGTACCTCCACATCAAGAAGAAGGGCACTGCTCCCAAGTGCGGTGACTGTGGCATCAAGCTCCCTGGTGTATGTGCTCCCGAATGAAGTTTTGGATTTGCGAGTTGTGTGGGTTTTGCGGTATTGGAGATCTCGGTTGAAAAATCTGTGGTGGACGAACGACAACGAAAAAGACGAGAATGCCGCACAATCCGCACGATACCATCGCTTTCCTTTGCGAGTCGAGACGACAGAACGCTGACGATGATATTTTTCCAGGTTCCCGCCCTCCGTCCCCGTGAATACTCCCAGATCTCCCGCCCCAAGAAGAACGTCAGCCGTGCCTACGGTGGTTCTCGCTGCGCCGGATGTGTCAAGGACCGCATTGTCCGTGCTTTCTTGATTGAGGAGCAGAAGATTGTCAAGAAGGTTCTCAAGGAGTCTCAGAAGGCCGGAAAGCGCTAAACGGAAATGCATAAGCTACGGGTGTTTTTGTCATTTAGTGGGCGCGAAATGATATGAGAACAAAAAAAGAAATTTATTCTCGGCTGGGAACGGTTTTTTTTTTTTCCTTTTTCATTAATCTCTTTTAGTTTTTTCCAAAAAAGAGATGGCTGTCTGCCTGTCTACGGTCCAGTCTAGACATTTATTTGACGATGGCTGTAGCGGCAAATGAATATATTTGATTCACGACAGTTATTATTCGCTGACTGTTAAATGCTACAACATACATATATTGATCTTGATCCCTGGTCCGGACTGCATTGACTATGGCCAGCAATCGCACGTGGTTGGAGGGCGTTACTCGCGCAAGTCAAAAAAAAAAAAAAAAAAAAAAAAAACAAACACATCCTTGTCAGCGTCAAATGCGATTAGATATTGTCGCTATGGGCGCTATCCTCGGCACCTCGCCAAGGTAAATAATGAAATGCAGCCAATGCACACAATAATGCCCCGTAGATTAGATGGTATCTCCCCAACCAACGCCCAAATCTCAAATCTAAGATGGACTTTCAACTTACACGTGCAGCGCGTCATTACGCCCAATCCGATCCAATCCAATACCCCGGACGAACGTGTTTCGGTGAGTCCCTGTCGATAATGCGGCGGTGGTTATGGTTGGTTGTTGTCAGCGGTTGGGATTGCGATTTGAGCCAGGCTGTGGTGGTTGCATGGCATAACATAACATAGCATAGTATCAGCATCACTTGTGATCCTTGTTGCTGCCCATATTATATATACGACCGGAATAATAGTATGTCTATACTATGGGTATGGACAGGGCGTCATCGTGGGGGAGCGGTAAGTGCACCATCCATTGTAACTGAGATGATGGCACGTGGGTGTTCGTGTTCAACCGACTTTTTTGTTTTTTTCGGGCGCGAAGGAGCAGCTACGTTCATATATAGGATTTATATCCATGAAGATCATACAGAATCATGCCAGGATGGTTGTGTCCTATCATCGAGCTTCGTGGGTTTGGCGGTTCGAAGATATATGTATAGTTAGCCTCACCTCACCACGTACTGCCATACCTGGTGCACTCTATATTTGAATAAGAAAATAAACAACCTATCTAATCAATTGAGCCCCCACTATTTCTACCTTGTCACTGTTACTGACTGTCACAACCACCGCCATCTGTGCACTGTACACTGTACATACACGCACACCGTTCGTACATGGCGCGTATATTTCCTACCATGACAGCTGTCTCAACACATAGCATAGCATAGCACGATATACCTACATGGTACCACAGAGTTCTTCCCTCCAGTCCAATCGCACAGTTTATCTCGTGCCCCGAATAAAATAACCAGTATCACTCGACCAGTCCCATCTCGCAAAGTACATTGTACATATAGTACGTACGTACTAAGCCACGGAGGACAGACACCCGTCGGGATTTAATTCTTTGTTGAACCCCGTAACTATACATGTACCATGTACATACATACTTGTACAGAGTACACGGAGACGGATCTCCATCGGATACGGAGCATTGGGAAGGAGCATTGGGAACAGAAACGGTAGACCTAAAATCCAACAAGCGGTGAGGTGAGCTTAAGTGACAGATTTTGATGGGACCCTTTCTTTCGCACTGGGACAAAGAAAATGTTAAAACTCTATGCACGGTATTTGACATCAAAAAAGAGGCAACTGGCAGTTAGCACTGGGGGTGCGGATGTCGACAGGTCTAGGTACATGTGTATTGGATAATATTGCAAATAGGAGCATATTGTACTCTGTACTTCCATGATCATTATCATTCAATGTAGACATACAGAATACTTCATCTTATATTCATAAGCATCTTATACTAGCTGAATAACCTTCCTGACAGCTTCCATAGATGTACATCATCGCCGATTCGGAACGGGCCGTGCATACGAGGTAGAAAACCTCAATGAATACGGAGTATGTACTTTTGACAATGAACGGACTACCCCTCAAAAGACCACGAGTACTCTAGAAGAAGCCAGACCACGCCATTCTCAATAGTTAGCTTTTCTTCAGTCAAGAAAGATCTACAAAAAAAAAAAAAAAAAAAAAAAAAAAAAAAAAAAAAAAAAAAAAACATCTTCCGATACATACTAGGCACAACGAGACTTCGTATATGTACAACCCACAACAACGAATCGAATCCACAAAGACACAGAAAAGGTGACTAAGAAAAGAAAAGCGACACCTGCAAGGCTGTCGGCCCTTTTCCTTTATTTTTAATTTATTTACTTATATTTTATTTTATGCTGGGTTCCCTTGTGATTCGTCACGAACACTGGCTGAACGTGATGGGGTAGATATGCATGCACTGTCCTCTTTTTGCCTGTCTGTCATTGAAATATTTTCTCCTTTCAGCTAGCTGCTATACACCTCCCCCCCTCTTTTCTTTTCCTTCTAACAGGTCGTCGGCCGAAAATCTTCCCAGCCCGTGCTGATCGGAGGTACATACAGGACAAGGGTTACATTTGCAGCCTTCCCCTCGGAACAGCGATTAATATTAGTACTCAGAATAATAATACTCCCAATAATTCACTTAGGAGAATTAGGCAGGTGACAGATCGTCGTCTGGTCTCGTCATGTAGAATACAATAATTCCCCGTGGCGAAGTAAACTCGTCTTGTCTCATTACTATAACTATCCAATTATAACCACAGTAACCGCTACTATAACCACCTCCGTACTATAGCTATATCATACTGCACTATACATCTCCGACGAATAGCCGGTTCTCCGGCCAAATCCGGTATTCTGGGCGATGAATCCGTTTTTGGGTATCAGTTATGGTGGCCTCGAAACCGAACCGGATTGCGTGGGAACTGGTATGGCGTTAAGGTGTAACTCTGACTGTTGTTCATTTGAACTGTTATCTACCTGCTGTGTAAACCAATAGTTTAGAAATACATGGCCGCGAAAGGCGGCTATTCTTCATTTCATTCAATAATAATCCAAGTGTAAACCCGGAAACAAAAACCAACGCCGTCATCATCATCATCATCATATAATCATCATAACTCATGACACAGGAGATAACAGGGAGAGAATTTAAAAAAAAAAAAAAAAAAGAGAAAGAGAAAGAAAAACAAAAAAAATGAATAAAAAATCCACCAATTCTGAGACGCCACACTACCAGATGAAGAAAACCATGAGGGAAAAAAAAATATATATATAAAAATAAAAAAATAAAAAATAAAGCAAAGTAACTGAAATGCAACAGGTATGCGTAGGCTGGCCGTCTCATTCGCCAGACGAATGGTAATATCCCCAAACCAGTAAAAAAACAAAAGGTATCCAATAAAAAAAATCGAGACCAAAAAAATATATGCAAAGTGAAGGAGATAGTCACAAGTGACCGGTGTCAATAACAAAGGAAAAATCGATCGGGTGGGCTTGACAATAATCTCTCATACAATCTCTCCCTTTTCCCTTCCCCCAGTCTAATCCTCACCGTAGTCATCCTTTCTGTACAAATTGTGTGAGTGTAGTGTATATGTACACCTGTACACCAAGGTGAGGATCTGGTGCGATCTCAGGATGTCCATCCACCACCAGGAAGTCCATTGGGAAGCTGTTCATCCTGAAAGAACCCGTTGGGAGAGTCGTAGGTCGAATACGACATGCCACACAGCACACCAAGTTCCAGCGGGAGACTCTCCGATCCACCCATGTCGCTGGTGACAGGGATGTCTGGAGGAGGGTCCGCACGGCCAACAAGATTGCTCAAATCAAATCCGTCAATCGATGCTGCAGGAGCGGGCTCGGAATACCCTGGCAGTGCTGTCGTGGGGCACGGAGTGTACCGCTGATAGTAATAGAGTTCGTTTGGCGGCTGTTGCTGTTGATGTTGGTGCCGTTGCTGGAGTCCGTGCTGGTGCTGCTCCTGCGCCTGCTCGAGTTTCAATTGCGGCAGGATTAACCTTTGCTGCTGCTGGGCTTGCTGCTGGTAGTACTGTCGTTGTCGTTGTTGTTGGCGCTGTCGTTGTGCAGTCGCCGTGGCCGCGGCCGAATGGTATCGTGCTGCTGCCGAGGCTGGTGGCAGCTCGTCCGCGTAGGCGTGCCCGCGGTTTCTGGCCGTGATTTTCGTTGCTTTCCCGCCCCTGGCCCCAGACCGCTGACGTTGAGGAGCCGGGGCTTCCGATCCCAGACCTTTTCGCTGATTCGCATGTTTTCGATATCGCGTCGTAGGGTGGATGCCGCCTCTCTTAATTGCGTCTTCCGTTAGTCGCCAGTAGTTTACGGCTCGTTTGCCGTTGGGGGACTCCTCTCGAGAAGGCATGAAAGACTGCGGAGGTTTGGTCAGATTCGTGTTTTTTCTTCCGAAACAGGGGAGGAGAGACATACTGCGTTCATGGAGAGATTGTGGCGGATACTGTTCTGCCAGCCCTTCGACCCCTCCTTGCCCTTGTTAGTGTTCTGTTCAAACCACCTGTAAATGCCCTGCAGAGGAAGTTTCCTGTCTATTGCAGAAAGAAGGGCAAGGTAGATCAACTTTGAATACGGAAGGTCCGAAGTATCATGGAGTGCGCTAACGCTGGAGCTTGAACGCGAATCTGCGCGGTCTGGCTGTGGCTCAGCCTTGACGGGGGTAACTGGAGAAGGATTCGAGAAAGCCGGTGGGGATAAGGATGGGCTCACTGTCGACTTCGTCTCCGCCTTAGTCGGGGCCAAGGTTTCATATTGAGGAGATGGAGAGACCGGGATCTCTGAAGATGAGGAGGGAGGGTAATAGGTTTCGAAATTATACGAGATATTGAAGTCTCCATCGTAGGTCCAATCGAAAAAAGGGTCAATCGATGTCTCCAAGGGTGAGTGCCGCTCTATCTTAATAGAGTCTGTGGCTGGCCCGGTCGTTGTCGTTGTCGAGCAAGGCACATCGGCCGTGTCTTGGGGGAGGCGATATTGGTGGTGGTCAGCGTCGAAAAATGACCCAGATAACGACACTTTCTGAGGCGAGAACAACGGACTGAGCGTGGATTCATGGGAACTTCCCAGTCCCCAGTTCGATAACACGCTGTCTGGGCTGGATTCCATCCAATTCTCGGAGGGGCAAGGATCGCAGAAAAAGAAATGATCCTCAAAAGTATCAGGGCTGACAGAGGGAGAATTCCCCAATCGTTTCGCCATGTAGGGACTCTGCTGATGCTGCCGAGTCCCCTGGTCAACGGGAGACTGGCCCGGTTGGAGGTTGTAAACGGGGGATGGACAATCCATGTCGCGTGGTTCAAATCCACGAGCAAGCAGACTCGATTCGAATAACCACAGGCTTTGTACCAAGCAAGCTTGATGATGCTGACGTTTGAATCCTGGATGATATTTGCAACGCTGGTTTGCTTGAGAGAACAAGAACCCCGTAAGCAGTCGTGACTTTCAAGGAAGAGGAAGAGACAAAATAATAAATAAAGGAAGTAGACAATGCAATAATAAGAAGGGAAAGATACAAGTGGGCACAGGCCAGAGAAAAATAATAACAAACCCTGGTTTAACGGGTCTCTGGAAAACGCCGGATAGGGCCTCAACGCCAGAAGGATGTTGACCAGTCAGAATGTGAAGCAAGTCATGTTCTCTCAATCGATCCCTCTATAGAAGCAGAAGCGACCAAACCATGCCAGCGCATAAGGCGCGTGTGCATGTTTCGCGGTGTGTGTGTATACTATACTTGTGCCGGGGTATAGTATAGGAATGGACTATATGCAACGGCTGATCTCATGCAGTCCCTGTCAAAAGAAATAATTAATGACAAAAACGAGGAAAAAGAAAATAAAGAAATCGATAAATCGATCCTTTACAATTTCTTTTTCTTTTCTTTTCCTGCGCTTTCCTTTTTCGAATTATTTTATGCTCCTGTTTTTTTTTTTTTTTTTTTTTTTTTTTTTTGCATTTTTGCATTTTCTCATCGCTTGCCTCGCTTTCTACCAGCTGAACTGTCTTTCTCTTTCCAATGATTCATAATTCTAGCGTAGTAGCCAGTTAGTCGCTCGTTCTACAGCGGCACTGTGCAACCTCACTTGTCCAGGCAGATAATCATCTGGGAACTGACGCTGGGTATCCTGTACTACAGCATGGCTCACCTGGCGATACGTTCAAAGGAACCTACTGTACCATCCTTGACGCTGACCGGGATACCTTCATATGATACTGGTAAAAGCGCATGGCCGGATAACTGCATTTCTTGACCTGTATCTCGCTGGCCACACGGCTGACAGTAGGGGATTTGCTTCCGGAAGATACATCTTCACCGTACTTTCGCTGTGAGGCTGAGGCATTGTTCTTGACAAGCATTCCCTTGCAAAGAAAAAGAAAAGATAGTCGGAATAGGAGAAAAAAAGAATCTGGCCATCATTGTTACGCCTCAGTTCGTCCTGCAGAGACACCCGAGCCTCTTCCTATTGCCTCCGAACCAGCCAGACGCCACGGAATTACTGACCGCAAGAACCATATCGTGTGACCATCTTTCACTCCGACTTCCTCTATAGGCAGTTGCTGGGATTATAGAAGAGAATGGCGAACCAAAAGAAGCTGAGGGTAATGCAAAATGGACCAGGGGTACATGCACGTGACATGTTGGCGGTGACGGGGCGTTGAACGATGAACCACGGAGGAACAGGAGGTCAAAATAAGCATCAGGAACACGGTTCGAAAGGAAGAGAAAAAATCTGCACGTCTTGGAGATTAACTGAAACGTTTCATATGATACATCTGAGCTCCGCTCGCGCTCTGAACCCGTACGGTCGCAGCCGGCTCAAAGTTCCAGCCCAATGATGTCGCCTAGGAGATTATATCCAGATGAACGCGATGATCCAAACGCCGACCGACTCCATGCGCTCCACCTTCTGCTTTGTGATGATAATCGAATATCGTACATAATCACAATTGATAACGAAGTGCTGTTGTCGACGGAAATCACTTGCGGTAATAAACCTGGGAATTGTGAGTACGGAAAAGAGGGAGTAAAGGGGGAGAAAACATACCCTCTTGAATTGGAAGTGCAGTTGCAAGATGCCCTGTATATTGGCGTTAGCACAACTGCTGAAATAATCATAACGCAACGGAGCATACCTTGTCGAAAGTAGTCCTGAAACCTCGCTCCCTCTTAGCACTATAGTCCCACTCCTTGTCAACAATCCGGAACGCAATGTCCTCATACGGCGGTCCTGCCATAAACCGAATGAGGCATGTGTCCTCCTCCCCGGCCTGGGCAAACGACTGCCCACGTTTTCTCCCGTGCTCGCGTTCAATCTTGTACGTCGGAGCCCTTGTCTTGTCGATAAGATCTGGATAGAAGATGTTAAACTTGTATCCCTGGACAACCTTCGGTGGCGGGTTATCGTGATCGTAATGCGTTTGGTTGTATTTGTTCCATTCGTAGCCCATCTGTACCCGGTTGAAGTATCGTGGTTTGCGCGGTCGGTACTTGCTGGCCCATTGCGGACGTGTGTTGGTGCTGACGGCCTCTTCGCCGGTAAAGATCTCTTCATTCTCGCTAACACCCTTGGCAAGTTCCCTCTCGTAAAGTGCCTTGGTCGCTTGCGAGAAGTCCTCGTTCGGAATGGCGGAGAAACGAGAAATTGCGCCCGTGACTGGCGCGTTAGATGTCTGGTTGACCGGGGCAGCTGTAGATGGCTTCTCTGCCTGTCGCTGGCGAAGAGGAACGAAGCCCATCTTCATGATCTTTTGACGCTCGCGAGCCTATACCGTCGTCAGCAAACGCCCACCAACACGCGCGACGAAATACATACCACTTGGTTCAAAAAGGCACTCTCATCGACTATCTCAAGAACCTTATCCTCAGGACGGATTTGTAGCAGGGAATCAGGATCCAGTCCTTTGAATCCATCCTCATCAACAACTTCAGCTGCCTCCTCATCCAAGCCCGTTTCGATTACCGGCGCAAGAGGAGCAAGCTTGGCGCGGACCGATTCAGCTTCTTCCGCTTGTTGTTGGCGTAATCCCCGAACACGTTCTTCGATGACAGCCTGGTAGACCTTCTTCAGTTTCGCCCGAGCCTTCCATACTCCCAGACTGCGGAGTAGTTCTTCCCAGTAATCAGTATCGATCGGTTCGTTGGAGTCCAGCTTCTTCTTGACCTGCACCTCCAGCGTCTGAAGTTGTTCGTATGATTTGGGACTGAGGAGTCGGTTGATATCAGCGGCGACAGAGTTGATGGCACGTCCTTGGGGGGCGGTGGTCTTTTGGCGATCTCGACATATAATCTTCATAGTCTAGAGAACAACATGTCAGTCGCACATCTCATCGAATGCGTAATAGCAAACCGAGATAGACATACCTTCCAAAATTCCCTGTTCTGAGAATTGTTCTCCAGATGCAAGAAAGTATCAATATCCTTCTCCAGATCACCCAGTTGCCCCTGCGACAATCCCTCAAACACCCCATCCGGGTCCACCAGATCAAGCTCCGAGTCTGCAATTTCATCGTCCAGCGGGTCCCTCGTCGGATCAATCACTCGCAGGGTCACCGCGAGCCAGTCTATAGGCTTCGCACGACCTTCCTTGACGCGAATCTCTGCCTTCTTCTTGGCCTGTTTGAGGACGAAAATGTCCTCTTGCGCCACCCATTCTCGTACCTGCTCGTCCTCTTGCAGCTGGTTCAATCGCACCTGGTCTTTCATGTCCCGCGGTTGACCCTGCGATGGCCGGTTGTCCCGTTCTCGCCGTCGGTCGCCTTCATCGTATCTGCGCGGGACTTTCTGGGGTTGTCGCCAGGATGACGGAGAGCGGGAGCGGCTTCGTTTCGTGCTCGATCTGTCCGGAAGTCGCGACGACATTGTGAAGTCAACAGAACAGAAAATGTCGCAGGAATCAATATCACAGTCTGTTAAAGAAAGGAAAATGCAAATATCTTGAATGTTTGTTTGGCGACAGAATTGCAGCTCTTCGAAAGCTTCCAGAATTGTTTCCGGGCGGCGAACGATCCGCGGTGGCACGTGCACTGGCTGCCTTGAGGCTGGCAGTCATAGTAAACAACACCCCTTCTCTGGATTCATCTGTATGAGTGCCAGAATGTCGAAATGGCAGAGACTACGCCTCCCAGAGCGTGAGGGGCTTCCTCCGCTCCTCTACAAATACAGCGGGGCATCTAAAGGCTACGAGATATACATCACGGATCTCACTCTACTGTGGTCGGAGCAGCTCAGCAATCGACAAATCCGCAAGAGAGCCGATGAAGATGACACGACCATTGACCCAAGCGAAGATTCTGAGCAATTCAAGGTTCTGCTCCAGAAGATCGAAGAGGCCCTCTGCAGCAGTCCCGGGAGCAGCATGGCACTGACCAGCGGAGCCAAAACCGATTCCTTAAAATTACATCTAACGACGAAACTTCCTGCTCCGTTGAGGCCACTAAAATGGAATACATATCTGTCCAAAGAACCGCTAACTGCTGCGACAAATCACCTACTTCTACCCCTGCTGAGAGAAGAGAAGGACCGGGAATTGCACCAACGAACCCTGCTCGACCAGCTCAAACAGAAGGATTGGGTCCTTGGGAAGCTGTTCGACAAGATTGAAGTGATGGGTATCGAGCTAAGCACCATCTTTCCCGGCACGTCTGGGCTGCGCGGCGCTCGAAAAGAGACATCCTTAGCCCAGGCGGCGAAATACATCAGAGGAGTTGCGCCGTTTGATGAGCAGGCGTGGTTGGATGAGATGAGCAAGTCTTCTCCTGAGTCGGGACTTACGTCGAATATCCTGAAGGAGATTTCGGGATCTGATTCAGCCTCAGACCTGGAGAAAGTCCACCCGCCACCAGACGGATGGTGGGGGTCGCTGGACATACGCAGCACTGCTGCGGCCAGCCCTGAGCCAGAGGCAAGAAAGGAAACGCCAGAGCCGGAACCTAGCGCTACCAAGGACACCGGCCAAATGGATCTGGACACAGCTTCTGAAGACGATGACGTCGAATTTGAGGTATGTATCAAGCCCGACTACATCCTTCTAGTAAGATCATTAAGCATTGATTCCTATACAGCGTCAAGAGACACCCCCAAGATTCAAACAGCAACAACCTCCCAAGAAAGAACCTCAACCCTCAAAGAAGTCCGAACCAGAACAACCCAGTGGGAGAAAGTCATCCTCTCCACCTCCGCAAAAAGCCCAACAAAAACCCTCCAAAGGACTAGGCAAAATTGGCGGTGCAAAGGCAAAACCAAAACCGAAGTCACCTAGCCCCGAGCCCGAGCCCGAACCCGAACCTAAAGAACCATCACCACAACCACCATCAACAAGATCATCATCCCCAGATCTCGAAGAGCCACCCTCGCGACCCGCCAGACCAGTCAAAACACCGTCAGCCACGCCCTCAGATCAACCAACAGATTCAGATGATGCTTCGGACCAAGACGAACGTCGTCAAACAACCCCACCACAACCACCATCACCCCCCAAACCAAAAGAAAAAGAACCGCAGCAAAAGAAACCCCGTGGCGGACTGGGTGTAATTGGCGGCAAGAGGAAAACATCCAAAGAGCCTACACCTCCACCCCTAGCTCCGTCGTCCCCAACTCCAGAACCGTCAAAATCAGCATCACCACTGCCTCCATCGCAATCACAACAAGCCAAACCGAAACGCGCAGGAAAGCTAGGCGTTATTGGCGGCGGCAAAAAGTCCAAGACATTCAAACCCGAGCCCGAACCTGAACCGGCACGAAGAGCAAATCTCAAGCGTAAATCTGAATCTAGATCCCTTTCACCACCGGGAATAGGAATCCGACCCAAACAAGAGTCGCAGGAGGAAAAACCGAAAATAAAGGAGCCAGAACCAGGGCCAGAAAAAGAAGAGACGGAGAAGGAGAGAGCGGATAGGAAGCGGGAGGAGCTGAAAAAGCAATTGGAGGCGAAGAGTAAGGCGCCTGCGAAGAAGAAGCGAAAGTTTTAGAGGTTGGATATTGTGGTTTTGGTTACACGATGAACCTTTTGAGTACGGCTCTAGATAGTTATACAGATGGACGCATCTAATCGGATCTATTACGATATATTAACTCTTCACAATTTTTTGTAGCTTTCTCGACCTCTATCGTGTAGATAAGCAAGTCGAGTTCGAGTGAATTCGAACTCTCAACCCTTTACTCGAACCTCGGACTCGGTAGTCGACTTAGAACCCAAGTGACACCCCGACGAGTCATAAACTTGTGAAGAGGAACTCCCCTGCACACCAGCAGAAAGACCTGGCTCATCGTGGACTATATCAAACACAAGCACAACAAAACAGTGCAGTTTGGGGTCGATCTTTGAATGAAGTGAAGCAAAAGATTTTAAACGCCATAATGAACAAAAGGCTCCAAGAACAAGACAGCTCAATCGAGAGGAGTGGTGCGGTTTCGAGGCAGCCCATATTTTCCCGTTAAAAGAGGACGCATTCAACCATCCCCCCCCAAAAAAAAAGGGCTACTGGCGGTATATAACTGGTAGGACCGGCACTGAGTTGAGGATAAACTCCACCCAAAACGAGCTACTGGCTTGTTTGGTCTACACCAGAGGCTGTTCAATTCATTCACAGTCTATCAACGATTCATGAATGCCAGCCAATTTGAATATTGATAACCAGTCAGCCGATCTTTTGAATGGACGAGTAACGGATTGTCGCTTTCACAAAGATACGTAGAATGTTGCTGGCCGAGCTCAGGTTCGAACGACCATTCGAACGCTTACGATACGCTACTTGAAGTGCGATGATTGTTCACATTGCACCATTGAACATACTCTTGTACTCGACGGAGGTCAGACATTGGTCAGTACATCTCATACCATTCCATTTGTTGAATCTAGTTAACGTTTGCTTAGCTACACAGCCAAGGCCTTCAACCTAAGGGTGTTAAGAGAAAGCACCTACAACTCGACCGTCCAGTGCCAGGGAAACAATCTTTACCACCCTATGATTGTGGCCTCATGGAGATCTCCGGCTAGCTTCTGGGGCGGCTCCTTTCTGATCTTGGGTTTCGTTATCGATCGGATGCTTGACTTTTTTTTATGGTGTCAACTTCATGGTGTGTTGCCATTGTTCCTTGGTATTGTCAAGACTTCGACAAAGACTTCATCAAGAAGAGGAATATGCCATTGTGACAGCTGTAAAAACTGTACACTGTATCATCATATCCTTGTCATGGACTTCTACAACTATATAGGGCTCAAGTACAGCCACTGTCTATCCTTCCATCCTTCCTCCAGTCTGAGTCCATTCACAAGCGTGACCATGCCGGCATCTTGTGCTGTGATCACATTCCCAATCGTGTGTCAGACAGTATTCATTCTCTTCATAATTGAATGCGCGTTCCGATTCATCAATTACAAGTATGTAAATCGTTACTTCCAGCCATGTTATACTAATTCTGACTTCCTCAGATGGTTTAATAACAGTCACCCCCAAGTTTGCGGTTGCGTCTGCCACAAAACCGAAATGAACACGGACTCCCAGCAATCCCCAAACTCAGAGAATAGCGACAAAACCAACCTCCCCGAGTTGAATCTGGGCATGCAGGAGTATCCCATACCCTACTGGTCCTCATCGAACAACAATAGCAACAATAACAACAGAAACAACACAATAAACCCACTACCTACGCGAGCCATAGACAACCGGGAGAGAAATGGTAAAGCAGAAGGGCTAGCCAAGAAAATCGTGGACAAGTGGGAAGAAAATGGTATCATGGAGGTAATAGCCAGAACGGTCGTTGAGAACTGGGCGAGGAACGGGACGTTGGAGCAGGTGGTTACTGCGGGACAGTGGAGGCAGAAGTTGAGGGAGTTGCGGGATGGTGCTCGTCAGAGGGCTCTTGCTGTGACTCCGTCCTCTGAAAAAGGGGGATATCAATAGCAGATGAAATGAGAGGTTGGTAAAACTGGTATCTGTCTTAAAGATGCGCAATTGGTTGGTGATTAGAGGAACTCTGCCGTGTCATTTCCAACCCGAACACCTCGGCTTTCCTGTCTGTCCTGAAGAGTGGGAGGGGACGCTATCTGGTTTTCAATTGAGGTTGGAGGCTGTCTGTTACGGAGTATCGAGCTCTGGAGAATTGGATTATGATAGTCGTCCTTTTCTTCTTGGTTTGCACCGATTTAGCCGTGACAGCACATGTAAAGATTGCAATAATCTTGAGAATCATTCTGATTAAGATTGTAAAATTCAAGATAAAAAGTATATATGCACTGGGGTATCATACTCATTCAATAATGTGAAGGGTATTAATAAAAGAGAAATCAGCACGAAACCTCCCTATGCATAACCCTTCCGAAAAAACATAAAGCTGCGCCCCAGAACCATAAACAATGCAAAAAGAACTTAAAAAGAAAAAAGCGTATCGTGTTCCTCACGTCAGACGATCACGACCTCCCTGCTCAATTGCACCCCCCAGGCTAACTCGAGTCGTACCGGCCCGTCGATTCCCTTGCTCGCTAGGGGTAACAAGCCGGACTTTCTTTGGCGAAATCGTCCCTGAGGACGTCACACCGTCGGCCGGAATGGCAGGTCCAACCCCCAGCATTCCCCGAGCTTTCTCCGCAGCGTTACTCTCCGTCATATCCCAGCGATCTCGTCTGGCGAAGCCCGCGCCAGCTCTGCGGCCGACAGGATCGCGCCGTTTGGATTCCTCAAGCATTGAAGCACGGTTCTGTTCACGGCGTGGGCCTGGTCCGCAGTCGTGCATACAGCCTGGGGTTGCGCAGCCGCCTTCGCTCATTGAGACGTCGTTCAGCCATGTGACTATGCAGGCCATGTGGCCACCATGCCCGCAGCCTTGGCACCAGGTCCAGAGGGATGATCCCTTGGGGCGTGGAGCGGTGAAGGAGTCCAAATACGGTTCGTCCAACTGCTGCATCTCAGACGGGGGAATGGGCTCTGTTTGGGTTGACGAACCAGACGACAGAAGCTGCGATGCGGCTTCGGTATCTCCTTCAAAGTCCTCGGTGCGCGCTAGAGATTCTGATTGCTCTGCAGCCCATTCAGGAGGTGGATTAATGCTCATGCAGATAGCACAAGGGTCCTGAGGCGTATCGCAGCGATGACAACGACGGTTGTCCTGTTTCGGGTTTTCGTATGGTCGTTTGCATTTGAAACAGAAGACGTTGATGAAAGTGTCCATCTGTGCATAGTCATACACGGACGGGTAGGACGGAACACAGAGAAGCCGCAGCTCTGCTGCCTCGAGGTACATGGATTGTCGCAGCAACTGCTCATTGTATGTTTTGAATATCATCTCACATTCCTCATAAGGAAGGATGTTATCGCAATCCTGGAAGAGAATATGTAATTTCTGGAGCAGATGAGCAGCAGTCTGGATATCGACGTGGGTGCTGTTGCTGTGATAATGCCGGATTGCCTCCCTCATCAAAAATTCGACACTCCAAGGCTTGTTTTCTGTCATGCCAGACTGAATGGGGAGTGTCATTCCACAAAGATCTTCAGTAGCTTCTGGTATTGTGGTGTGAGCAGCCATGGAGTCATTGTCGACTTGGAATTGCTCTTCCTGATTAGGCGATTCAAGAGGATCGGACTCTTTCAGAAGCATTGGGGGGCTAGAAGGTCGTTCGAGGTGTACGTGATCAGTCTCCGGCAAGCTCTCTTCGAAGGACATGTTGCCCCGCACAGCTTCTTTATCTTGCACAAGTACAGGCTCAGCTTCCAGTAGCGAGCCGCTCTGGGACTTAATTTGGTTCCGCTCAACGGCATCGCCATTTATTACTTTCTTCCTATGCTCATACACTTTCGATGTAGGAGAAAAGGATGCTCCGATTGACTTGGAGGGATGTGAACTCTCCGTGGAGGCAGAGAACATAGGGAAGCTATCCGATGATTCATGATGGTGAAGGTTGGATGGCTTTGATTCTAGAGGTGATTCTAGTGACAATACCTTTTTGGGAAACTGTTTATAGTCACGGATGGCTGCTCGTTTATCTTCGATTTTCTGTTCATATTCATCCTCTTCGGAGCCGCGCCAGTCAACCCGACCAGTGATCGCCCGCGGAGCTGACCTTTGGTCAACTGGAAAGTCTGAAGGTGCGGAGCCTTGGACCTGCCCTGATAGGGAACTTGTCAACGAAACATGGTCACTTGAAGTTGATTGGCGGTGCTGGAGCTGTACGGAGTCGCGGACGTCCATGTCAGACCAACCATTCGAATCCAGGGTGCCCCGGTTTGAACTGAGAACGGACGGTGGTAGCGGTTGAATGTCTGTCAGATCATCGTTGGATGTGACGCTACTATCCGATCCTACTGGAGAATCTGGCAATGGACGGGCCAGGGGCGTAGCCATATTGGAAGGGCTTTCCCCGTCAGAGAGGGCAATTCGATGCCCCTCCGTTTCCATGACACCTTTGAACAATCGGTTCTTCATCTTGTCATGTCTGCCCTCGTCTAGTGGACGACTTTTCTCGCCTAGTAGGCCTTCTTTGGACATCTTCTTTTTAATGCCGCTGGCAGTCTTGTCAGTCGACCGGAACTGCTCTCGCGCCTTGGTTTGAAGCTCCTGCAGGACGGCAAATTTGACGATTCTCCAGGTCTGAGCCAGCTGAAAAAGGGAAGCCGCTTCTGCAGACTCTGCATTATAATCGAATGACTCGAGGAGAGACCGTAAAAGGTCAGAGTGGACCGGTTTCTCGTCGCTGCTTCCCATTAAAGCGGAGTACTGGCGAGTTAAATATCGGAAAAGAGTCGAATCCATCGTAGCTCCCGGAATGCTACTCATTACTCCCAACTGCCGGGGTCCCGGTGCCTTGTTTTTCGACAATGCTTGTTCCAGCGGGGCAACAGGAATGAAGTCCGGAGCGCCGGGTGGCGTACTTCCCAGCGATTTGGACGGCCGGGCACCGACAGACTTCGTATGTCGATGACGGATGGCAGACGTGAAGGACGGTTCATCCAGGATATCGTCGGCCGGGCTGTGGCCCAGGCCCCTCTCACTGGCATTCCTTTCGTCCGCCTCGTAACCCAGAAACTCTGAAGTAGTAAGACCCAGGGGACTTCGACGAGGACGCTTCTGCATGAACGCAAGTACTTCGCCATTGGGACTCCAAGCGATGGAGCCTGTCGGGCGACGATTGACCACTTGAGGCGCATATCGAACATCTGTCTGAGTAAAAGCTCCAGAATCCCCTACCGTCCACAAGAGATCCTTGGAATGCCAGAGCAGATCGGCCGCCTGGGTGTCATACCGATCAAATTCCCGAAAGGGGATATGTGGGCGTTGCAGGTCCCAGAGATGGATGCGCGGATCCTCCTTGTCATAGGACGTCACCACCTGCAACGACTGCCAATCGCTCGAGCCCTGCGACGAATCCCTGATCCAGGAGGGCGGACGCCATCGAGCGTTCAAGACCGCCTGCGGGGTCCGAAACTGGAAAGTCGGTTTCTGTCGTCGCTCGGCCGAAGACGAGAAGTCCCAAACCTTGACCTGCCGGTCCGCACCACCCGTAATAACGTGTTTCCCGTCTGGATGCCAATCGACCGAAAAACACGAGCGATCGTGAGCCGTGATTCGCATCAAGGGGGCATTGGTCTTGCGGTAATCCCACAGCTGAACAGCACCACTATCGGTGGCGGTAGCAAACATGACGCCGTCGCTTGGAGACCATCTTATATCGCGAATGGCGTCACTGTTTCCATTGTATAGTTCCTTGCTCCCAATTGTAGAAACGCCCCGTTCGGAGGAGGCCATGCGTAAGTCCCACATCCGAATGGAGGAGTCCTGGCTCCCCGACAGCAACCATGCTGGGAAGTGCGGATTGAACGCCAGCCGATGGACCTGGCGGCTATGTCCCTGAAAACGACAGAACTCGAGGCCGGTACGATGTAAGTCGTAGACAACGATGCGACCATTGGCTATGGCAGTGGCGATAACCTGGTCAAAATTTCCATGAGACCACTTCACATCTCTCACCGCTAGCTGGTCCTTGTGCCGCGCAGAAAGCGTACTTCCCCCATAATGAGTGGATGAAAAGCTGATGATCGCATTGCGCAGGTTGTATTCCTCCGAAGAATGGTCTGGCGACACGCGAATGGTCTTGAGGATCTCCTTGCCACCGATTACCGCATGGGTCCGTTGAGGCGAGATATCCAACGCTGAAATGGGAATGCCGGTTTTATGGGTTACCGATTGAGAAACTCCAGGCCTAGTTCAGATCCAATTAGATCGATTATTCTAGGATACCACCAAAGAAACAAAAGCAAGTCGGGGGGTAATACAGAGACTTGGACCTCGTGTGACGAGGACCAGCAGACAATTCGGCACGACCATTGGCAGCGGAAGAGGTCTGCGGGCTGGGCGGGCGAGACGCGGACAAGAACGGTTGGGCAAATCTAGCTAGGGCGTTGGCTGCCCGATGAGAGTATTTCTGGCTGGTCTGGTGTGCCGGGGGAGGCGGTGGAGGAGGAGGAACGGGCGATGCGAGGTTTGTAGTGCTGCTATTGCTGCTGGTAGAGGTGACGTTGGTGGAGAGACGCGAAAGGTCCGACATGGTGAAGGCAAGTACATAAGCAGTCCAGTTGAGACCAACGCAGGATGGAACTCAACCCAAGGCCGATTGGAGCTCCATCGCTGGGCCGGGAAAGGGCCGACGATGAGCAGCTATTAAACAAGTGGACAATGAGGAAGATTGAAGAAGGTTGGGGTGTGTAGGAGAGGAGAAAGATTGAATGTGTGAGGGGAGAAAGATGTAGACCGAAACGGGAAGGCGGAGAGGGTAGTCAGTATGCCAGATGCAGATGAGTGAATGCTTCTCTATGGCTTCTTCGTGTTATTCTTTATGGCACAAGTTACTCGTGATATATGGTTCTTAGATGACTACCCTTGGAGTACATTGAAACATGACCCTCGCTTAACCCGACTTCCGTGACTCCATAATGGCCAATTACCCACGCAGACACAATGTCGACTACATGATAGTAGTGTATAGAAAAAATATTATATAAAGATGCAACTGGAATAGTTAGTTAACTATACGCTCAAGTGTCTACTCTGTACAGCATAGCTATTAGCATAAGATGTGGGTTGATTCGGAGAATTGAACCATACGAGACTACGGCGAACACTCCGAAGTATATATCTCCAAGGGTAGGATAGTACAAGTAATGTACGGAGTACTCTGGTCAGGTCAATTATATAGATCCAGATGCCTATTCGATAGAGAATGAAAATGACATGACAGATTTGCCACAGAAAGCATCTGACCGATTCAATTCGATTGTTTTCACTGCCCTCAGCTATGATGATTCTCAGTGGAGCATACACCATACTGACCAAAGAGTGAACCTGTTTCTGCTCTGCCATGGCTGTTTCTTCCTTCTCTTTCCCTTCTTTTTCTCTTTGCTTTATATGCATCTATTGTCTTTGTCTGAGACGGGATTGTTATAGATCACATTCGAGTGCTATCCAACCCGATTCGAGGACTACTCCGATATATCGAGATCTCTGAACTGGGATATTATCCGATTTGCAGGGAATCTACTACCAATTGAATACCAGAGGTTCTTATATATAAACTTCCGGTGGGTAAGTTTATTTGTCTCGATTCTATTCTTGTTTGCTGTGTGGTACAGTAGTGCACAGTCACAGTGCCAAAGCCACCCCCAGCCAAGGTCGTCTTCCGCCACCGAACGACTTCCGCTTCTTTTTCTCTTTTTTTTCTCTCTCTCTCTCTCTCTCTCTCTCTCTCTCTCTCTCTCTCCCCCCCCTTCTCAACTCCTATTATATCTCCTTTCCTCATATATTCTTGCCTCTTTGCTCGATCAATTCAGTTTCTCGTGCACTCGTTTTTGTCGCTCGACTGTATTATTGTGCTGCAAGTCTAATACTTCCGTCAGACCACCGCTACCACAACTCCGGGTCATTGTTGCTTTGCCTCGGGTTTCGTCTCTACTATAAAATCAACTTGACCATAATCAATCGCCCTCCATTACTTTCGCTATAGCTTCCTGTTTCAGGGCTTTCGCTGTATCCATTACACCGCCGCTTTTTTTTTTTTTTTTTTTTTTTTTCTCCCTTGGCCTTGACCAACGCTTTTTGGTTTTACGCGTCGATCCTTCCGGGAATTCAGATTCAGGAACTGCTGGCCGGTATTTACAAGTTTCTCCCAATCGGTGAACGACGATCCGGTTCATTTCTCCTCTACTGTCGTTTCCAATCTCGTGTTCGATCTCAAGTCGTTCGTGTCGCCCGCGCCGTCCGAGTGTTACCCACCGCTTCTTCTCTCGTCAGAATTCGCGCGTTCATACGGAAGGGACTGTGACACGATTGTCGTGTCAATGGAAAAGACCTTGATGGTCTCTTGTTAAGTGTCTTCGTGTGTGGATATTGTTTGTGTAGGAGGATGTCATATACCATGAATTCTGGGCACACGACGCAAGACGTCGTAGTTTTTCTTCGCATCAGCTACCCCATCATCCTCTTGATCACTTTTATAGTGGCCTTCATTACAAACTCGATTATCACGGCAAAGAAGGCTACTCAAAATGGCAGACAGGAACAGATGGGTCCTGGCGGGAGACCGCTCCCCAAACGTGCGCGAAGTACCATGGCCGTAGCGAAGAATCGCAGGTTTTCCCGGTGCACCAGTCTCCTATTTAGGTGGCTGGCCGTCGGCGTATTGGCCACTCTCGTCGCAGATGCCGCTATCAACATGACCCATGTTATGTTTGCGAGGTCTCAGCATTGGTGGTGTGGTCAGTCGGTTGTGGTAGGTCTTCTTAACAGAGAGGTGCCCTAGTAGTATCCTGCACAAAGGCTGACTCGAGAGTGTTTTACAGATTTACATCGTGGGGTCCTTTTTCGTCCATGCAATCCTTCTCGTTTCCATGTTGGATACAAACCCTTCGCCGAATCCCTCGCACTTCGTCCCATGGTTGGTGGCCATGCCTTTCGAATTGGCCATCTTAGGAGGATCGCTTTCTATCTACGTCAATATTCACCGCGAGCCAATGGTAGGCAACCCAGTCGGTGGCCCCTTACGCAAGAGCATCACCATGTGGGAATCGTTGGAAGTGGCTTCAAACTCGGTTAGAGTTCTGTTCCTTGCCACTCTGATCTTGATGTACGTTGCCCACTTGATTCGCGTAAATTCCATTGGACGGAAAGCGGCGAGTCAGGCAAACGGAATCTCAGAATCCACGGGGTTGCTCGACGGGTCCAATGCGGAATCAGGGACGGCCAACGGACAAGCATACGGCTCGACCAATCACGAGGACTCCAAACCGACGGATGCGTGGGTTCGTCCAACGACCATTCCGTCCACCAGCTGGTGGGAGTATCTTAGTGGATACTCGCTCTTCTTCCCCTACCTCTGGCCGTCCAAGTCTCGCCGTCTGCAAACCATCGTGGTCGCCTGTTTTTGTTTGATCGTCCTGCAGCGCATTGTGAACGTTTTGGTGCCCTATCAAGTGGGAGTTATAACCGACGCTTTGTCTGAGAAAGATGGCGGCGGGTTCCGAGTTCCCTGGTTTGAGATTTGTATGTATATCCTGTATCGCTGGCTGCAGGGCAACCAAGGCCTAATCGGTTCCCTGCGCTCCTTCCTGTGGATTCCCGTGAGTCAATATTCCTATATGGAGCTTTCAACTGCCGCCTTCGAACATGTCCATGGGCTCAGTCTTGAATTCCACCTTGGAAAGAAAACGGGTGAAGTGCTATCCGCTCTGAGCAAGGGCAGCTCCATTAACACTTTCCTGGAACAAGTAACGTTCCAGGTAGTTCCCATGCTAGTCGACCTTGGGGTTGCTATTGGATATTTCCTTGTTGCATTCGATGCATACTACGCCTTGGCGGTCGGCATCTCCACGTTCACCTACCTTTATGTGACCGTTCGCATGGCACAATGGAGAGCGGGTATCCGAAGAGAGATGGTCAATTACTCGAGGCAGGAAGATGCAGTGAAGTGAGTATCATCATTTTGTCCCTTTTGTTTTATCCCTTCGACAGTCCGAGCTAATACAATACCAATAGAAACGACTCGATGGTTTCGTATGAGACTGTCAAATACTTCAACGCGGAGGACTATGAATTTGGCAGGTATAGAAACGCGGTCAACGACTTCCAGAAGTCTGAGTATCATGTTCTGCTCTCTCTGACGTTCATGAATACCTGCCAAAACACCGTGTTTATGTTAGGTCTCTTGATAACGTGCTTTGTTGCAGCGTTTCAGGTCTCGACTGGCCAGCGTCCTGTCGGCCAGTTTGTGTCACTTTTGACCTATATGGCACAGCTCCAAGGCCCGCTGAACTTCTTTGGCACTTTCTACCGTTCCATTCAATCCTCCATGATCAACTCTGAGCGGATGCTCGAGTTGTTCCGTGAACAGCCGACAGTTGTTGACAAATCCACTGCCACACCTCTACCGGAATGCAATGGTAACATTACGTTTGACAATGTGGAGTTCTCATATGACAGCCGAAAGCCAGCCTTAAACGGCCTGACCTTTAACTGCAAACCTGGGACGACTACCGCGTTGGTTGGCGAATCTGGAGGAGGAAAGTCGACCGTTTTCCGCCTGATTTTCCGTTTCTACGACACTGAACGGGGAAGGATCCTCATTGATGGAAATGATGTGGAAGATGTCACGATCGACTCATTGCGACAGCATATTGGTGTTGTGCCCCAGGATACGGTTCTTTTCAACGAATCACTCATGTATAACCTGAAGTACGCCAATCAGGACGCCACAGATGAGGAAGTTTTTGAGGCCTGCCGGGCGGCCAGTATTCATGACAAGATTCTAAGTTTCCCCGATGGCTACCAGACCAAGGTTGGTGAACGGGGATTGCGTCTCAGTGGAGGCGAAAAGCAACGGGTTGCAATCGCCCGTACCGTCATCAAGAACCCTCGCATCATCTTGCTGGACGAAGCAACTGCCGCGCTCGATACCGACACAGAAGAGCACATCCAACAGGCTCTATCCACCCTATCCCATGGCCGCACAGTACTTGTGATCGCACATCGACTAAGCACTATCACGAGGGCGGACCAGATTGTTGTTTTGCACGAAGGCCAAGTTTCCGAGAGCGGCTCGCATGATGAGCTGTTGGCCTTGAAAGGTCGATATTCCAGCATGTGGCGCAAGCAGATTCGAGCGCAAAGGGCAGCCGCAGAGGCCCAAGTCCTCCAGGACCGCGCTCAACGTCTGCGTAGTGCACCTGGAGATGACAGCTCCAGCCAATCCGACGAAGACCGGAATGGTCACGGCCATGATACCGCTCCTCCGTCGAATGTGCCAGACCACGGGCATTGAGTATAAAGTGCATGGTTGTTGAGTTACTTTGTTGTTACTGCAAAGTTTGGGCTCTTATGCGAGCCAGTCCGGTATAAACAAGAGGGGGCTATAATATTTTTGAGGTTGTCGCCAATGAAAATTTACAAAGCCATGGCTCTCATTTACATGGCATGGAGAGGAGATACCATTTGTTTTGTTTTCTTTTCTTTTCGGGTCTTTATCTTTTGCACGAATTTATCCAGGGTTACGTTTCCATGTTTTCTTCTCGCACATTTCTTATCATCATGGCGTTTGGAGTGCCTTACGACTTGTACGAACGTACGGTATATTGACTATCATCAGACGAACTCGGGGGCGTCCGCTGTTGTTAGGTTGGATGCGTTGGTATAAACACACACACACACACACACTGTTTAGACTAATTGTTGACTGGAAGTAGTAGGATAGCAATACAACCAGTTAGCCAAATCTTGTTGCTTGTATAAACTGTCTAGTAGGGCATTTGTGTCTTTCTATTTGCTTGTGTCTGATTGGCCGGGGCAGTAGTGCCAAGTCGGAGGCCTGACATCAGCGCCGAAATTCTCCGCATTTCGAATATTTTGGTATTTGAATCTTCTTTCTGCTCATATTCAGACAATTGATTGCGAGAAATCAAGACGAGATAACAGTATTCAAAATGCATTCTCCATCACCACAGCTGCTCCGTGCCCTGCGCACATTCATCACACCCACTACTACCAACACCACAACCACTGCCCTCCGATCCTCACGAATCGCACCGCAATGCACCGCAACCAGCACCATATTCAACGCCTCCAGTCGCCGCTACAACAGTACCGAATCCCCCCGTCCAACCCGCATGATCCCCCGCTCCCACGCCTCCAAACCAACATCCCACGACCGCGGCCCAGCAGTCCAAGAAAACACAAACACCGACCTCAACGCGCTCAATGTCCTAGGCAACATCCCTGCGCCTACGACGGCCGTGGAAGCCACAATAGACGACGGGTTTCATTTGGATAACGGGTTGAAGGTGCGCAATGGAGACGGTGTGATGTTGGTTGGCGGAGAGGCGTTTGCGTGGAGGCCGTGGGCGACGAAGGGGTCTAAGGCGGAGATGGTGAATAAGAAGGGGCAGTTTGAGGTTGATGAGGAGGTTTGGGGGGTGCTTGGGTTGGTTTGGCCGAGGCCTGGTACGTCCATTCACCTTCCTCTAATGGCTTTTGGTAGGGGCGGTTTGCTAATGCGGATACAGATCTGTTGATTATCGGGATGGGGGAGAATATGTTCCCGCTTTCTCCAGAGACAAAGAAACATATCAGTTTGCTGGGGATTCGAGTTGAGATTCTGAGTACGAGGAATGCAGCGTCGCAGTTTAATATGTTGGCGACGGAGAGAGGTGTGACGGAGATTGCGGCTGCGATGATTCCTTCCGGGTGGAAGGGGAGGTAACCTGTGTATGGGGTGTTTGGTGTTGGGTGTTATAATATGACTATGTACTATATTGTATTTCTATGGCAATGTATAGCTCTTCTCTCGATGTTCCATGAATATTTCCTATTCCGTCATGCTTGATATCTGCTATCAGGAACAACGCCAAAACTAATGCCGGCAAACCTTGACAGCAGGGCCAGCAATTGACATGAAATATTCTGTAGATACAAGTTCACTGACTCTACGGTGAATATTCAGCTTGTACATGTCGGCTTGGTTGATGAATGCATCGCCAATCAAGCGTGACGTTGCAGTCTCGTGCCAAGCCCGTAGACACCTGACCGCTCCGACATCGATCGATAAGAGGCCCCTATTCCATCACCAGCACCAATTCATCCTTTCTATTCATACATCCTAAGATATCAATAACACTGCCGACACCATGGCTCGCGACGAGCCACTCCTGGCCCCTCGCATCTCGTCCGACCACGGATCAATCCGCACCACCGAAGAAGAAGAAAGCCTACTGACCGGCCCCCGAAGCCGCCGCGAGATCGAACGCCGCAACAGGAGCTTCTGGCGCGAAATCGGTCTCCTCGCATGGGCTCTCATCGCGACAATCGCCGTCGTTGTCCTCGCCGTCGTCTACCAGCACAAATCCGGCCGCCATGTCCCGAACAAACCATCCTGGGGCCCGGGCGGTAAGCCAACAGGCAAGCGGAACATGATCTTCATGGTTTCCGATGGGATGGGGCCCACGAGTTTGACGATGACCCGTAGTTTCAGACAGCATACGGAGGGCTTGCCGATTGATGATACTTTGGTGCTGGATGAGCATATTATTGGGACGTCGAGGACGAGGTCGAGTTCGAGCTTGGTTACGGATTCTGCGGCTGGCGCGACGGCGTTTTCGTGTGGGTTTAAGAGTTATAATGGGGCTATTTCGGTGTTGCCGGATCACTCGCCTTGTGGGACTGTGTTGGAGGCTGCGTCGTTGGCTGGGTACAAGACTGGACTGGTTGTTACTACGCGACTTACGGATGCTACGCCGGCGTGCTTTGCTTCTCACGTCAACCAGCGAGGCTATGAGGACCGGATTGCGGAGCAGGAGATTGGCGAGTATCCGCTTGGTCGCGTCGTGGATCTTATGCTTGGTGGAGGCCGGTGCCATTTCCTGCCCAACTCGACCGAAGGGAGCTGCAGAAATGACGAGCGGGACCTGGTTGAGCTGGCGAAGCAGAAGGGATTCAACTATCTGGATGACCGGAAGAGCTTCGACGCGCTGAATGGCGGCGCTGAGGCTCAATTGCCGCTGCTTGGTTTGCTGGCTGAGAAGGACATCCCGTATGAGATTGACCGCCGCAGCCAGGACGAAAAGTACCCGTCTCTGGAGGAAATGACCCGCACGGCTCTCAAAATCCTCAGCGATGCCACCGCCGACAGCGAGCAGGGTTTCTTCCTGATGGTTGAGGGATCTCGTATTGACCACGCTGGACATGCCAACGATCCTGCTGCGCAGGTCCACGAGGTGATGAGCTACGACAAGGCATTCGCGGCTGTGACGGAATTTCTCGAGAAAGACCCTACCCCAGGTGTACTGGTGGCTACATCAGACCATGAAACCGGTGGTTTGGCAACGGCTCGACAACTCCAGCCTGACTACCCTGATTACCTGTGGTATCCCGGTGTGCTTGCCAGTGCCAGTCACTCTGGCGAGTTCCTCAGCGAAAACTTGAAGGCGTACATTTCCAAGGAGACAAGCCACACCAAGCAGCAGAAGTATGCTCGCACTCTTCTGGAGAAGGGACTCGGTGTTCATGATGCTACTGGTGATGAAGTGAATGCTCTCATTGACCCGAACTACCCGTATGTCCCTGAGCATGTGTTTACGGATATCATCAGCCGTCGGGCACAGATCGGCTGGTCCACACACGGACACTCTGGTATGTTTTTCTCCTTGGAATTTATTTTGAATCTATCTAACCAACAAAACAGGCGTCGACGTCAACATCTACGCATCCTCCACCAAAGACGCCTGGCCGCTCCAGGGCAACCACGAAAACACCGAAATCGGCGAGTTCATGGCCAACTACCTCAACCTGGACCTGAAGCCCGTCACCGACAAGCTTCAATCATTGACATCTTGGTCTTCCTCTTCCTCTTTAGCTCGCACCGATTCAAAGGAATCGTACGGCTGGATGGGCCATCCCTTGGAAGAGGACGTCCGGACTGAGGGATTGGATACGTACCATGGGGACTTTAGGAAGAGGTCCGCTGGTGAATGTAACTGTGGACAGGCTCATTGATTGAACGTGTTTTGAGGGGAATCACGATAGCATTTGTCATGATTTTTTTTGTTGCTGGCGTTAGGGTATAGGTTTCGGTTGTTAATTAGGTACAGGGGATTTGCTCTGTTGATCTTGTTCATATCATATCATGGGAATCGTAACATATTAATCTCATCTAACCGAAGATATCCTCAACCACCGTACTACAACGGCACGGACGCCCCTCAACGCCGTCAACCTCCCACCAAACAGCATTAATACCAACCCTCGTCTCACAATACAGCATATTGAACGGATGGCAGAAATGGCGCGCTGATTGATGTCGCTGGTTAATCAAACTACGGACTTATTCTCTTTTCTTTCATTTCCCCCGGTATCCCTGGATCCTCTTGTTTCTCTCGTTTCTTTGGGTCTTCTTGACTCTGTCCAGTAAATGCCGAGTTTAAATCCAAGTACAGCATGTCCTCGGCTTGATCTGATTGTCCAAGCGCCTGTCAATTCCAGTGGTGAAGACGAATGTTGCTGGATCATTTCACGTGATATCTGGGGCTCTTTTTGGGCAATCTGCTTGCTTTGTATTTATTCACTAGACAGTCACATGATGGGTTTAGGTGAAAGAATACCAACTCGTCTCAGTCAGAGAAACTTCTTCTTCCTCTTCTTCCTCCTCTTCCTCCTCCAAACTTGTGGTGCACGAGTCCACCCGCGCGATGGCTTCTCTTCTTACTTTGCCAACGGAGTGTATCCTCCATATCTTCAAGAACTGCGAGGGTTTATCTCAGGCAATTACGCTCTCCTCAACATGCAAGTTAATGCATTCTATCTTCTCATCAAATCTGCACTCGATCCTGTACAGCTTAGGCACAGCTCAGATTCTCGCGTTTAAGGATGCTTTGATGACGGTAAGTCGATTGACTAACGAGGTGATATCGATCGTTGCTGACCATGTCTCTTCCAAGGCACGCGCAACACAGATCGTCCTCGACCATTTTCGTAAAAGTGAATTCCCTCCGGATCCGTTCCCACTCGACTCTTTGAGCTGCGCAGCCAAAAAACTGTCTCCTGAGGAGTACAGGCTTGTCCTCGATTGGGAGCATCTCGCCAAATGCGTCGAAAATATCTGTTTAAAAAACACTGAATGGGGCAAACGGTATGGAAGTTTCACGGGTCCACTGTCTAACTCTTGTGGGAAATGGCTGCTTTAGAAAGAGAATTTCCGTCGTTTTATCTATCGAGTTTTTTTATGGGGGCTGTGCTTTGTCGGGCATACCAGGAGCCTCTGGCGCCGCCATCAGGTACAGGCGAACATCCACATCGCCCTCCACCAGGCTTCCTACATGATTTTTCTTGTCAGAATTGGCGCGCCGGCCACGCTGATGTGGAATACTTGGTGAGGTACCCCATCCTCAATTTTGGGTCGTATGAGGACCATGGGTCTGTTTATGGGCCACTGGCGGACTTTCTCTTCCAACAGAGCAAGATGCGAGCCCGGAGCCAGTATTATTCACGGCCTGAACATTTGGTATCTTTTCAAGAAGCAACGATTCCTGATTACATGGATGAAACACATGCTAGCATATTATATACAGAGACTGGGGTGCTTGCTTGCATTTTTATCGCTTTCGGATAAGCCTCATCGGTCAGTGGTATTCAATTATGGAAGTGACGCAAGACAAGATAACCGCTTGAATAGGAAAATCACTGTTGTGCCGCTAGACCAGTTCTATCCAAAGGAGATTTCCATGCCAGATCAGGCACAGGATGCCCGCCACTCTTCTATTGAAAATGCCAATCTTCTTAGGGAATTACTATTACATGTGTGTGCCTCAGATACTTTCTGCTGTATATGCACGTTCCGGTCAGCCGAATCATTATCGCCCAAATGATCGGATGCCTTGGCCACCTCTGCAGACATTTGAATTCGTCCTCCGAAAATTTCTCGGTCTTCGCTTTGCTCAAGATTTCTCCACTACTTCTTATGACATAAGATTCGGCGATTTAACACGGGACAGCGGGGATATCTACCACGAGGATAATTTACAATGGCCGGCGGGAGCTGAATGGGTGTTTGGCGCTGCGGACGGAGGAGAAAATAATAAGTATGATTCTTTTTTTGCTCCGATGACTTGATGGTACGAAGTATCCTGGACTGAGAGGAAGGATTTCAGAGGAGGTACTACGCTTCGCTTCGCCCATCAATCACATGTATGTAATTTGATATCAGACCAGAATACGTGATCACCATGCAATTTGTATACAAGTAACCCAAGATCGACAAAGGGCCCAGTTTCATCCAACGTCGTACTCAACACCATTGTCCCAAGATTCCATCGTACAATTTGAACTTCGAGATTGACTAGCGAAAAGGATAGCCTCGCCATCATTGGAGACTACCACAATAGTGCTGCGTGGCGCCACAATAGCCTGCAGCAGATCAATTTTCCATATCATACGCTGGTTTCATTGCACATGCTCGCGTGTTCTCGAATACCGTGCGGGCTCGGGCTATACAACAGCCTAGGATGGAGAGTCGACGTATTGAATGTGTCCGGGGCTGGAATTCTTGGACCCGTATGTATGAGTTTCAAGAGCGGCAAAGAAGACAATAAAAGAAGAAGAAATTTATCTGGCAGTAAGTTGTACGACTGGCAACTACCCATGGTGCACCTGGGGTTAGTAGAGGGTTAGTAGCGAGATGGAGAAGATCCAGAACCCCCGCCACTCCAGGTATGTTGAATCAATCGCCGAGAGAATATTTCAGAACATTGAACTTTCAATACAAGATAGAGATCTCTACTACAAGTCATGGCCGTCTCTTGCTTATCTGGGCTGCCAGCATCACATGTCACGCGTGATATTTTCTGTTGGTGAATGAATATCAACCCATGTATTTTTCTTCTCCGCTACTAATTTACCCAGAGTACCTGTTAACTTAGGCTAATTGATCGATTCAGTACAAATCGAGTCTAAGCAGCATGCCAACAACATCGCTTCTACATTTACTCCCAGCAGAGTGTCTCTTGCTTGTCCTAAAGAGCTGTGAGAGTCCATCTCAAGCACTTACACTCTCATCAACATGCAAGCTTATGCACTCTATATTCTTGCTGAATCTACCCTCTATCCTACGCAACATTGGCAGGTCACAGACTCTCGCGTTTGAAAACGCGTTGATGGCAGTAAGTACAATCCTGTATGATGCCGATTTGGAGCAATTCAGATCTAGCCTGTCAAAAATACTGGACGAGAGTATAGCGAGCATTGCTGACTTGGCCCCCTCAAAGGCTCGAGCAACCAAGATATCCCTCGACTGTTTTCATAAGGGAGAGCTCCCTCCTGATCCCTTCCTATTTGATGCACTGGACAGTGAAAAAAAGCCATCTCTGCAAGAATTCCAGCATGTATTTGGATGGGAGCATCTGATCAACTGTATTGAGAACATATGTCTCAAAAACACCAAATGGGGAAAAGCGTGTGCAGGCGTGGCGAGTCCGAATTCTAGTGCATGGCTATACTGGAGAGAGAACCTTCATCGATCGGTATACAGAGTCTTCCTCATAGGCGCAGTCCTATGTAGGAAATACCAGGAGCCTCTGGCACCGTCAGAAGACCATCCACAACCTCCCATAGTTTCTGGATGACATTATCCATGACGACAGTATTTGGTACACGGGACCTACTTGGGACCCGGATCATGACGATGTCAAGTATTTGTTGAAATATTCCATCTTCAAATTTGGTGCATATGAAGAGCATGAGCCGATTTATGGGCCATTGGCCGATTTCCTACTCCAGCAGAGCAGGAAACGTGCTCACGATCAGCGTGATATCCTACCAGAAGACCTAGTGTATCACGAGGAATCATTGTTCCCTGATTACATCGAGATAAAAGAACATGCAAGCTTGATATTCGCGGACACTTTGGAAAGTTTATTCGCATTCATAGCAGTCGCCGGCTACGCGCATTGGACGATTATCAAAGGAGAAACCCCAAAAGACAACATCAGCACCGATTCTGAAGCCGAGAGTAACCCCGAAGATAAAGACAACAACAGCACAGACGACACTCGCCTGGGCAAGAAACTCGCCGTCATACTACCAGAGCAGTTCTACCCAGAGACAATACACATGCCAAAACGCGTAAACAAGGCACACAACACTCTCCTAGCGAGAAAACGAATACGCAAAACCGCTTCGAGCCCGTTCTGCAGGCACGTGGACAAGGTTCTCTGCGGCTTACATGAAGTCTCCGGCCAGCCGAATGTATATTATGATTTGTGTCCGACTCCATATCCCCCGCTGCAGATATTTGAGTTCATTTTCAGGAGATTTCTAAGTCTTCGCTTCGCTGAAGATGCTTTTAGCATTCTACCTCCCGGCTCGCCACCTAAGGTGTTTTTGAATAGGATTGAGAGTGGAGATATTTACTCGGAGGTTGATGAGCAGTTACCGGAGGGTGGGATAACGATGTTCGAACCTAATAATTGGGCGGATTTTGATGCGCATTTCTTTTCTATGCGCTGACTTGAGTGTATTCTGGTAAGCCAAGAGAAGACGGAGTACATCTGTATATAATCCTTGTATAATGTGGCAATGTCAAATCATAATATTAGCGACTGCTTCCAGCAATCCGGATATCAATAAGTTAGGTAAGATCAAGTTAAGTTACTAGTTATACAAGATCCAGTCGTTTCCTCCCAGAATCATGAACCACAGCGGAGCATCCAGGCATTATTCAAATAAAAAAAAGTCAAAATCAAAGACGAATAGGATAGACAACCATGGAGGATATAAAAGATGTCTGGTATATAGCAAAAAGGATAGAATCCAAGATTCAAATCATGTGCGTTGAAAAAAGGGTGACAGAAGCATGTGCAGGAATTAAAAAGGTCAAGGGAAGGTTTTTTTTTTTTTTTTACAGGGTAATCAGGACAACAAGGGCAACGAGGACACCGAAGAACGAGCTCTGCATCACACGCTCGCCCTGGAAGGTGGTAGCAGCGTTGGTGGTGACGTTCTTCTGGCTGTGGTCAGAGACGGAGGAGCCGTCCGAGCCAGGCTCGTTGCCGGTACCGCCGTTGGTCTTGGGGACGCTGGATGAGTCATCATCCTTGTCATCGTTGTCCTTGTCAGCGCCAATGTCAGGGTCAAGACCGGTAGCACCAAACGACGCAAGCACAGTGTCGTTGTTGGTCACCTGCACAGAGGTGTTCAGACCCTTGTCGTCCTTGAAGATATACGACTTGTCGCCGTGGATATCAGCACCGTCAGGTGGGCTGTAGCACTCGACCGTGATCTCTCCAAAAGACGCATAGTAGTAGCCCTTGTCCTGGATGTCCTCGCTGTCCCAGTCGATCTCGCCACCGGCCCATTCGATGGTTCCCTCGGCGTTGCTGGCCTGACCAGCGGGCCACAGCGAGAGTTGCATGCGAGAGGGGGTCTGGGGGAATTGGTAGCGGCCGGCGGTTTCGTTCCAGGTCTCTGATTTCTCGAGGGTTCGCTTCACCTCGCCGTTGACGGACCAGTTGATGTAGTCTTCTGTCCAGTCGATTTCGTACTCGTGCCATTCTTCGAAGGTGTTCTCACCGCCAACTTCAGACTTGCCGCCGTTGTTGTCTAATCCATTAGTATCCTTCACATCACGCCAGGGTCAAGAATGGAGGAACGTACAGTCAAGAATACCCTTGAAATAATAGTTCGTCTGAACATTATCCAGATCCGCACCCACAAACTCAAGATCAATCTCATCCTTGGTATCCGACAGCAGAATAAACGCCGTCACAACACCAGCCCCACGGCTACTCTTTATCTTGCCCTTGATCTTTCCATACCAAATGTAGTGATTGTTCGCAAACAACGTCCCCACAGTGCCATTCGGCATGGTCATGACGAGGTTTCCATCGTCGACCTTGGGGAAGCCACTGTACACCCAGTCATACTTGCTCGCGTCGCCAAGGTACTTGGTGTTGAGGGCTGCGCTGTCGAGGTTGTCCCAGGTGTAGGTTTTGTTTTGGCAGATGGGTTCGGCGACGCAGGAGTCGAGGGAGAAGGAGGAGAAGGGGTCACAGCCTCCAAGGCAGTAGGCGCCTGTTCCACATTCTCCGTATTCTGTGTCTGTTAGCAGTGGTCATAGCACAGGGGGTGAAGGTGGTGGCGGACTCACGGGAACAGCAGGGCTTGTCTTCGGGACACTGGTTGCTTGTGTCGCAGGTCTGGGCCCAAGCAGTGGACGCCAGGAGCGATGCGAAAAGGATAGAAGCACCCAGACGCACCATTCTGAACGAGCGTATGTACAACAATGCAATTGATCAAACAGAAGTATATATACTTGAAAAAACCAAGGAAGTAGAGAACGGCTGCAGTGATGTCCGAAAAAAAAAAAAAAAAAAAAAAAAAAAGAGAGAGTGAGATCTCGTGGACAACTGCTATTCAATTACTGTACCTGCTGGCGTTAGTACTCGTTATTAGACTGCTGGCGACATAAGATTCTAAAGAGAGAAAAAATGAGACGAGGACTTATATATGCAAAAGGACCCGATCCTCGGCCCTTCACTAGCGCGCCACTAGCGCCGGCTGCACGAGGGCCCACATTAACCCTGTTGATACAGTAAAATATGTATTTCCGGTATTACAACCCCAGCGTTCTTCGCGAAACCTGCATCGGCATTGGTTATCTGCGTTATCTCGGCAACTGCTTCCCGATGTGTATTTTGTCTCCATGGGCCATGGCTGTATCCGTAGTCCAAAATAGTAGCTGCCAGATGGCTGTGTTCATTTCTTTTGCCTTCAATAACCTGGCTTCTGAGACCACTAGCATAGTTTGGTGGACTAGTAGTAGTAGCATTCAAACACAAATTACAGTAGGCAGCAAGAAAGACACACACACACACACACACACACACACACACAACAAAGTACAAACAAAGTCTCTCCTTTTCTGCATCTGATATCATATATTTTCTCCGGTTTAAACTTTTCTTGCCTCCCTGAACCCCCATCAAATATGAAACAAACTAGACAGCACCACGTTAACCATAATCCGATAGGGGTTGCCAGGTGAACACTGCATAGTACGGAGACAAGCACAGGGGGACAGGCAGCATGCCATTCCATGGAGAGACATTTCTTTATCTCTCAGTGTAAACAACAAACTGCATAAACGAGATGTCATTATGACCGGTCCCATGTATGTAGTTAGTCCGTCCTCTGTACGGATACAATGCACATTGCACATTTCTATGCACTGTAGATTTTTTTTATTTTTATTTTTTTTTTCATTTCATCGGTTGGGGTCAAGCCTACCATGGCTACTCCGTACCCCATACCAAGTACAAGACATTTACATCATCTCTCAGAAAAGTCGGATGGTCTCGCTAAGACCTCTAATTTTGGTAGGCACTCCTATCTGTGCTCCTGTCTACTGTACTTTTATGTACGTGCAGTCTGTCATTACAATACTGTACCGAGTTCGGACCAAGTTCATCGGCGGTACGATAATCCCTTCCCAATATGGCACTGACTGATGCACGCTGCAGCGCTCATCAACGCTTATCCCGATCGGGAATGGTTATGGGGTTGGCATTAAACAACACAACTCTTGAAGAGATGAAAAAGGAGGTCTTCGCGTCTTGGTCGTGGATAGCGAAGGCTGGCGCCGTTTTCTTGACTACTATCTGGCCTTTGCTTGTAAAATGACCGTTATCTCGCAAGCAAGGAGATAGTCTACGAGACATGTTCGATGTCGTGAAGAATCTCGGTCGATCATGATCAACAAACAACGTCTACGGAGTACACTATGTTACCATGGTACCACGATCGTCACTGTCAGATACAATCCTGTCCCGTGCTACTTATACTATCCCTGTCGATTCAGGGAGTTCAAGGAGTAACAACCACCACATACCAGTTCTTCTACTACTTTGCAGTGATGTTCCCTTGCACCCTCTCCAGGGACAAGGCAGCCCAATTCAAATTCATAATATTAAAAACTTCCGTATGTTAAAAGCACAATAAAACCATAGGTAAACGATCCATACCCACTTAGGTATTGTCGTAACCAACATTGATAATAGCTCATACATCAAAAAGGAGAAGAAAAAATATCGCGCTCGGCACCTTACACGACACGCTCGTGGTCATTCAACGTGGCAGCAGGGTGCCACGTCCTCCAAAGATCTTGGTCAACGGTTGCCGTCAAAAATTTCCAGGGTGAGAATAATCCCTTCAACTCCCTTCCCGTATAAAATATCGCTCCTTGGCTGCATTGACAAGACCACCAGAGTACAGCGGTCTGTAATTACCGCCCTGCTTCACGCATGGCCCTTTTGACGAAGTTCTTGGCGTACGAAGGACGGCTAGTTTCCTTTACCAAGACCAACTCTTTCTCGCAAGGGTCCGATGAGAACGTCACCGAGACTCCGTTGTACACGTTGCGGCCGGTCTTCCATTTATTGAACACGTCCAAAACCTTGCGAGCAACACAGGTGCTGGTAAAGACCGCCGTCGCTAAATTGTGTCAGCGATGTTGTAGGGATGATCTGGAGAGGGGCTCTTACCGTTACCAGAATTGAACACCCAAAGAAAATCAATGTTGCCAGGTCCAGCCAAGGTACGAACGTCTTGCTTCCATTTCTCGGGCGACATGTTCTCCGCAAAGAGTCTCTTTCGCGCGAAAGAGAGACGCCGACGCTCACGGACCGGCTGGTTCATTCGACGGTGGTCTTCGTTCCACTCGACAATCTCAAGGAGCTCAACACTGACTCCCGGTCCAAGACGTCCAAAACCGAGCAGCGCTTCCATCTCCTTGTGCGAGTTCAGGAACATGACACCGTGAGACGCGTGCTGGAAGGTGACCCGAGCCCTTCCATTGGCCTCGATTTTGATGTCTTGCAGAGGCCCCTCGTGGATTCGGGTGGTGATATAGTGAATAATATCCTTGTTCATACGTCCGCTGACACGCAGGACAGCCGCTTTGGTCTCCGGGATCTCCGGTGACAAAGCGGACGTGAGTCCAGTTGCAGACAGTCCAGGCAATTCGCCCTCGTCATCACTCTGGCTATATTTCGAGGCGGAAAGTGCCGTCATCGAAACGGGAGGAGAAATATACTGAGAGGGCTCGTGAGTATTGGTTTGGTTGTTGGACAAAGAGCCAGCAATCTGAGCCCAGCTTCCAGTCTGAGAGAAGTGGCCATCGTGCGGCTGGAGCTTCTTAAGGGCACGGCTCTGGTAGCTGAACTCTCCCTGGTTCTCCTTATCAACCTCGTTCATGAGGGCGGCAGCGGCCTGTTTCTGAATCGTATTGGCCTTCACGTTCAGGCTGCTACCGGACTGCTCGCGTCAGCTGAGTAGGATCCAATAATGAAGAGAAGATGATGACCTACCACTTCCTCCAGGACATATTCAGTCGCAGGAATGTTGTCAACACCCTCGCTAAAGGCATTGACGATCATGATACTCAGCTTTCCCAGCTCATTCGCCGATTTGTGTTGTCCATGGTTGCGGAACTGCATGCTGGTTGTTAGCCAAGCGACTGTCGAGCCCCATGAGCCCCATGAGCCCTGGCGAGCTTGCTTACATGGCAGGCGATGCGGTTGAGATGGCCCAAGGCCTCAGCCATGGCACCATCGATAGAGTAGGTCACCATCTTGAATGACCTTGGAGACGGTAGATCAGAAAACGGCGGGTACAAGATCCAAGATAGGGTTATATTTATCGCGAAGAAGAGGGGTTTCCGGAACGAAACTCGTGGAATCCTGCCATTCGACCAGTCAGTGTTAGATGGATTCAACCCGTGAGAGACAAGAGACAAGGACCATACCACTCAATTTCCAGCCTAGAATCTCGTTGAGACTTCCAGACCTGAGATAGACGCGTCAAAACACGCAGTCGTCAACAGTATCCCAAGAAACGCTGAGGAAGGAAAAAGGTTGACGGAGAAGAGCAACCAGAAGCTGTTTCCCTTAAATCAAGACCTGGGGACAATGAACCCTCAACAAAGTCTCTTTGGCAGAAAAGCCAACAGACAGACAAGGTCGTTGATGGTCTTTGACGCGTTGCCAAAGACCTTTGTTGCTCTGAGCGTAGAATATGCCTGTCCGAGACTCCCACACCAGAGCCCTGGCTGTCGATTAACTTGTGAAGAAGATGATGCTCATAAGATGATTTGCTGATGCGAAAATGAAGAAATGAGATGCAGAAGAGTAAGAGATGGATTGGAAGAGGATGTGTTGCTTGCGTGGATTTGGGAGGAGGGGAAGAGAGGGGGAGAGTGTGGGTGGGAGAGTGAATACAGAGAAAGAAGTCACGGGTGAGGGCTTTCCTACATGGGTCACCCCATGGGGAACCGCTGCCAAAACATTTGCAAGCAACCATCACGTCTATACTTGCCATACTCAAATCCAATGGATTAGCTGAGTGAATGTGCATTTGAAGAGATAATTGATGCAAAAGATATATTTCATATTTCGTGTTCTTCTTGGGATCCTCCCATGCTCGAAGCCGATGTCGCGGAACAGTATACTGTATACAGCATCGCTTCTTTCCTTGGATTATTTCCGTGCTCCTTAGTGGATATTCACTAGGACTGGCATACATATGAAATGGATTTCGTTCTACCAAATATTATTGGGAATGGTCTTCTAGTGGTATATCGGTATATCTTCGTAGCATCTCACGAGAAACGCCTTGGTAGCACGAGCGCATGGCAAGTATGGAATTGAATCCGGTTATATATACACTAAACCAGACCATCCCACTAATATACCCGTCAACGAACATCATAATACCCCAGAACCGGGGCAAAATTATTAAAAACCATAACCTTGCACCGAGTCACGCAGAAAGCGGCGGGAAAGTTCTCACGAAGCTGCAAATATAGTTAGCACCACTCCTCTCCATCCACAGGGACCATTTAACAGGGAACATACTGAGCAGGACACTCATATCCCGATGGGTTCTTCTTCAAATACAACTGGTGGTAGTCCTCCGCATCCCACCACTCACCCGCCTCGATTATCTGCGTACTAAGCGACTGCTTGTACCACTCCTTGCCAACCTTGTCCGTGATATCGTGCGCAAGCTTGTTCTGTTCCTCGCTGTGCGTGAAGACCACGCTGCGATACTGGGTGCCAACGTCCGGGCCTTGGCGGTTGAGTGTTGTGGGGTCGTGCATGCGGTAGAAGAATTCCAGAAGCTGGCGGTAGCTGACGATGGAGGGGTCGAAGGTTACCTGGACGGCTTCGGCGTCTGTTTCATTTTTTTGGATGCGATTAGCGATGCGCTTTCTTTATTTCCTTATTTTAGAGTTTCAGGGGGAAGAACTAGACACTTACGACCAGTATTCCCGCTACACACAGCCCGATATGTCGGCGACGAAGTGTTTCCGCCAGAGTATCCCACCCTAGCATCCAAGAGACCCTTTCCACTGCCGAATTCCTTGCGGAACAGGTGCTCCACGCCCCAGAAGCAGCCTGCCGCCACTGTAGCTTTCTCCGACATATTGTTGCTGTTGCGCGAGGCCGACTCGGGTGCCAAAGAAAAAAACGGGGAACTAGTCGAGAAAGGACGGAAAAGTCGTGAGAATAGTGTTGAACCAAGCGCGGGCGCAAACGTCATTTGGAAGTGATAGTGTGTTATTATACGTACTGTATATATATTTGAGGGAGAGGTTGTTTGTTCTTTGTGGTGGGAGGCAAAGCCGGAGTTGATGCAAAATCCGCAAAAATGATGTAAAATGCCCGTTTGGGTAAGTGACAGCGGGGAAGCTTCTTTCAAGGTGCACCAGAGATCTTATACCGTCCCACACATCAGCTACTCTTGTATATTGTCTTCAGAATATGGGCATACAGCTCGAGTGAAAAGAAAAAGTGATTACTATTGTATTCAGCCCAGCATAATACCAGGAATCTCAAACATCAACCACCTCTCCCATAGCCCTGATACCGAGCAAATCTAGCAACAACCAGAGCCGTTCAAAATACCCAATACAAACTCAGAAGGTCGGTTTATCCTTTCCCCAAGGACACTCAGATTCCTCGTCAAAAAAAAATGTCTATACATCGACCGTGCCGGTTCCCACTCATCTCAAAGCGCATCCGATCCATACAAAGAAAACGAATCAGCACAACTCCCAAGAAGGGTAAAAAGGGGACCTAAACTCACGAAATCTGACAAGCATTTGGCGCAAGCATATATGCTCTCAGCAAGATACAAGTCACCACATCATCATACGGTTTGTGTGCAGTCTCCACAGATGTCATGGACGCCCAACCTCCGTCCTCCATAATAAACGGGAAGTGCGCATCGTACCCAATCCCATTGATCCAAATCTCCCTCTCGATGTCGACGATGGGAAAGGGTATGATTCTGTATACTTCTTCTCTCTGGTCCTCGTCAAAGTCGCAGTAGTAAATCTCGCCGTGTCGTTGTTTGTATCCTGCTCCGTTGTGATCTGTTACTTCAACTCCGGAGGCCTCGATGATGGCATGAATTTCCTCGACGAGTTGCGAGCTTCCAGTCCGGTTCATTTGCGTTGGTGTCGTAATAACTAGTGAGTATATCTTTTGGTTGTGTTGATGTTTATCGTGGTTTCGAGGCGTGGGTTGCTTCTGACGTACGACATCTTGGCTGGATGTTATTTTTGTTGTGATGAGAAAGGAGAGCAGTTTGATCAATGTAGAGAAAACTATGAGTTTGGAGTGAAAGTTAGAAGATTAGCATCGAGGTAGTCCGACAGCTGCCTACAGTCTTTTAGCAACTCATGACACCTTCCCCATTCACTTCGACTGCCTAGACACATAGGCAGCATTTCGATCTAGGCAATCAAACCCTAATAAATAAAAGAACCATGGTTGGTAGTGACTACATCATCAGCCCTACAGGCGTGCCAGTCAAATCAGAGAGTAATCAGAGATATCGATTAATATCCCACAGTTCAAGCCAAAACCAACTCCGAGAATGCCAACCCAGACAACGAAGACATTACTGTACACGTCCGATAAAAACAATGATATGTGATGCAGGGGAAAAAAATCATCAACAGCGAAAGAAAATGAAAATACACAAACACACAAACACACAAACACACCATATAGTATGCTCTCGATGCCACATCGCAATTTGGAATATTAAAAAAGAAGTAGTGGTATCAGTAATCCGGAACACCTTCCCAAAGTACCCATATCAACAAAAACAAATAGAAAAAAAGATATCATCTACCAGTAAGCACCCCCAGAACTGTTCGAGAACTTTTCAAGGTTTGGGGTTGCCATAGCGCTAAGCCGGATGGCATCCCGGCTTGTGAGACTAGCCCGGAGGTCACCACCAAACGTAGAACGTCTATGCGCTGTGCTCTTCATAACAGGGATCGTTCGAGGACCCAAGACCCGTGGCTTGGCCTCGGTCTCCTCGTTCTTTGCCATTCGCCTGGCCCCAGAAGCAGTGAACATGGTGTTCTCGGTAGGCGAACCTCCTCCGTATGATGCAGAAGTTGGACTCCGTCGGCGGTGGGCACGGTGGGCATTCGCAGAAACTGCCGAACCAAATTGGCCGCCCGAAATGCGTCTCATCGCAGAGTTAATTTTGATAGCGTCGTCCTTGTTTGCCTTCCAGCTGCCCTTGCTTTCAGACAAAGGGCTGCTGGAGACGCTTCCGCTGGATCTTCGCACCGGCATTCGAGAAGGACGTTCGACGGACGGGCGATTCAAAAAGCTACTGTTCTCGATATTTCGAAGGGGCGACTTCTCGTTATCAGACAAAGGCAAACTTGTCGAAGGGGGCGCAGGGATTGGAGAACTGCCGTTCTTCTTCGACAAGAACCCAGCCTGAAACCTACTGCCCTTAGTAACATTCAGGGTGGGCTCCGAAGGGGGTGCTGGAATTGGAGAAGAACTCAAAGAGCCCAAAGAGGGACTCCTCTTTGGCACTGGAATGCCTCGGGGGATAGGGGATGTCCGCTGCACTGGTAGGTCGTGTTCCGTGTTGTCTTCTGGGGCTAAAGCGGCTGGAGCAGCTGGAGCCTTTTGAGGGGTTTTTTGGAATTCGGCCAGAGAGCCATCCTCTTCATCATCCTTCCACCGGACACTTCGCTTAGGTGCCTTTGGTTGAGACTTTTTTGGGGAGAAACTGACACTCTTTCTACCCACTTTCATCTTGGGACGACGAGGAGATGCTTTGGTGGGAGAAGTGACTGTCGGGGCGAAAGTGATGGGAGCGCTCAAGGACTTTGCGCTAGGTACGTTGATAAGGCTTACCCTCTTCTTCTTGGGGGAGCTAGCCTTAAGCGGGCTAGGCGGAGGAATCGGGGGCAAGCCACCATCTGGCTTGACAATATTAGAGGTAACGGTAGAACAAGAATTCAACATTTTCATGAGGATCTTCATGCCTTCCTCGATCGCCTCCGCTTCGCTCAGCTGCATGATGGTCTCAATAGAAGTGATCATTTCAAATTGAGCCTGCAAAAGTAGTTGCATCGTTGCCGCATCCCCGACCTTGTCTTGCTCTGCCAAAGCAGTCAGGGCCTCCCGCTCCATGTTAGCCTTGAGTAGCTCAGCTTCGCGGTTGAGGTTAGAAATGTCACTGTTGTCGGAGATATTGAATTCTCTGAGCTGACGGATAGCATTCTCGAGGGCGGAGTTCAGCCCACGCTCCCATGCATTCTTGGCCAACCGCTGGTGGTAGTGTTGTCTGCTCCCTTCCAACTCCAAGAGGATTCCTTGGGCCGATTTGCGGATAGCTTGGAGATTCGACAATGGCTCTTCATCGCCTTCGCAGCTCGCGCAGACATTATCGAAAGCAGCAATCCAAGAGGACAGTAAGCCGATCCGGCGGCTGATCTGTCTCAATTTGACCATACTGTTAGTCCGTTCCTGTCTCTCCGGGAGCGAGTGCTCGTAGGAATTGCGAATACGAGCCACACCTTCCAGGAGGACGCTGTCTTTCTTCTCGCTCTGTTTCTTGAACTTAGCGAAAGCAACCTGTTCGTGATTCTTTTGCTGAGCCTTGAGTTCATTAATTAGATTCATCTGCTCATCGATCTTTACCAGGAAATCCTTGACATGACGGTTGACATTAAACACGTTTCTCGTAACTTTGGTCTGAATATTCTTCGCCCGGTTCGCGTATCGCAAAGTGTTCTGGGTCTCGTCAAAATGCTGACTCGATGGGCTGACACAGACGATCATCACCGTTTTGCAGTTACCACCGAGGGAGAACTTGAGAAGTCGCGTCAATTTCGAATTGCGATAAGGAACGTGGTTCGTTTTGCGTGGGTCGCAGAGCGCGTTGATGCAGCTGCCCAGGGCAAGTAGCGACTTGTTGATGTTGGCACCTTCCCACAGCCTTTCTCCTCTGTTTTTGGTCGCGCTCGCACGTTCGCTACCCGCCAGGTCGATAATACTCAGTGTTGCCATTGTGTGCGGTTCGTGTACATCAGCGTTGCGGTCTTTTTGAGCGACGTTTATCTGTAGGACGGCGTGGGATCGTGAGGAGGTTGCGTTTGCTTCGGTCGGAGACATGGTACGGCATTCGTTACCCTGCATGATCATATCCATAACCTGCTGCACGCTCTGCGGGTGATGACTGGACAAGCCAGCCACTGAAACTGACTTGTTCGAATCCTCTCGCAACATCAAGCCGGCTTTGCTTCCACCGGGAACCAGAAGATCGCGGATCGTTTCATTGTAAATCTCGAGGTACGATAGGGACACTTCGGTCGCTTTCTCCGACGACCTTTCATCGATACGCTCGAACAGCTCTTGCATTGTAAGGAAAATAATACCTGGCTGTTGAGTGGTGCCAGTGATGGTGTGTGTTTTTCCACATCCGGTCGCACCGTAAGCAAATACCGTGGCATTGTAACCGTCGAGAACGTTATCAAGAAGGCTTCTGGAAGTAGACTCGTAGACTTCTCCCTGCGAGGCGCTCTGGTCGAAGATTCGGTCAAAGGCAAAGGTCTGGTCCTTAACACGCGGCTTTCCGTTGGGGACGACGCTCCTCGAGAACTTCTGAACGGGGTTATCTTCGGGGGGATCGAACACTCTTTATAACTGTCGTCAGTTCCGATCCAGAGCCAGTATATCAAAAAGAGATAGCAATTGGTCAGTCCACTTACAGACACCTGTCGTCGATGACCTTGATGATCGATCTGAGTCCCTTCTGTTGCAGCTTCGGTGTGGGCGCTCCCGCCAGAGACCCATCACCAAGAAAGAGAGGTCCAGCCTCGCATTTCGAAATTTGAGCAGCCTCTCGAATGGTAAACGGTCTCACACGAACCGCGACGGAAATGGACGAGGAGTTGCTCGAGTCGGGAGGCATAATGGGCGTATGTTTCGATCGGTGGTCGGTTGGGAGAGAAAGAAACGAAAGGACCAAGTCAAATCAAGTCGAATTCCCTCCCAAAATGACTGTGCAGATCCACGTCTTCTAAATTCGACGCGGTGGGGGAGGGGGGAGAAATGACGATAAGTCGACACCCAGCGTCGCCTGCTCTCCGGTCGAGTCGTGACAACAAAAAAAAGGAACGAAACGTCACACTCGTTTAGTGTGAATCGGACGAGATCAGACGCTGGGGAAGGTATGCTGTGGGTTAGTATTGCTCCTCAAGCCGGATGGGTTATCGAAACGGACTCGCAGACGAGGAATGTTGACTGTGGAGTCTGCGTGGTCAGTATTTCAACGCCGGAGTGAGGCTTGACCTGTTGACGTTTCGCTTGTTGCTCCGAGCAACCATCAGTGCGTGTCGATAACACAAGGTCCGTGTTTATATTGATCTACTAGTAAATATGAGAGACTAAAGCGTATGGCTGTGTTAATACCACTATGTGCTAAGCTATCTACACGCATTGTGGATCCTACTGCTTGGTCATTGGGCATCAAATACTGACTCGAAACGGCCTTTAAACGACATAGAGTCAGACCGCGTTGTCGATTGTCCCTGATTGATTCGTGAAAGTGCAAGCGTGTTCACGAGTCATAAACGCCTTGACTTGTCAAGGTCCCTACTCCGTACGAATAGTTGGAGCTCAGAGGTATGGGAGCAATAAGAGCTTGCAGAGGTTACAGGTAAAGCGAACGCATGGTGTCTGTCTCAGACCCAGATCGGACGCAAATGAATCTCCTTTTTCGTGTGTTTGAAATGGTAGCAACATATCGTTTCTCGCCCGTTATCCCATCCTGAAATATATAACCCAACGCCATATGAACGCCGTACAATGCTCGCGTAGAAAGATTGCCGAATACTTATAGTAGTCTGTACCAAAAGAAGAACCGTGCTCACTGCTCGATCTCCTCTTCGTCATCAAACTTGGGAACGACAACATCCCAGCCAGGGTCCTCAAGGTCCAGGTCAATATCGATATCCTCGCCATCCTTCTTCACAGCCTTCTCGCCATCACCGGGCTTCTTGAACCTAAAAGCGATGGACTGCCCATTCCGAAGATCAACAGCCTGTAGGCTTATCGAGCCACTAGTCTTCTTCCCAGTGTTTTTCTTTGATACCTCTTCCTCTGCGAAATCTGACCCCTCCACCTCCAGCCGCGTCCAGCCTTTCTCTAGGTCATTCTTGTCCACTGCAACTCCAAATTCAATATCCGAGGCGTCTTCGGGAAGAGGGTCTCCGTTGATTTCCGTCAATTCGCGAGCTTTGAGTGCGTTTAGTAGAGCAGTTTTGGTGTTTGTGATGGATTCTTGGGGTAGGAGCATGAGAAGCACGGTTGTCTTGTGCTTCTTGAAGAGGAGTGTCCAGCTCAGAGGGTCTGGGTTGAACTGTGGGCCAGATTATTAGCAACATAAAACTTCATCAACCAAACAGTTTAGTGAAATGTAATGAAGGATACATACCATGTTGTACACAGTATCGCAAGTTGTGCTGTTAGTAGTATGAGCGAGCTGTGGTGGGCGGAGGTCGGAGAATTTCTTTATCGGAGTTCTCTGAGCTCCGCGGTTGATCTCGACCTCCAAACCGAGCAAGAGCACCAACATAATCGCCGTGAGACCACCATCTCAGATAACAGGAGCCTTCTGAGACAATTCGTTGCAGGACCAGTCTATGAATCCAAAGACCAACCACCCCACCGACAACATGGGCTCGCAAGAACCATCAGGCCAGCGCCCTCACGATTCAGCGCTACTGAGAGTCATCCATTGGCACAAGCTCTTCGATTCAGACACACCTCCCCGGCTCGGGATGGAAGTGAAGAAACGCCTGCCATACACGACTATCGCGGCATTTGCATCCGGAATGACCATCGGGTCCTTTCACGGTAGCAAAAAGGCATCATACCAATTTCGAGCCGAGAACGCCCATCGCTACCCAACGACATCGGCAGCATGGTTCCAGTACCACAAGAGCAAGAACTATGCATCGGTTGTTGGCGGTGTTAAGGATGGCATGAAATTGGGGTTCAGGCTGGGTGCTGGAGCTTTTGCGTTTTGTTTGTTTGAGGAAACGGTGGATTATGCTCGGGATGATACGAGAGACTTCTTGTCCACGGTAACGGCGGGATTGTCGTTCTCTGGGATCTACAGCTTACTTGGTATGTTCCGTTCTTGTGTGTCTGGGCTTGGGGAGAAGAGGAAACTGACGTGTGTTGTTCAGCTCGCCATGATGTCTTCACGGCCGCTCGCACGACGAGGCTCGGGTTGAAATTGAGTCTTGTGTATGGATTGGCGCAGGATGCGCTGGAATCTCTCAAGGGTAATCGACCTGCGTATGTCGACTTCCTGCTGGGGAATCGTCGGTCAGGTGCGCGGGGGGGAGAAACAGTTTGATACACATCGCACTGTCCTCTATCTATTAAGCCGACCGCGACCTGTATATCTGATTGATGCGGGGAGTCTTTCGACTATACGATCGCCTCCCCATGAACATATGGACTGCATTGAACATTGGAACATCATGGTTGATCTATTCAGATATGAATTCGTCCTAAGATGGATTTACCGATCGAACCCAGCAAATCAAGTCACTACGATACCCGTCAAGTGATTCTTCTGAATGGAAACGGCTTTGATCCTCTTCGCTCCCCGCTTCATTTCCGTCTATCCGAAGATAAGATGACAAGCGCCGCCTGGACAGTACAACTGGGATCTGATCGCGTCTTGTCAACCCCGGAGTATGTCAAACACACTCGCCAGCCAATCCTTCTGATCAACAGGATAAGCATCGGATGTATATGAAATTATGTCTTACCCAATGATGAAAGAATCGCGAACGGTACTTTGCGATACTTGGGTAGCAGCGAACAGACGAGATCGCAGGAAATAAAATCTTCTTTCTAGCAATTCCTCCATCTCTTTTGATAATGCTATAAGTGTCGGGGCATATGTCAATTTGAATGCCGGATGCAGATGTAGTGCAACTTGCGATCCTAAAGCCTGTGCTTTAGGAGTAATAGTGGAATCTGCACGCTGCAGGACAGGCAATCATTCCATCATTTTCTGGAAAAGAAATCCATTGGCCTACATTAATTTATCCCAGTTCATTTCAATCTCATCTGCAGGTTGTTAATGTCCCCTGGTCTATAATAGATTGATCTTTGTCCCTCCAGTCCTCCCTAATTTCTATGGCTGTGTGCATGTCCCCTATCCATTGAGACGAGAACCAGATCAAACACTTTCTTCGCTGTTCTTCTTGATTTCTTCTTTCTTCTCTCTACTCTGTACGATTGTTCCATCTGATTTTCCCCGACTACAAGAAGAGTGCTGCTGGCTTTTAATTTATTTCTTTGAATTGACCGCTAGACCGGTGTTTCCCACCCCACCAAGCCACCACGCGTTACAGTGCATATATTCGTTTAGGCCCCATTGAAGATACTTTCGCTGGTCCAACCTACAATCCAAGCTCCTTTTCACCTCCCCCCAGCAGCTCTCTTGAGCTCACAGCTGTCTGTCTCGTTGCTCGGAACTTGGCGGTGGAGCTCCAGCACTGTCTCTTTTTCTCTGGTACGAGTGATCTTTTGACGTTCTGTGATTTCCCCGCGTCCGCTGCTGGAATTCACCACCGACTAACGGCACATCATGTCCTCCACAGTTCTTCCTGCATCTCGGTCCTCTTTTTGCGTGTCCTAATCGCCTTTCCTGTCATTTGTGTATAAATTTTTCTCTCCGCGAACGCCTCCAAATGAGTGCCTGCTGAAGAGTGCTTTCGTTGCAACTTTGTCTCGTCTACGTCATCGCTCTATTGGCCGCTTTGCCGCAAGACCAACTAGTACTCTAGACTACAATCCTTATATGCAACTTGGTGGAGGCAGAACTCCAATCGCGATTTCGCTAATCCATTGCCTCTCTTACGAATCGCCATAACTGGTTGACAGAAATCTCAATCGATCATCATGCGGCGCCATGGCAGGGCCGCTGGAGGGACAAAGGCCGTCACACCCATGCCAGAAACTGTCTCGTTGATACATTCCTTCGATTCCGTCTCGAACCCCAATCGTCCAGTTCGCCCGTCGCCGCTGGCCTCTTCACATATCAAGGCATTACCGCTCGACCTTGTTGACCGTTTGCGCTCGTTCCCGCTCTTCCAATCCACGCCGGAGTCGTTCCTCATTGACATCGGACAACACCTTCGCCCGCAACTCCATGCCGCCAATGATTATATCTTGACAGAAGGAGATGAAGCGAAAGCGATGTACTGGCTGGTTCGAGGTGCAGTCGCCGTTACCTCAAGGGATGGCGAGAGTATCTACGCAGAGCTCAAGCCTGGCGCCTTTTTCGGTGAGATCGGCGTGTTGATGGACCGCCCGCGCACGGCAACCATTGTCGCGCGGACACGGTGTATGCTTGTGGTCTTGACCAAAGAGGACTTCCGAAAGATCCTTCCTCGGTTTCCCGAGGTCGAAGGCGCGATTCGGGATGAGGCTCAGGAACGGTTGATGATCCTTGAGAGGAAGAAAAAAGAGACCTCCGCACCGGCAGTCGACCTTTCCAGCTATCAAATTCCCAATAACCAATTTCGACGTGGCTCAAAGAGACTGCGAGACAGTCCCTCCAAGGATGTGTCGCTTACCGGTCAGGACGATCATACCATTCACCCGATCAATGGTAATAAAAAGCGCAAATCTCCAAGCCCTGTAATGAAGGACAAGTCGTCCAGCGCGCTGGCGAATGGACTCGTAAACGTCCGTCTATTGCTTAAGGAATTGCCATTGTTCTCGGGTTTGCCTGCAGATATCCTTCACTTCCTAGGGCTCAATGCTCAGCCACGGTCATACCCACCTTTCACAGACATCATTCGACAGGATTCCCAGGGAAGGGAAATTTATTTCATCGTGCGAGGTGAGGTTGAAATTCTCTCCGGGAGAACGCAACCGTTGGATGGCCTCCACCGTTCCAAGTCAAATGGCATTCAGCATCCGGAGTTCGAGGTGAAAGCCCGTTTAAGACAAGGGCAATACTTTGGGGAGGTAGTGAGTCTGTCTCTCGCACCGCGCAGAACGGCGACAGTCCGTTCTGTAAGCTCTGTCGAATGTTTGATGATTGGCGGAGATGTCCTCTCCAAATTCTGGGACAAGTGTCCCAAAAATGTCCGTGATCAAGTTGAGGGCACGGCCAAGGAGAGGCTGCAGGCAGCCTCAGACGGCGACGTCGTCATGACAGAGGATCCTGCCCCTGAGCAAGTAGTCAATGGATTCGGTATTGACGACAGATTCAAAGCCGCCGCATCCCGGAGGCAATCGATGCCCATCTTGACCCTCACGGAAACGGAACTAGATAGTCCCCATCGCCAGTCTAATGGAGTAGATGACCAGACGGTACTGCGGCCGTCAGATCCGGACCCTTATATAAACTTTGGATTGGACAATGTCCGAGAACGGAGTCGACGAGGATCGGTTGCTCCACCGACGCCAGAGGAAGTCTCTGGGGAGCAGCATCGACCTTCGCCTTCACAATCTCGCCGCGCGAGCTCTTCTTTTACTTACACTGAAACAGCTGAAGTTTTCAAGTCCCAGGCGACTACACCGCGTCCTTCCGTGTCTGACAACCGTGGTATCTTGCCCGACAATATACTGGTGCATATCTTCCAATACCTCGAACTCCATCACCTTCTTCGTCTCCGGGGTGTATCTCTTCATTGGTCTGAACTTCTGTCCAATTCTGCGGAACTGCTTCATCACTTGGACCTCAGCGTATATAACCGATCGCTTACGGATGATGCTTTGGTCAATATAATTTGTCCTTTCGCTGGGGAGCGGCCGCGTTACATTGATATCAGCAACTGTTTCCATATAACAGACGAGGGATTCAAGAAATTGGCCAATACATGCGGCGCAAACGTCGCAACATGGAAAATGAAGAGTGTGTGGGACGTCACCGCACCTGCCATACTTGAAATGGCCGGTAGTGTTGCTGGCTTAGAAGAGGTCGATATGAGCAATTGCAGAAAAGTTGGAGACACTCTTCTGGCTCGGATTCTTGGCTGGGTCGTTCCAGGGCCGCACAAGCCCAACCAAGAACAAGGAAAGCCGGGCAAAGGGTCAACGTTGAAACCGACGATGCAGACCGCCGCCGGGACTGTATATGGGTGCCCCCGGTTAAAGCGACTGACACTGCAATACTGCAAACATGTCACTGATCGCTCGATGCACCACATTGCTGCCCATGCTGCTCCTCGCATAGAGGAAATGGACTTGACGCGCTGCACGACAATCACGGACCATGGGTTCCAATTCTGGGGAAATGCCCAGTTCAGTAGGCTGCGGAAGCTTTGTTTGGCAGATTGTACCTATCTGACTGATAACGCAATCGTGTATCTGACCACTGCTGCCAAGCAATTACAGGAACTGGACCTGGTATTTAATCCCCCCTCCTTGGACAAGCTTTGTGAGGATCGAACTAACAGTAACTAGTCATTCTGCTGCGCATTGTCAGATACAGCAACGCAAGTCCTCGCCCTCCAATGCTCCCAGTTGACCTATCTCAACATGTCCTTCTGTGGCTCCGCGATCTCTGACTCCTCATTACACAGCATTGGCCTTCATCTCTTGCATATGAAACGTCTTTCCGTCCGTGGCTGTGTCAGAGTTACCGGTGTTGGCGTCGAAGCAGTGGCTGATGGGTGTCATCAGCTCCAGTCACTCGACGTTAGCCAATGCAAGAACCTTCTTCCATGGCTCAAGAAAGGCGGGGCACAGAGATATGAAGACAGGTTACGCATTGAAACGGTTGTACAAAATGCAAAGTTCAGATGAATACCACGCTTACGCTGTGCGGGTTCGTCTGATCTTCTATTTATGCTGCCATGTTATTACATGGTTCTGGTTGCCTGAATGGCAACCGTGTTTCTATAAGTGTCTATTCCGGATCTTCCTGTTTTTCTTTTCTCTCAGTCTATCATTTTGACTAATGATCTTATTTCCTTTCCTCTTCGTCATTATCTGCTTACCTGTTTTGGATACTCGGGAAAACTACACGGTCGTTCTGGTTTGTGTGTGATAACATTCGTTTTTCTTTTCTTTTTTCTGTACTATGTACCATGATTGATGACCAGCACGGGGTTCTTTATGTATCAATGCTTGGTGTACGGTTGGACTCATTCACCTGTCGTTTACTTCATTTCCTTTTATGTCTTTTCGTTGTTAGCTTTTTACCCGGCTATATGGCTTTGCATTTTACGGGCGACTACTGTGATACTGATTCTTTTGTATGTTTCAAAAGTCCGGCATGGGCATGGGAGGAGTTTGACCGAGGGCAAAGCATTATGGCAGCATAGTTTTAATCATCTACTTCATTTGTTTATTGATAGCTTTTGGTGTACCAAAAGTCTCGTTTTTGGTTTTTATCTTTTTGGCGGTACCTTTGTATCCTACTTTAATGATATTATTGTCTTCATTGGCAGGTTGTCCATGCAACTAATTCAGTCATTCCTATTTTGGTTATTGTCTTTTTTTTTCCCATCTTTATTCATCTTTCGATTTTCTTATCCTTTGTGACGAGTGTCAAAGAGACGAAAGACAGGTAAGTCCCAATTCAATTGTCTCGAGCCGAACTAAGAATGTTTCATTGTTCCTCAGGGTACCTCGAGTATCAAAGAGAAGCAATTCATCCAACAATTCACTTTGTCGTATGGTCGCCTCACCATTTCCCTGCGGCCTTATGGCTTTGCTTTCAACATTCATATCATAATGGCTTTTCTCAAAGGCGCATTCGGATAAGACTAGCTATTTGTTCGGCACAATGGCTCCCCACAGGACATCCATGTCAAAGTTTCATATCATTGTCTTCTTCCTAAAAGCATGCCGTTATCTTTTCTAGACATAGAGCAGGCTAAAAAATGAGACAAGAGGATTGGTAACCTGGGGATTTGCTATATAAAAGGTTATGGATCTTTGGAATGGCCTCCTTACCTTCTTTCTCCATCAGCTCCAACCTTCTATAGTTCCCGGGCTGATCACTTAGCCTTCCTGTCTCCAACGCGAGGGCAATACTTCTCGACAAGGATATATGATACTGTGAGTCCATCAACTATGGCGGGAAACAAGCGCACTTCCAGTCAAATGGACAACGGCAACGACAATCCCAGCCCAAAGCCCTTGGATGAAATTCTGGCTGCCGCCAATACTGACGACCTCCAGGATTTGTTTGAAATCCCTGATCCTCCTTCGGAAGAAGATCTCGCCATGTTAAATGCCTTTGATTTCCAAGCACCGCCGATCGACGACAACAACAATAACAACAACGACAACAATGGCACTGTCGCCGACCCAGGTAACGCCCTTGTGTTGCAAGACCCGACCCAAGCTACTCAGGTTGAAGAAGCTGTTGCTACTGATGCTAACGAACAAGCGATTACGGAAAACACTGAAAACACTGAAAACACTGCGGAGCCAGCGAAGTCCCTCAGAAAGCGACGCAGAAAGGGCGATCCGGAACCAGACCACTCGGCGCTGGTTCGTGAGAAGTCCTCCAAGTCGAAGAGGTGTGGACAGGCTTGTGACCGGTGTCATGTGAGTTCTTCCCTTTGCTCTTCACCGTTGTCCTATTCGATTAATGGTTTGATACAACAGATACGCAGGTTCAAATGCGACGAGGTTAAAGGCGGTTGCCTTATGTGTCTTCGATCAGGAATCGAATGCAAGATGACCAACCGGGTTACTGGAAAGACTATGGTTCGAGGTGGAGCGGAAGGAGTGGTGATTAATTTTGACGATATCCAGCGCGAAAACGAGGAGGTCAAGGAGGAAAACGAGAAGTTACACGATGAGATCGAGCAGCTGCGAAGCGTGAACGGTAAGCTGCAGAGTCAGTTGCAGTATTGCTACAATAAATTCTCGATTGGAACCGTGGGTACTTTCCCAGTCCCCGAAGCAAACGATGACATGAAAGCTAACATCTTCCAGATCCCAGGCCCAAGCCACGCACCGGTAAGCGACCCTTCTAGAATCCTACCCAATCCCAATCCCCAGGCTCAAGCTATGCAACAATCCAGCCAGAACTTTCTCTACGGTAACCAGACCAACAAATACAATGGCAATACCCAACCCGTTGCGTCTAACTATAACAATAATGCGTTTTCAGGGAACAAGTCCATTGCCTCTTCGGCCCCTCTGCCTATCCCTAGCTCCATGTTAAACGCATTATCGCACTCTGAATGGGCTCAACCCCATCCTCCCCATGGATTTCCTACTGCTTCTCGAAACAACATGGTGACTTATCCTCCGCTTTCTCAGGTCCAGGCTCCTATGCGGGATGATACGGCTCAGGGTGTTTCTTTCCAGGGTGCAAACGGTCAAGGTATGAATCAGGGCATGCAGATGCAGAACTTTCAGGACTTGGGGGTGCAGGGTCAGGGTCAGGGTCAGGGTCAGGGTCAGGGTCAGGGTCAGGGTCAGGGTCAGGGTCAGGGTTCGCAAGGCTTACCAATTGTTCTAGATGCCCAAGACACAAACGCATATGTCCAAGGTACGTCGCACAGTTTGAAGACACTAAACCAGGATTTCCAGGTTGCGCCTCAGTACCTTACCAGAGGTGCACAAAACCAGACGTCTCATCATGAAAGCAAGAACGTTCAACACCAAGACTTCCCAAATGCAAAATTGCCATACAAAACCGCACACGACTATCCTTTAAATTTCCCACAACCTGCACCGCAAAGCTATCTGCAACCGGTCGTTCGATTCCAGGGCGCTAGACAGGGTGCTAAACATCAGAAGGCAAATAATCATATCCCGAGCTTCCTCGACGACCCTCTAAGTAGAATCAAGAGCGAAGATGACACCGCTGTTAAATTTGATCTCGAGCCTGGATTTTCCTGGACGGCCCCCCTACCAGCTACGTTTCCCAGCCTCGACCTGGACACTGCCGCGAACCAGACCTCAACTGCAAATCTGGGAGACGCTAGCACCAATTTCTTTGCACTCAACGACAGTAACAACGCCTACCAAGCACAAGATCTATCTGACCCAGAGATCCTCGGTCTTCTAGAGAGTTTGGCGCAGCAGAAACAGTCTCAACCACCGGTGCATAAACGGGTTCAGGAATTGTGCAGTGACAATGTTGGGGTGAAAACAGAAGGTCCAAGTAACTATGATGGTGGTTCTGATTGTTTTCTTGGATCTTCTCAGGGTTTCGATGATGTTGGTCCTTTTGTTTGATCTATGTTCTTTTTCTTTTCCTTTTTTCCTTTTGTGTGTACGGAGTACAGCGTATGGTGTGTAATTAACTTCTAAAGAAAGAAAAAAAAAAAAAAGAAGAAGGAAATGCTCGCGTCCATCATTACTAACTAGGAAATGTATAAAGTATGTAGAAGGAAAAAAAAATTGCTCGCACTCGGATTCGAACCGAGGATCTCATCATTACTAGTGATGCGCTTTACCAACTAAGCCATGCGAGCGAATTGTTGAATTAAACCGTATAATTATGTTTTCAGAGCTTAAACAAGTAATCAGACCTCGATAGAGACTGTCCAATGCTACCGGGCGGTTAAGTCGCCTGCAAATTACCCTTGTTATGGGAATATGCATGGGTCTGCAGAAACTAGTAAGCAAATAAAGTGCATGGGGCTTTTTCTCTGATTGGGTGGCGGCGCTAGGTGTAGCTCCAACTGCTGCACTTCTCTCCACCACCGATCAATTGACATTTCAGATACATCGGCAGCATATTTTGTGTTCAAAAGACTGCTGCTGTTGGGCCCAATTCTCTGGGATAGATAGAAGCCTCTGAAAACTTTGAGCCCCCAGTTGAGTAGCGGAGGTATCACCACAGTACTGCGGCTGACATGGATAATGAGCCTTTGCATAGACTGACTGTCGGGTTCGAGCCAAAGCCTGACGTCCATGAAAGCTCCCCATAGAAGAGAGCGGATGAGCTGAGAGTAGGTTATTTCCATGATGTCCCAAAATCCTTACCCCAGCAGATCTCCACGACCGCTTACATATTCTATCAAGCGTAGCATACGAAGTCTCGGTGAGGTCGATAAAGATCCTCGTAAAACCAGAGGACATCCCGAGTTTCGTCTCTGCGGCAAATCTCGTCAAAGATCACTACTATGTAACAAGTACATGGTTGGGTTTGTGGGATCGTCGGTCACTCGATTCTCGGGGTCTTCCACCCAAAACGCCGGAATGAAAAGATGGCAAGCGAGGGACGAGTCAATGGGGGCAAGAGATATTGAAGTGACCTCTCTGCTCCCAGCTGCTTTCAGGTCGCTGTCGACGAGCTCCGCGGAGCTTCTAGGTTCCAGCGAGACTTGAACCCTATTTATATCTTAGCTTTTATCACATGAAGCGAGAATGCAAACATACAGCTTCTCTATTTGCGATCGAGCTCTTCGAATAGGGGCAAATCCTGGGAGTTTCGTGCGAATTCGTCATCGTTCGGAGACTGTCGCAGATTCCCAGCCCAGCAGTCACCGAATAGGTGAAAGGCTATTTATGGTGGCGAGCCTCAACGAAGGTCCGTCAAGCAATGAGAAGCCGTTGGTGGGGGTGAGTCAATCGACGAGGAGCATGGAGAAGAAATGAATGAAGCTAGCCACCTAAGCAGAAGAGGTGTCAGTGCGAGGCAGTCGAGAGAAAGACTGGGATCTGCCAGGATAAATAGGAAGGGGATTTAAACTGACAGGAGAGACGAAGGGAGAGAAGAGGAGGATGCTGGGGGTGCTACCTCACAAGGCAATGATGGAGGCAATGATGGAGGCAATGATGGAGGCATCCGTCTCTGACAGTGACAGTGATTTCACCATATCTAGGTGTGAAAGGCCAGGTCTCTGGGTTATAAGAGTGTCTTTATCATTGCTTTGTCTCTGGGGCTACTGGGAGAATCTTTATCAATCGTCCTCTTGTCCAGGTATATGACTGCATGCAGGGGTGGTAGGTAGGGAACATGTACATATATTTAGAGTGCCCGAATATGGCATGTTGGCGCTTAAACGGAATAGAAGGCGTTTGAGAAATGTGAAATACAGTGTGAACATGAGGGCCTATCACATAATATGCGCTAAAACTTCGAAATCTCACTTTCCAAGGCGTGTACGCTTGCATAGTACATACAAGCGGCCCTTGTCAAACTGCTAAGCGCCATCGAAATATGGCTATTTGTGGTTCCTAAATTAAAACTATGCACCATTAATTAGCAATAGCTCGCATGGCTTAGTTGGTAAAGCGCATCACTAGTAATGATGAGATCCTCGGTTCGAATCCGAGTGCGAGCAAATTTTTTTTTTGCCTTTCTTTTTTGGCCCAACAAAATCTTTCATCTTATACATCTCCCTGGTATATTTTTGCTACGCGTTTGGAGAAATGAGCGTGGTTGGACTGTTGTAAGCTCTTGCATAGTGCTGACGATTAGATCTATGCAAGTATGCAGGCATCCGTGGCGTCGGAAACGAACAATACGTTTGTATTTGCTTATTTTGAGGGCCTTCGTACCGGTACCTTGGTTTGGTATCTACGCTGGCTCTGTCTGCTAAGGGTAGAAAGTAGGGCACGGGCTACAGACAATAGGGTGTATCATTTACTTTTTTGTTCTGGCGGTGCAAGTAGGAAAGAGGCCAAAAATTTCTCACTCGGATTCGATGAAGCTCTCATCATTACTAGGAGGGTACTCTCTGTACACAAAATGTAGCAAAAAAAAATTTTTTTTGACCTATCGAGGATCTCATGATCACTAAAGAAGGCAAAAAATTGCTCGCACTCGGATTCGAACCGAGGATCTCATCATTACTAGTGATGCGCTTTACCAACTAAGCCATGCGAGCGAGTTGACATGGTGACTTTATTAAGATATAAAAGACAGCAAAATAGTACCCAATATCTTCAGGCCTAACCATTAACACCCAAGCAAGGGTATTCTCTCCCATGGTCGCTTTGGGTCATAGAAGTATGAAGTTGGTTTTGCGTTGACCCTGAACTATCCCGACTTGGTCAACTCTCGCTGCAACACTAGGCGCCGATTGAAGGGCATGACCACCGTTATCCGGTATATGATGAGGATTATGATAAGTAGTCTATAGTCACCATCGTTAGGGACATGCGTCCAAACTTTTAGAATAGAACATGAATATGATATCTGATATCTCGAAACGGAAAATGAAAATGCCAAGGTCTTTACAGAGACCGTACATGACAGTAATTATTGAACCTTATTGTTCATAACGAAAGGGTATCTATACAAAACGAATATATACCAAGAAGGGAGGCCCATCAGGACCTAACCATAACCCACCCTCCAACGCCAAAAATAATAATCAATACATAGACCAACCCCCCAAAACAACCCTACCAAGACTTGTTCCTATAACAGCAGCAGATGCCTTTACTTTCGCACCACTCCCTAACAAGCACAGCGTCAACCTCCCGATCCTCAGAAACGAGCCCCAGCCCTTCTATATTCAACCACGTCGTGAAGTCTTCAAGGACAATGGGATCGTACATAAGGATCTTCTCATGCCAACTAGGAGATCTGCGGCCGCCAGCGGACGAGTACATATTAGGCTGCGCACGCACAGCTTTGGTGATTTGGATAGCTAGGTCAGGTTCGTCATCTTCGGGGGTTCTAGATATCGTTGTTGTCGCTTTGGGTAGTGTTTTAGGTTTAGAAGGTGCGTGGCGTGTTGGCGAAGGGGTTGGTGAGACTGCTAGTGGTTGATTGCTTGGTTTGGGGTGGGTGAAGTACCGGCTTAGGAGCTGGTTTGGTGAAGGGATTGCTTCATCCTCGGAATCTTGGATTTCTTCCACGTTTGCGTAGGATGGCTTTTGCTGGGTAGGCGGATTTCGTTGTTGCTGCGAAGGAAGGCTTTCTGTTGCTTTCTGCGATGACCTCGATGCTGGACGAGAAGAGCCTTGGCGTCGTCTAGCGGGAGGTTTAGCTGATGTGTCGTCCGCTATCAGTGGATTCGCAGTAGATTTGGCTTTCGACCTAGGCCTCGAGCCAGAAGTCTTATTAGAGGTATTGGTAGTTTTCCCATCCTTGCTGGTCTCCGGTGGCTTGGTCAAAGCAGAACCATCAAGGGAGCCCTGTTTATCGCCATTGGAAGTTGCACTTGTGCCATGCTTCGACTCCCAGCATTTCTGCAGCAGATCGATCATCTTCTGACGACCCCGTACAGCCTTGAAGCCATATGAAGCGACTTGTTTGGATAATTCGGCCTCAGTGAACGCATTATACCGCGGCATTTGGGGACGCGACTCTACTGCCACGGAAGCAGCTTCACTTTGTTGACTTGCATTGGCGTCTGCAAATTGTGACGAATTCTCGAGCGCGTCAGAGTTTCCTTCCGGTATAGAGGCTTCTTTTTCATGCGTAGTGTTAACTGGTTGATCGACCACCTTTGGCGTTTCCTGCTGTTGAGCATCATGTCTTTCGCGATCAACCCTAGGGGAGATTTTAGATAGATCACAGTCGTCAACCAAATCCAAGACTTCTGCTTGAGCCAGAGCACCATCCAGATCTCTAAAGGCTTCAGACCATAAACTCCTCGGGCCTGTGAAGCGTGATACCGTAGATGCAGACGAAGTCCTGCTAGTACCAAATTTTGGCATCGGCTCTATACAGCTCTCCGACTCATTGATCGCCGTTTGCATATCTCTCAATGTTGTAGGTGAATCTTCCCGCTCCAGCTGACTGCAGGTGCCAAACATGAGATCCTGGTTGTCTAGGGACTTGACGGCAGCTTCCGGCGACAAGACGATGAACTCTGGCTCTCGCGGTTTCGTCTTTGTCTTGGACTTTCGCTTGCGGCCGGCAGCTTCGTGTTCTTGAACATCTGCAGTATATAGGCTTCCATTTCCCGAATCTTCTGTATAGCCAGGAGCGTAGCGTGCTGTCACACGCGCTGTAAGTGTTGTAAATTTCTTGTTTTGCTTCTTGGGTTTCTGTTGGCTTTCCTTGTCGACGGGGATTTTGTCCTTGGTATTAGATTTGGGGCCCGCTTGAATCCGAGAGTCCATTAGCTGTAGAATGTCAGTACTGATTGCAGAAATTTGAGTATTGTGAGACCGTACATCTATTCGTCTTCGCTTCGTCGGGCCACCACCATCCTCATTCCCCTGAATGCTAGGCTGAGAGGACGCAGTCCCAGTGAAACCGTACCCAGCCAAAAGGTTGCTGAAGTTCTGTGCCGCCCCCGACGCTTGACTGTCTCCTGCGTCTCCATCACCTTCCAGATCAAACACCTGTTTCCCGGTATCTTTGGTAGGCGTCCAATCCAGTCTCCGTATGGTGGCTTCTTCCAACTGTAGCCCACTAGCCTCCCAACCATCCAAATCCTTTGTAGCTCCTCCTTGCGACGAAGACTTCGAAGACGACGGCTTCTTCGTGTCAGACTGCTGTGAATCTGCACTACTCGCTTTCGAAACCCTCCCTGTCAACGTCTTGTTCTTAGGCCCTTCACGCTTCTTTTCGGTGTTGGTGTTCGTCCGTTTCGTTCTCGTCTTCGGTGCTTTCTTCGGGGCATTGTCTTTGAATCTGGGAGCGGCGGGCTCTGCATGCGTGAGAACCGTCTGCAACTCGTCCGTTATCTTCCTTCCCCCCCGCTTTGGTTTGTTCTCTGTTGCTTTCGCATCTGATGTTGATTTATCTGCTGCGCGTTTCCCTGTCGTCTTTCTCGCTGCATCCTTCTCGGTGTCTTGTGGCGTTACGTCCGCGGGACGATGTAATTGCCGGAATAACTCTGACGGCGACGGGAGCGAAGCGGGAGAATCAAATTGCAGTGATAGTCCAGTTTGGGTCTCGGAATGATGCGAAACCCGCTGCGGCGTGCGAGTAGGCTTATGATCCGGAGTAGACGAAAGGAGGACGACGTCCGCTGCGGAAGGCATGGTGGGAAGGCTTGGGGGTGTCGATGCAGTCAAGGCATTTCAAGAATAAAATGGTCATATATACGGTCGCAAAGTCTTCATACCATTCTTCTGCTGTCTCAATGATATTAATTCATGTCGTGTGGTGCTTGAGAGAGCAAAGTGAAAGTGTTAAAATCACCGGCGGCGACTACGAATTGGGTCTTGGCAAAGTTGTAGGATTGCCTATTTGGGATATTGTTTATGGGTGGGCAGGGCAACCGCTGGCAGTTCTTTACCAGGGACTTTTAAAAAGTAGAAAAAGTATTTATTTTACAATGATATGGATCGTGACGATAATCCTGTTTCTTTATATAAGCTGGGCTACGAAATATCGCGCGAGCAGCATCTGTGGTATCGAAGATGGTTTTGCATTGAGTATTGGTTTCTACGGACTAAAACCCGACATGCCTTAAATTTTCGCCAAAGGCTGGCGGGAAATCACTCTGAGTTGACGATCCTAGAGATTCATGGGTTATACACAGGACAGATGTAGCATGCGCTACAGCGTACAGTCCCCGTCCCGCGGCGGTTGGAGATACAGGAGCCGTTAGACGCATGGCCAACGCCAGTATCTGGTGAAATTGGTAGACGGCACCTGTTTGGGTGACAGACGATGTTCTCTATCCCCGTAAACCATGAAATAGCCCGCCTGAAGAGAAGAGCCGACGATTGCAGCACAGCTGAGTCGAAATCGCGCAATCCATCATAGTGCTCCTCGCAACGCAATGGCTCCCAGAAGGGCAGTCTCCAGTCGTTGTCTCTCGTGATTCTCGGTGTCATTTGTCTTTGCAGTTGTAGGAACCAATCCACCTAGCTTATAGGCTTTCTTAATCTTCGCGACATCTGAGATTGCGACAAGCGTTTCGTCATTGAATGGCACAGCAGAGCCTTCAATGGAAGCTCCGAGATGTGTTGCCACTGACTCATGAGTAATCTCAGGAGTGACAGACACCTTCACCACCAGTAGATCTTTCGTGGAGTCCGTGATGCCGAATTTCCGGAAAGAATCAGCAATCTGCGCATGGTTAGCGTTTGTCGGAGACAAGGTGTTAAGTCCGAACGCACATTATTCGCAGGGCTCAGCGAGAAGACTATCTCCGAGTGAACGTTGCGTGACTTGAGGCGCACATTCATATAATCATTGACGGCCCGAAAGACTGCTGAGAGAGCATGGGTCCTTGTCAGGATCTGTATCCAGTATTAGACTTGCCCTTGAGTAGTTACTCGGGGTTCCGCATCCTACCATGCTCGCGTCAATAAGCGCATATTCAAAATCAGAGTTTCCTGAAATAAGTTGCTGCCGGAGGAAAGACGCGTTCTTCACATCCTTATAGAGCGCGACATGAATCGGCAAAGATGCAGGCAGGTGAGAGAGGTTGATTGTTTCTAATGCGGACATGGTGACCGAGAAGTGTTCCTGCAGCAACTTGCAAGAGCCTGCTCGATTGCGATCTTAAGAGGATACCTCTGGCGTATAGTCTTCAAGAATTATAACAATTAATGCCAATACGCAGGAATTCGCCGGCAACGTTGATTCTGATCCCCTCCCCCCACCATCATCACCAGTAAATCGCATTAGTCATCCTTAGAGTCATCTGACCCACGTGACCTTCACTTCTCGAACGTTCGGGTGCCCGTAGCGGACATAAGCGGAAGTCTGATATCACCGCCGCCGCTTTAAATACTCCTCGGCCTCTCCTGCAACTCAGCGTCATCTATCAGACAACGTCGATACTCTGTATATATCGATACTATAATCATGGCGTTCTTTATGAGACGCCCATTCGCCGTGCCATCGGCGCTGGGCCAAATTCCGAAAGCCACAAACACCGCTCGATTCATCCACAACTCGTCCTCCAGGCCTTTCTCCAAGCCCGTCTCGTCCATCTTCGCAAAGTCTCGTCAGTCGTTCCATAATGCCTTCAAGCGGACCTACATGCAGCCTTCTGCCAGCCCTGCGCAGGGTAACATGACTCAACGGCTTCTGTACGGTGCGGCTATTGTTGGTGGAACTGTTATGGCGACGAACTTTGTCTTCAACCGGGAAACTCGTGAGGATGGCGGCATGCCGGCTTATGAGCGCAGCTACTTGAACGAAACATTCATGCACACTGGTCTTGGTGTTGGTATTATCGGTATTGCCGCTCGGGCTCTGCACATGAACGGCTGGTCGTATCGTCTGATGGCCACCAACCCTTGGGTTGTCGTCGGTCTTGGTCTTGTTGCTAGCATGGGTACTATGTTCGGAACTTTCTACACTCCTCCTGAGAAGTAAGTTCTTCATTTTTTCTCTGGGTTTTCATATGGTGCCTTAGTGGATCGCATGCTAACAGTCATCTAGCTACGTGATGAAGTATGGTCTCTGGACTGGTTTCAACATCACCCAGGCCGCTCTCCTCTCGCCCTTGATGTTCATGCACCCCGCCCTCCTCGCTCGTGCTGGTCTCTACACGGTCGGAATGATGGGTTCGCTCGCCTTCGTCGGCGCCACCGCCAAGCAGGAGAAGTACCTGTACCTCGGTGGACCTCTGCTCGCTGGTGTCACCATCGTCGCTCTTTCTGGTCTTGCCCCGCTCGCCCTCCCCGCCACTGCCACTCGCGCTCTTGCCTGGTCTGACAAGATTTGGCTGTACGGTGGTCTCGCTGTCTTCGGTGGTTTCACCCTGTACGACGTCCAGAAGGTCTTGGCCCACGCCCGCATGTCGCAGAGGGGTCTGGCGAAGCGCGACGTTGTCAATGAGAGCGTTAGCCTCGAGTTGGACTTTATCAACATCTTTGTCCGTATGGTTCAGATCCTTGCTATGCGGAACAACAACCGGAGGTAAACTTAACGTCATTCAGACGGGTTTGCTTTTAGGGGGATAGTACTGGGATCCGCTGTATTATTTATACAACTGCTTTTTTTCACTGCGTTATGCCTGCATCTGTATATTTTTGTCGTTTCATCGGCTGGCCTCCAGGTAGAGCTGGGTCGGTATCAAATTCCGCTTCTGCGCACGGAAATTGAATTCAATTAGCTGAACTTGTGGTTTAATAGACAACTCTCCACTCAGCAAAGAAGAAAGATTGAATCCAATGGTTTCTTATCTTATGTTCTATACGTTCATCAAAAATACATCATAGAAAGGAATAAAATTATGTATATATAGCTTCGTAATATCATCACAGCACCTGTGATAGCTATATCAACAACACAACCAACCCAGCCACAACCGGCACAACCAACGAATGCCAGAAAGTATTGATAGTCGAAGCCCCCGAAGTCCTCACACCCCCACCAGTCTCCAACGTAACATACGAAGCATTCGAATACTCATACCCACACAGCCCACTCCCCTCCATCATATCCATGGGAAACAGCACCCTCGGCTCCCCCTTATTCATATCAACGCTCAACTCCCCCCTCTGATTTACCGTGTAATTCCGACAATCTAACACATCTATCGCCACCGTTCCCGCCAGGAACGAAACAGGCATGGTCAGCGTGTACTCGTTGCTACCTGTGCCCTGCGTTGAAAGAACCATGATGGTTTCGCGGCCGTCGATGCCCTTCCGGATTACTAGTTCGCTGCCGCCGCGGTAGATTGGATAGGATTCGATGTTGACGTAGTCGTTGTAGAGGTTGTAGGCGTGTTTGCGGATTGCGTTGAGCTTTGAGATTAGTTTGTAGAGAGGGGCGGAGGTGTCGTATTTGGTGAGCCAGATGGCTTCGCGGTTGTGGGGTTCTCCGGCGCCGTCGAGGTGTTGTTCTTGGCCTTGGTAGATCATGGGGATGCCGTCGAAGAGGATGGTGAAGGTGAGGACGTTTTTGGCGAGCTGTGGTTTTGTTAGCGCCAGTGCGTTAAGATCAAGTTTAGCTAGGGCAGCCTTACTGCAAGATCGTCGGTTTTACTGGCAAACCGGGCAAGGTCGTGGTTCTCGGAAAAGGATGCTAGGGATGTCACGTCGGGACACTTTTGCTTCATGTTCATGATCTCGTCGGCGAGAGAGGTCGTGTTTCCAAGGGTGAACGCATTCATCATGGCATAGTAAACAGGGTAATTGGGGACACTAGAGATGTAATTGCTCTGGTAGTCGCAAATAATGTCGTCCGATTGTTCCAGCACTTCCCCGGCCATGAAAGAGCCGGTAGCTTTCTCGAACAAGGGCAAGTATTGTGGTGTGATGTGCTTGGCAGCATCCAAGCGCAGTCCGTCAATCGAGTATGTGAATATCATATCCTGGACCCAGGTGTTCAGCATATCCTGAACTGTGGGATCTTCTGTCTTCAGATCCGGCAATGGAACAATGTCATCACCTGTCCAGCACTTCTGCGCAACAGAGTAGATATTGTAGTTCGGGATCGGGCAGTAATCATGGAAATAGCTCGAGCTGTTGAATGGCGTGAAGGAGGTATAGTCCACACTATTTGCGGGATCACTGCCATTCGTGATATAGGCCATATTGTTGATAACCGTATCCATCATCAGGTACATGTCACGGGAGTGTAGTTCATTACTCAAGTCGAGTAAATCCTGACGGGTACCAAAATGTGCGTTCAACGAGTATAGATCTTGTGACCAATATCCGTGGTACGCTTCTCCGTATTTTACACGTCCCTCGATGTTCTCAACGATTGGCGAGATCATAACGGCGTCGAATCCCATCCCCCGAATGTAGTCGAGGTGATTGATCATTCCCCTCCATGTTCCGCCACAATATAAGCCCTGTGTCGTGTTGCATGCGTGTGTGGTTGATCCGTCAGTGCGCGCAAATCGGTCTGTCATGGTCTGGTATATCGATCTGCCTTTCCAGGCGGCGGTGTCTGCGGCCAATGCCGTGCTAGACCAGTCCAGCGCTGCCAGGGCAAGGAGCCATTGTGCTGGGTGTATAGAGAAAGTCATGATGTGTCGTCCTACACTGGTACCTCAATTTAACAGGGTATGGTATAGTACAATAATTTCGCAATCAGTCGTCGATGGTTCACGCGCTCATCGTCCGGTATCAAATGGATTCTCCAAAGTGTGTTTGTAGGCGCAATGTTTTGCAAATTGAAAGAAGTTCCAATTACTGCAGTAGATCAATTGCTTGGTTTACCCCTGGTATAATGACAATTCGAAAAAAAGTAAAGAGCGTCTTGGGTATCTGAAAGGACCGGCAAAAATATTGGATCTGAAAAGCCGAGGATAACGAATGACAATAGTCCACTAACTAGAAAGAGAATGACAGGAAATAAAAGAATGACTGAAGCCAGTGGCAAGGAGTGTGGATGAGCGATTGACCCAAAATATATATAAAAAAAAAAAAAGGAAAGAGAGGCCCTCAAGTTGAATACCGAAGAAGAATACAATGGAGCCGGCAGTCGGCGGGTGGAGGGCAAACAACCTGACCTCATTAATGTGACCAGCGGAACTGCCAAGGGAGAAACAAGCGCCTTTTGTATATTGGTAATGTCTTACTTTAGTTCATTCGAGTATCTCCATAGTGCCTCTGATCAAGCAATATAGTGCCCTGTACTTTGTACCGGCCAAGGCATCTCCTTGTCTCTACTCTTACCCCTACGTGCTCTCTCCCACTCTTCCTCCTGTATGTATTTGACCCCCTCTTATTACCATTATCCAAAGACCAAGAATTGAATATCACTAAAAAGCACAAGCAAAAAGAAATCAGAAACATCGAAGCCTTGCGTATTGGTGCCCCTGCCTCCGATTGGTTCGTGTTACCATATGGAAAGCAAGGTACTGCAGAAGCGCTAAACCAAGTAAGGTATAATCGAGATGGAGTCCGGCCCTAGTGATCAATATAAAAATTAATTGGATATCAAGGAGAATTATCCCCACATAAACTAACGGGGATCTGGCCGGATTGATTGGCCCCTTCAGGCACCATGTCCTAATCGGGAAATTCTTCGATTTAATAACAGCCGATTAGGGTTAGTGTCTTATCGCTGGTCCAAATATGGAAAGCACGAAATTTCGCAGGGCTCATTGGGCTCTATTAGATATGCTACCGGTCTCAGAACCAGTAAGAATCTAGTAACTTGAAGTATATATCTAATAAAAGCAGGGAACCATCCATTTTTGCTAATGCCAGAATACCTGTATAGATAAGGTGTGTTTGACTGAGGCACAAAGATTAGAAAGAAATGAGGCGGCGGCCCCTTCCGACTAGAATGTCTTATCCGATCCAATATACGTTGGACGCTAAGTGGAAAAGATGCCACCATAGCGGTGGTTTACATATGGAACAGATGTGCTCACTATGCGCCTAAATAAACACCTACTATCCACTCCGCACAGCCCTAAGGCAGATCAAAGCCCCCTCGTTATTGTGATACTAATTATAGTTTACATGTCTAGGTTCCGTAACCGAACGAAATGTATTCGAGCAACATCTGAACATGTGCAAGATACATGAGCTCTGGATGCACTCCTGGAAATCCGCCTCTAGAACCACAACTCATAAGGGCCTGGCTCTACAGCACGCTCACTTTTCAACTTCTCTTCCCTGATCACTTCCCTGACCAATACATCTCTTTTGCTCTCAATCCACATACTCTGTTCGACCTGCCGCCAATTGAGATCCGCCACAGTCATGCCTTTGATATCCGCGACGATGCGCAAACCACCCCAAGTGAGCCGTTCAAATGTCACAAGCAGCATCGCCACGGTCTTCCAACCCCAGAACCGGCTCTCTGGAAGGTGTACCCGAAGGATCATTCTGGGCCAATCGCACAGATAAAACTCATTGTGTAGTTTGCTGTCCGTGTATGCCGGTCTAAAGCTCCAAACTTTCGTTTCCAAGCGCAAGCCATGTCCGCGGGCCTTACAGGCTTCAGGTCGTATCTCGATCGTCAACATGATGGAGTTGTCCGCAAGACCTTCGATATTCAGAAGGCGCGAGTTCTTCGGATTGAGATGCACGTCGTACCGTGTCGCGGATGGGTTTACGCGCGGGTCGCCGCCGACGGTCTCTCGTAGGGTCATTTCATGGCGGGCCACGTCGCAGTGGATATCGAGTTCTGCACCTGGATGATGTAGCTGGTGGACCTGACCGGGTTGGTCTCCAAAGAGGAACGCCTGCATCCTTTCCAGGGATGACTTGGGAGGCGCCGGTTGGCAAGAGCATTTGGAGTCGTCGCTAACGATTGAGAAATCAGTTAGGCCGTCTTCAGCGTGGCGTGCGCCTTTGCGCGAGACACTCACCACCACATCACCTTTGCGATAGAGAGCTGAAGGTTGGAGGAGGGTAAACTCGCTTTGCAGTATGATAGGAAAGTTGAGGTGAAGCGAGTGTGAATGCGATGCGCAAAGTTGACTTCTAGTGCAAAACCCAGAACCATTCACTGGCCTTAGATCTTGCGCCAAACGGTCTAGACGGGAAGTTCCATTTACTGTCGTAAATCTGGCGAGTCTCATCTAGCAATCGCGAGTCTGGCACGCGATAATGCGAAACGTGAGGGTATCTTCCTTCACGGCTGCATGACTTCTTTGCGCAGACATACCGTGATCGCGCTAAAGCAAGCAGCTATTCGCTGCACCCATTGTCTAGGACCATAGGCGCTTTCTTTGATTCTTAACAGCAATCCTTTGACAGCTCTAGTATCTCCTGTGATGAGATCCAGCTTGCCATTCTTGTTTTTTTTTTTTTTTTTTTTTTGTCTGGATGCAAGCAGCACCTTACCATTATTCTACTGCTTGATCGATTTCTATAAGCCCCGAGTAACATGGAGTACGACACCTTAGCTCCACCTATTTTCTATTCGATTGGTAAAGTATATAAGATTCAATATCCAGTGCTGTCAAGAAGATCTTAGTTACCAGAGTGAGCAAGTTACTCACACATATATCCTTATTGCCAGTTCCCAGACTCCAGATCATACTCATATTCCCCGTATAGTTTATACTCGTAAGGAATAATCCAATCTAAAAGTTCATGTCATTGACAGTATGTGATTACATAAGCACACTGCAGCTTTCCAGACTCGGCGATGATCCCAAGCGCCGCAAAAGAGCAGCGATACCCGGTGACAACACATCTCACAAATTTCAATCCCTCCATATCATATCCTATACCGATACACGATAGCTATTATAATCTGAAACGGTCACCATGTCGAACGAAATGGAAGTCGACCCTCCGGTCCAGCAAGAAGAGGAGGCGCCAGCACAATCCGGCAACGGCAACTTCGAACCACGAACAGAGTCGGGCGCCGTCCCGGTGCGCAGTATTGAGGGATGGATCGTGATAGTGACAAATATCCACGAAGAAGCATCTGAGGAGGACGTGACAGATCTGTTCGCAGAGCATGGAGAGATTAAGAACTTCAACTTGAACCTTGACCGCCGGACGGGTTATGTGAAGGTATCGCAGCTCTGTTGATCCTCGGGCCATATCGCAATGCTGATGACTACTGTTTGAATACAGGGATACGCTTTGATCGAATATTCGACCGTCACCGAAGCCGACGAAGCCGTTAAGTCGTTGAACGGCTCCAAATTGCTCGACCAGACTATCAACGTCGACTATGCTTTCGTCCGGCCTCCGCCATCAGGTAAAGGGAAAGGTGGTGCACCCAAGGGCGGCCGTGGTGGACGGGGTCGCAGCAGGAGTCGCGAGAGGAGTCGCAGCCCTGGTGCTGATAATGAGCGGGAGTAAATGGGTCTATGTGGTGGCTACCCTTTGGTTTTGGAATGAAAAGCTACGTCTCTTTTTTTTTTTGCTCGATGGGGTTGCCATCTCGGTGTTGCGATGCGGGCCGTTACGATTACAACGATTATGCTGCCGTGGTGTACAAGGATCCGGGATGGAAGACATGGATATTGGCCGGCATTACCTCTATTTGCTATAGGCTCTCAGACATTGCCATTGTTTGGCATGGCAATCTGCGCCTAAAAAGCTAAGAGGTATTCGCCGGCGTCGTGGTATACTTTTAACGTGGTATGCAGACTTCCTTGGCATTTATCGTTTGGGAAGCCCTATTGCTAACTTGGGCTTCAGAACTAGATGATTCTCAGTTTCCTTTTTGCGTCTCAATCTGGATATCCAAAATTGTGTTTAGAATAGGGGCTTATGCATCGAATACAATTGGCGCCTTGCGCATTTTGCCTTGCATTTACATGATTTTCTTGAACTACACAGAGCTGTCTATTTTTTTAAAATAGCGTCTGCCTGCATATCAATACCCTGTCCTGTCGCTGTCGCACACACCCATCGGGGCATATCCTATATAAGAACACAGGATTGTATAGATTTCAGACACATAAAAACAGAAGTAATAGCGCACAAACTCATTCCATCCATCTAAAATGGCAGGCGCTGCTGAAAGGGTCCTTCTAGACGAAGGCGCGGGCCGGCAGCTTCCCCGCATGCGGAATTAGTCCCTTCTTCGACTGCGACTCTTCTTCCTTCCTCTCTCCAACCTCCCGTTGACATCCGGCTATAGTCCATGAAAAAGGTTTCTTCTGTCTTTACTGTATGGTTCTCAATTGAGAATTGCCTGTCCTTACTATCCTATTCTTCATCCTATATGCCTTGAAGAACGACTGGTTGGCCTCTGCGGTCTCGAACCTCTCTGGACCTCTAGGCAGACCCCGTTATCGCACTGACTGCTACCTACGATTATCCATACATAATACCTATCACCTCCTCGATCCTCGACACAATGAAACTATACACCATTTCCGCTCTATCCTTATACCTCATTTCGACGCAGATTGGGGCAACCGAGGCGCTGGCGCGTCGGTCCCAGCAGTTCCTTGCGCCACCAGACGAACAACCAAAGCTATCCAAAAACACGAATGCTCCTTCAGCTCCTTGGAACAATGATTCGTCTATCAGCACAAGTTTTGATGACTTGGTCGCAGCGTTGGACACGATGCAAAATGACTACTTCGAGCTGTGGCAGGGTACCTGGCCGAGTAGTATCGACTGGACCGCGGCGGTGCTTGGAACGCATGTTTCAGCTACTCTTTCTTCGCTGACTTCGTCGAAGGACGATGCTCTCATGTCATCGATTACTACAGCTTCGGATGCGAGCGACGAGGACGAGACGTCGATGTCGGTGGCAAGGATAACTTCGATTGCGCTTGAGAACCTGATCAACCGCTTTTTCGAGCACACTTCGGCGTTTTATTTCGGGGAGGATGCGTTTGCGTTGAGGAATCAGGCTTACGATGATATGCTATGGGTTGTGCTGGGGTGGTTGGAAAACATCAAGTTCCAGACGCTGCATTCGGATTTGCGTTACACTTCCAATGTCACAACCGGCGGCTGGCATGGAACCCAGTTCGAGGTCCCTGCTGCTCATCGCGCGCGGTTGTTCTACGGTCTGGCGTCGGACGGATGGGACGTTACGCTTTGCGATGGCGGGATGATCTGGAGCCCATATCTGACACCGTACAAGAACGCCATCACGAATGAGCTTTACATTGCTGCAAGTATTGGGATGTATTTGTATTATCCAGGCGACGTCATTGACTCGCCGTTTGTCGCTGAGTCGACTAGTGCGTCGGATGGATACCCGCATAATCCGATCCATCTACAAGCGGCCACGGAGGGATATAAATGGCTCAAGAACTCGAATATGACTAGCGAAAACGGACTGTATGGAGACGGGTTCCATATCCGCGGTTGGGAGAGTGTGCAGCAGCCGGGAACGCGCCAGTGTGACGTCCTGAACACCATGGCTTACACGTATAACCAAGGAGTGATCCTCAGCGGGCTTCGAGGACTGTGGCTGGCCACAGGCTCGGAGGAGTATCTGCGGGATGGGCACGAGTTGGTGCAGAAAGTGATACATGCCACTGGATGGCCCAATAAAGGCAACAAGGAGTGGTCAGGCCTCGGTCGCGGCGGTATTATGGAAGACACCTGCGACTCATCCGGCAGCTGCTCACAAGACGGACAAACGTTCAAAAGTATCTTTTTCCATCACTTCACCGAGTTCTGTCGGGAAACTCGTCCACAGGAAAAGCGGTTCCTCACGCAAGCAAGGCGGCAAACGCCTAGCCAGGGGACACGCTTGTATAAATGGCATCAGAATCAGTGCCGCGGCTATCGATCATGGGTAGAACATAACGCGCAGGCCGCGTTGAAGACCCGGAACGAGCGTGGACAGTTTGGCATGTGGTGGGGTCCGGCATATGGAGCGCAGACGACGGCCGTGAGCAGTAGCCCGCTTGCTCGTGGGGCCATTGACTACCGCAATTACAACCAACAAGGCGAGGATAGTGAAGCGCTGATTGGGGCGTTGCGCAGCCGGGATGCTACCGAAGTTCCGAGAAATGCAAGAACTTGGGCCTATGACCGGGGGCCGCATGAAGGAGGTGCAGGTGGCGAGTCTGCAGGCATGAAGAGCGCCAGCCCACCGCCAGATTACAACAATCGAGGCCGAGGACGAACGGTAGAGACGCAGGCTGGAGGGGTTGCGGTGTTGCGGGCGTTGTACGAGTGGCGTCAGATGGCTTGAACAAAAGTACTTTTGCATTTTTACCATATCGGGATGGGATGGACGGAGTTCTGGTTGGACATTGTTATTTCTTGTTTTCTATTAGTATTGATATTCTCGATCCGAGTCATGAATAATGAATGATGCGTTGTCAACCGTCGGTGTATTTTGACCCTGACTCTCTCTTATTAGGATTCAGTATTATTCTCGACAGCCGCCCTCAGCGTGCAAATAAGGCTCCTTATAGCCGGCCAACTGACTTGCCGGGGAACCGGGAGAGGAATAGATGCCACTGGCCGGTAATACACAGCATTTTTGTATGAAACACCTTTTAAAAAAGCCGGATCGCCGTGTAGAATGTTCTTCAATTAACACTAGAATAAAACCGTCTTAATCATAATTGTAATTCTTGTTGTATTTTGTGCTGATCGTCGAGTTGCGAGAGAATCTTTGTGCTTATTCACCCTCTCTGTGCTTCTCCTCTCTTTTCCACTCTCTGGTTCCCTCTTCACTTATTACCAACAAACAACCTCTTCGGCCCCTCGCTCGCCCTAGTACTATTGTCTTCTCTTTAATGACCCAGATCGCTTAATTTCGAGCGGATCGTCTTCTCTTTCACTTCTCCCATTTTTCTTTCTTCCTTCCGGCCAGTTCGTTTTCGGAAGAAGAATCCATCGTGGCCTCGGCAAACAGCACTCTGCCATTCTGTCGCTGTCACTAAATTACCCGTCCTCTGGATATTGAATATCCGTCTGGCTCTCGTTCAGGAGGCAAATTACGGAATTAATACTGCTGCGTCTGCATCTACGGCCGTCGCTTCGTTCCAATCGCTTTCGTTCAATATCGGACTCCCCTCCCGACTACTGTGCGATTTCGATTTCTCCAGCTAAACCCATATCTTTCTTTTTCTCTTCTCGTTGATTTCGAGAAAGTTCAATAAATAATACTTGCTGGACACTTCGTCGTTGTATCTCTACTACGATAAACCGCGCGTTGACCGTGTTCCGGTTCTCTCCCCCTGAAATCGAAAAGCTCAACCGCCACAAAACTCATCAGCCACGAATTTTCTCCGTTTGCCGGACACGGCTGCCACAAAAAAACCGCAAACACCACCACCACATTTTCTTCATCTCCTTCCACGATAACCTCAACGACTCCAAATGGCGACCCAAACAGACTCCCAGGCTTCAGCGCCGGTTCCCACCATGCCTCAACCCAATGATCCCAGCCGCACGCACATGTCTGTATCTTCGTCCTCGTCCGTTTCCGATGCTGAGACCGAGCGCCGAGGCCGGTCTGAACGTCCCCGCATGGCCAGTCGGAAGCCTAGTGCATCCATACTCGTTCCCCGTGACCATCCCGAGATTGAGATTGAGGAGGAGGAGTTTCCGCCCGACGATGCTCGTGCTATGAGTCCGCGTCGTAACTCGGCGGATTTGGAACGGTTGGGGAAAGAGGCTAGGCATACTTTGCAGGAGTGAGTTTTTCTTTCATTCAGATGGGAAGAGAGGTGGATATTAATATTTATTTTCATTAGACAAGCCAAAGCTCTTCAATCGTCGCTTCAGGCATTGGCGGAACGAATCGACGCGGTGAAATCGGACCACGACAAGCTCGAGAGCGAGAACAAATTCCTGCAAGACTACATCGGTGGATTGACCCGCAACATGACCAAGAGCGATACCCCGAAAAGCAGCAAGGCGCGCAAGTCACAGAAATAAATCAACACCTTAAAACCCCGAATAGAGTCGATGGCACGTCGCCAGCATCAAACACAACATGATTGATGCCTTACGAGATTGACGTTGACAAAAACAAAAACCGAACAAAACAACATACCATACGCCGCCCGGATGCGATGCAATTATTGCGAAATGACATGATACCGTTTCACCTTTTTCTTTATCATTATTAGACTGCTTTACATTTCAACCTGCTTCGGCCCCGTTATTGATCTACGAGTGACGATTTGATCGTACATGATTTAACGGTCGCTTTTTTATTTCCCCCGTTCTTCTGTGGTGTTCTTGTTACTCTGCTTTGTGGATTTTCTTCTCAGCCTGTTCCTGTTTTGACGATGCTTCCTTTCGACCGGTGCCTGTCCCATCAGTCTTGCCGGTATTCGACGTTCAACCCATTGATCCATGGCAAGATCGAATTCGATGTCTCATCTGAGACAAACCGAAGAATGTCATGGCCAACTGATACCAGACCAATTGCACCAGCACCAACACTAGCACCGCCACTATTCACCCTCGTCGCACCGTCTTTCTATTTTTACCTTTTTCGCCTCCGTTTCTCTTCCCTCGTTTCCCTCCCCTTTCTCTTCTCTTTTATTTATGCTGGTGGTCTCCTGTCTATCTATCTATCTTTTGATCTGTCTGTCTGTCCTTACTGTACAGTTTTTGTTTTGCATTAGCACACTCGGCGTTGGGCTCATCGGAGTACTGAGTAATTATTTATTACTATTTAACAATTTACTACATATTCAACACTTTCTTTTTATTATTAGAACTGCACTTTGTGCTACATTCTATTATCTGCTATTGGTTGTACAAAGTAATGATTACTCCAATTCTTAAACCCGTTATATTTGAATCTAATATAAGATACTCCCACTCACCGGGATAATTACCAATGACATTGTGCGAGTCCAAGCGTACTACGTAAGAGTAAGAACCTTACCAGCAACACGACTGGTTCATGTGGCTAGATAAGCAACGTCTTCAGTAGCACGTGCGTTGGTCAGCTGCAGAGCAATCTGTGTTCATGTATCTGGACAGGGGTCTGTATCTACAGGAAGTAAATCATCTTACGGAACCGTGGTTCTTATAAACTTGAGCTGGTATAAATGACGTGGATCCAAGAAATAGTTAGGACTCTTGGTAACTAAAATTGCGAATAAAATGAAAAGGTATTCTTTGGGTACTTGAGGCAATAGTCAAAAAAAAGTAATAAAAAAGGCGACAAGGGGAAATAACAAAAAAAGAGAAAAAAAGACCCGATGATGGCTGGAGATATCCGAAGCACCGACTTTGCCAGTTCGCGCCAACACAAGGCGGTAGAATGGAACCGCGACGAAAAATAAAATAATCAACAGAGCATTAAAATCGAATCTCCATCCGCCAGCAGTAGGGTTTGGAAGAAAAACATCCCCACAACGCCTTGAGTAATATCTGGAAGAAAGAAAAATAAATGCGTCCCATTTCCCTTTCCCTCTCCGTCACTCTAGTCCCGTGTGGCGCTAAACGACAAGGCCTGCCTTTTCGGTATCTCCATCCATGACTCGGACGCGAGTCCTTCACCATCTCTCTGGATTTTTAATTTTTTTTGTCATTTATACTCATTTACTCAGCAGGCTTCTCGCCCTCGGCGGCGGGAGCGTCCTCCTTCTCAGGAGCGGGGGCGTTCGAGTCGCCGGCAGGCTCAGCCTCCGAAGAGGTCCAGAGAGTCTAGAAGGTATTAGTATATGAAACAGTGGGTATGTTTGGTTTCTGTCACTTACCAGGTTGTCTCTGAGGAGCTGCATAATGAGGGTCGAGTCCTTGTAGCTCTCCTCGCTCAGGGTGTCGAGCTCTATGGGACCAATTAGATACTAGACAGCGAAGATAATAGGAAGAAAACGTACCAGCAATGGCGTCGTCAAAAGCAAGCTTGGCGAGATGGCAAGCCTGGTCAGGGGAGTTGAGGATCTCGTAGTAGAAGACCGAGAAGTTCAGGGCCAACCCGAGACGGATGGGGTGGGTAGGAGCCAACTCGGTTTGAGCGACCTCGGTGGCGCTCTTGTAAGCCTCAAGAGAAGCGTCGGCAGCGCCCTTGCGCTTGTCGCCAATGGCGAACTCAGCGAGATAACGGTGGTAGTCACCCTTCATCTTGTGGTAGAAGACCTTGGATTCACCGGACTGGGCCGAAGGAATCAGGTGCTTGTCGAGAACCTCAAGGATGTCATCGCAGATCTTGGCCAGCTCAGCCTCAATCTTCTGGCGGTACTCCTTGATGAGGGTGACCTGGGACTCGTTGCCCTTGGACTCTTCTTTTTGCTCGATGGAGGTGACAATTCTCCACGACGCACGGCGGGCACCAATGACGTTCTTGTAGGCAACGGAGAGGAGATTCCGCTCCTCAACCGTAAGCTCAACGTTGGCAGAGGCAACGACCTTCATGTTCTCGACCATCTCTAGAGGACATTGTCAACACGGGGGTGTCTGGGGAGCGAAAAACGGGGAGCAAGCGAACGTACCCTCATAGCGCTCAGCCTGCTCGGCGAGCTTGGCGAGATAGACAGCATCTTCCTGGCCCATCGTGAAAAGTTGTACTGGAAAATCAACAATGAATAGTTAGCGGCAGTCATTCCAATAAAAACAGTGGAGAAAACAATGAATCTCCCAGTCTCCCTCTCCCATGATAACTTTCCAACACTCCCGAAAACCAACGAAAGCCAGTAAATGGCTTGCATGACACAAAAAGTGTGGAAGTGAGGCTGTGGGCTCGAATGGTTGGTTGGTTGGTTGGTCGCTCTCCCTTCTCCCCGCTGCCGCCATCGCCGCCCCCTTGAGGCTCTCTTTGTGTGGTCACCAGGCAGGTCGGGCCGTCATCAGGAAAAGACGAATCACGTAGAATAAGCGATCGAGCCATTGTGAGCCCTCGCTGGGTCGTCGAGAGATGGCGACTGGATGAGTTGCGCTGGCCTCTTTTTCCCACCTCCTATTCTTTGGTGTCGCGCGGGCGAAGACCGGGAGGGACCACCACCGCCCACCGCCGCCCGACATAGATCAAGAGAGGATTGGGACACAGCAGAGATGGCGATGGCAACGCGACTGCGGGAGGATACACAGTTGCAACCATAGTGACTTGTTTTTTTTTTTTTTTTTTTTTTTTTTTTTGTGTTGCGATGACGGGGAGAGTGGTACATGGGAGAGTAGTGTGGGAGGGGAAACAAGAACACGGTAACATAACAGCCAGAGTGGGAAGAGAGGATGTCTCACCTAAGTGTAGAGGATTAAAAAGAGGAATAGGATATCACTGAGAGAGGAAATAAAAAGGTGATTGTTTGGGGAAGAAAATAGAGTGGCAGTTTAAAGTGGGAGATTGGGGAAGGAGAGTTGTTTATGAGAGAAGAAGATGGAGAGAGAGAAAGGGAAATGGGGGGGAGAGGCGCAGAGGGAGGTTTTGGTGGGGGAGACTCAGTACATAGAGAGAGATGAGGAAGAGGTGTGTTTGGGCCATTACAGGGGAAATGGGGCGCGGAGTGCATCATTACCGCCCGTATTACCGCTGGCTTACAATACAGAATCATCACCACATGCCAATATTGTTATTTCTCTTGCTCTACAATAATAATTTACGTATTCTCTCTTTGATAGTGATACATCAATTATATCCTCATTTTCTTGTTATTATTCTACTCAGGCTGCCCTCAACAACAACTCGTACGGAATTCTATGTGGTTCGGTGGGCCGTCCCTCGTCATCCCTATTCGCAGAGTCCGCCAATCCTCAGTCACGGGACTAGCACAACTAGCCCCTACTCTACGGCTTTACTATGGCCAGCACTAAGGAGTATTGATATTCGAAAAAAACACCCGGCCTGCCACTTCAATAGTGGCCTTGATTTTCACCCTAGCCGGAATAATAATAGAATAGCTGTGCCTATTCTCGAACGCTGCTAGACCGTATCGGATCCGAGCGAGGATCTCCTCGGGTGCGATGCAATCAGGGGACATACATAGTCCATAGTTCGTAGTCCATAGCTACGGAGTACAATACAGAATATCTGTGGCGCTCCTTGCATTGCAGGATTACAGAAACAAAAGCACCTTATTTCCCTGTATCTATTCTCATACTCTGTAACGATATTAATAGCATGTCATCTCTCACCTGATCTGCGCGAGTAACTTACTTAGTTAACTACTTGTTGAGCGCTGACTCATCGCAATCACATGATACCCTGGCGTTGTCGTCATAGCCTCTTGCTCTTGCATCCGGTTGACCCATCACATCTACTTGCTCCAAACACTCCTACGACTTCCATCTTCCCTTCTTACTACATTTCACAAGTACATCTTTCTAAACTACATTCAACTGCAAGATACAAACTGAGCAAAATGTTCCGCCAAAGCATCGCTCGTCCTCTCACCTCCGCCAACCGTTTCGTCGGAAACCGTTCGTTCTCTGCTCTCGCTCCCAGAATGGGTGAGGGTGACACTGGCGCTCCCAAGACGGGTGGTGCTGCTTCATCGTATGTATTTATTTCTTTTCTGTGCTTATGAGTTATTCCACTGTCTTGGTCTCTTTCGCTGCGATGTCTTCAATGGACAGACAGACGAGAGAAGAAAGCGGATGACATCATGCCATACACCTTGGACAGATGCTAACTGCACCAACCAATAGTGATTCGTTCTCCCGCCGTGAAGCCGCGAATGAAGCCGTCTACATCAAGCAGCAGGAGCAGGAAAAGTACGTCCAATCCTATCCCATATAGTTAATCCTGTGTGGTCAGATAATAACCAATCTATACGTACAGACTCCAGGCCCTCAAGAAGAAGCTCTCTGATCAGCGTGACCAGCTCAACGAGTTGGAGAAGCATGTGTACGTACCTTACCTTTTCACTCCGAATCCAGAATACCCCGGCGAGCAGAGCTAACGACTCGTTTCAACAGCGACGACTTGAGCAAGGGCAAGCAGCAGTAGATTCTGACTGCTACATAATCTCCTCTACCTTGTATTCATACACCCTCGCTCCTCGATATCCTCCTTTGCTACTAGACCTGACGTCCGTCTTCTCGTCAACTCTCATACTTCTTGCTTTCGAGCGAGATAGACTACAATATGCTTATGATTTCATGTATAGCTAGTTAAGACTACAATCACGATTCTCTACTTCAAGTGTCATATGGCAACCCTAGTATCAGAATATAGGCGTAAGAAAACTCAGTGTCATCATTATTTCTAGAAGAAATCCCATGCGCAGTAAAAACGATTAAAGAAACCCCAAAGCATAAACTCCCACAACAGTCATGCAAATTACCGACGTCCCATGTAAGACCGGTAGAAATCATCCGCCGCACTCGCGCCGCCGATAGAGCTACTGAATCCATATCCGAAGCGCGACGAAAGAGTCTGGCCTGCCTTCTGCGCCGTGCTGACCTTGTCCTGCAGCTCTGTCGTGCCCTGGTCGATGAGCTGGAGCTGCGAGAGGTGCGAATTGAGGATGCGCACGATTTGGGAAATCTAGCTTTGTCAGCACTGCATTCTTCAAGATTATAAATAGGAAGGCGGAGCTTACCGGTTCATCTGCCTTGCTGGTCTTGCTCAGCGTCGCCGAAGCACCGTTGACTTCTTCAATCATGCTCGACAGATCCTTGCCCATCTCGTCCAGACGCTCAGACAGTTTCTCGGCCAATTTGTACGTCCTCTCACGCTCTTGGTCAGGTCCCTGAAGCGTCTCGCCAGGTCCAACCTGCTTCGACATCATCTCATCGACCTCGCGCTCGTACCGGTCCAGCCACGAGCTAAGTTCCTCTTGCTGTCCCTCGACAGATCCAAGCTGGCGCTCCACTTCCTGCGTGGCACGCTCTGCGTCGACAGTGCTTCCGTACAGCTTCTGCACCTTGGTGCCGTTCTCCACCAGCATACGGTCCCATTCAGCCACCTTCTCGGCCTGCTCCCGAAAGTCCTTCTGGTACTTGGTCAGGTCTGTGGCCCATCGGGTGATGATCTCGTCCATCGTCTTGTTCTTCAAGCGAGACTGGGCTGGAGGGGTGGGTCCGGCGGTCGAAGCACCCAGGCCGGCACCTGGTGGTGCGGCGGCCGTCCCTGCGGTTGCGCCAGTAGTGGAGGGACCCGTCGTCGCAGTGGTCGGCGCGGTAGTCACTGGTGCGGTCGTAGTGGTTCCTGCGCCGGCAGCAGTGCTGGCTGGCTGTGTTGACGGCGTGGGTTCCGCAGGCTTGTTTCCAAATAGTCCACCAATGGCCGCCGGTTGGGTGCTAGGGGCCGAAGGAGCAGCGGTCCCGGGAGCGCTGGTCGCCGTCGACTTGGCTGCACCAAGAGCAGAGAATAAGCCACCCGCAGGAGGAGCAGCTGCAGGAGTGGCAGATGGAGTAGTTGAAGAGGTGGTGCCTCCTAAACCAAACATTGGCTTGGCCGGAGTGGTGGATGTGGCAGGCGTAGTGGAGGATTCACTAGTGGTTGTGGTGGCAGTAGGTGGTTTGAAGAGCGACGGTGCCTGCGCACCTTGTCCGCCCGCTGCTGGAGTGGCTGTCGGGCCCCCAAAGAGAGGGGGCTTGGAGCCGCTGTCCGCACTGGTCGTGGCCGGGGTCGTCGACTCTGCCGGTTTATTCCCAAAAAGACCACCTCCCGTAGGTGCCGATGGCGTCGATCCAAACATTGGCTTCTGCTGTTGTGTGCTTCCAAAGAGGCCGCCACCCGACTGCGGTTGCGATCCTCCTCCAAATGGCGCTGGCGTGGTAGAAGGGGCGGTTGCCGTCGTGACAGCGGTTGGGGTCGTTGACGAGGTGGCGTTGGGGGTCGCATTTCCAAAGAGACCGCCGGCTGGCTTCTGCGCCGGTTGGCCAAAAAGAGACTGTCCTTGACCGGCACCGCCCTGCGGAGGAGGACCAGCTGGAGTGGTAGACGTGTTGCCGAAAAGACCTCCACCAGCTGGGGCAGGAGTAGCCGTATTTCCAAATAAGCCACCTGCAGGCTTCGGCGCGTTGCCAAACAATCCACCGCCGCTCGCCTGACCAGACGCAGGGGCTTCACTCGCCTTGGGAGTTGTAGATCCACTTCCAAACAACCCTGACGACTGAGTACCTGAACCGGCGTTGTTCTGCGTACCGAAGCTGAAGCTGGGCGTGCTGCTGCCAGATGCACCGCTAGTGCCGGAACCAAAAAGCGAGGGACCAGACGAAGCTTGAGGGGTCGAAGACTTGTTTCCGAACAGAGACGCTCCTGAGCTGGCAGGGGTTGACGATGCGCCTACATTTCCGAAGAGACCGCCGCTTGAACCGGTGTTGGAGCTGTTCGGATTGGAGCCAAAGGGACTGGAACTGCCAGAGCCAGAGCCAAAAAGGCCACCAGACGATCCTCCGCCCGAGGATGGGGGGTTGAAGCTGAACGACATGGTGCGTGAGGTGAACAGAAAAAGTCAATGGGGCTGCCCTGGTAGGTAAAAAAAAGCAGAGCAAAACAGTCAGTCAACAGTGGGCGGAAACGAGCGTACAAAAACCTACTGCGCCCAGGAATCAAGAGATTTGCAGGATAAAAGATGGCAACCTCAAAGTTTGCAGTAGACAACACGCCGTAGATATCCCTCAATCCTGTAGCAACAAACCCAACGATGGAGAGCTGGAAGGACGTCTTTGCGTTGCTGGAGAGAAGGCGGAAGCGCGCTACGGCGGCTGGCGTCTAACTTGATACCTAAGGCATGTATTAATATGCCTCAGGCATAAAATCTGGACTCCAGCGGCAACGACAAAGTGACAACATACGGAGAACTAACGGAGTATTGAAACGGACGCACCTCGTCGTATGTCCTTTTTCTCGCCACTATCGCAAATCTAAACTACATGAGTTATTATTGGAAATTCAACATATCCTAATGTCGGAGAATCCACCCAATTCGCACCTGGAACCCCCTCAAAAGAGCGTGGAGTTGGAAGACCCCGGAGCCCAGGAATCTGGTACGATTTAGTATTCTATTGGCTTGAGCGAAACAGTGAATTAATTGTATTATAGCACCCAACAGTGACGACGAGGACCACTTCTCAGACGCCAGTGAAGGCAATCCACGCTCACACTCTCGAACAACCTCCGGTCACGCTTCTCCTATTCCCCGGACCCGAGTCGAGAAAGTGGACGATAACCCCTCCCACGGAGAAGTTCCTGGAACAGCCGCCTATGGGAAGAGAGGGAAAGACTCGGTCCCAGATGAGGTCGAAGTGATCCCCGAAGGTTCACGCAGCAGAAGTCAATCGACAGCGCAATCCCCGCCCGAGAACCCTCCAGTTCCCCGGACGGTTGTCGAAAGGGTCGACCCGGAACATCCAAGCCATGGCGATGTTCCCGGCACAGATGCGTACGATAAGCGCAGAGCAGATGCGGTTCCTGATGCTGTGACGACGGCCCCGGAGTCAGGTGGCACGCCGGAACTCAATCCCGAGCCCGAGCCCAATGATGCTGTTGATAGTACGGCTGTGCCAGAGACGGTGGTTTCACAGGTAGAGACTCCGACTGAGGAGGGGCCCGAGTCAAGGCCACACGCGCATCGTCGCAGGCCCAGTGATGCTTTACCGGATTCAGTAGAGACTGTGCCAGATGCCCCAGGTAAGCTTCTATCTTCCCTTCCAGCTTCACTGCAGGATGTTAAGGAACGATTGACCAATTCAGATCCGCAATCGTCGCCTGCGACTAGTGTCGAGCAAGAATCATCAGCTATAACTGGGGATGACCAGCAAAAGATGGATGGCGATAACGACATTGACAATAATGGCACAGCTATGCCCGGGGCTCTCCCAGAGGATGAAGATGATGCCGTGGACGACTTCGATGACTTTGCAGATGAACAAGAGGAGATGGGAGATGATGATTTCGGGGACTTTGACGATGGCTTCCAAGAGCCCGAGGAGATTGTTGAAGTCGAGGCCATGGATGAAGGCGCATCAAGTCCAGCACCTCAACCGCCGACTCCTTCAGTCGTGAGTACCCCCTATACAACGATACCGTCTATCCCAATATTAATATACGACAACAGCCACCACTCATAGACTTCGACGCCATCCAATCCCTCCCCGACCTCCACGCCGCCCTCGAAGACCCCCTCGACCGTCTCTTCCCCACCTCCAAGAACACCACCTCCCTCCCCCCAGTCCAGCCCATCGAAAACGCCTCCGCCATCTTCCACACAGACCGCTCCCTCTCCCTCTGGTCCCAACTTGTCGCACCGCCTCCTCTCCAGCCCCAGAACTGGGTCAAATCCCGAATCCGCCGTCTCTTTCTCGTCTCCCTAGGCGTCCCCGTCGATCTTGACGAGATCCTCCCCGCCTCGAAGCAAAAGAAACTCGTCCTCCCAGGGGACACAGCCACTTCCACCGTCACTTCAACAGCAACCACCTCCTCAACAACAGCCACGGCATCAACAACTACAACCCAACAACAAAAAACAAAATCCACAACATCCTCATCATCCTACTCCCGCAGCCGCCAACCACAACCCCCACCAGACCTCGACCTCTCCTCCGTCGGCCGCCTCTGCTCGACAACCGACGCCGCGCTCTCAGGTCTTACAGACCCAGAACTGCAATCGCACGTCGACGAATTACACAGCGTCACGCGGACGGCGAGCGCAGTACTGGAGTACTGGCTGAAGCGGTATGATGAGCTGGTGAAGGAGAAGGAAGCGTTTGAGGGTGTCATTGAGAATTTGGTTAGCCATGCTAGGAGGGTTAGGAAGTAGTTGTGTTAAGGTGTATTGATTGTGATGATAATGTATCTGTATCTGGGATGGACTTGTTTGTTTTAATGTGATGATGATGAGAGGTTGAGCATGGCATCTATTAGAGAGCATTGCTTGTTATATATAGTCTAATTTACAATTTAAAGTGTCAAAACATAAACCAAAGGGTTTGAGTGATTAGAGCTTTTCTCTATATACATGTATGCAATGCAGTCCATCATATGCACAGAAAGTAAGAAAACAATGCCAGGTAAGGATATATATAGCCATAGAAAAGAAGGGGGAAAGGCAAAAAAATGGTCAAGCTCAAACAGATCGATCCTGTATGCATGCATAATAAACAGACTTGAACAAAGATAGATAGAACCCAGCATACAAAGACTAAGGAAAAGAGAAAACAACCAACGCCTTGCCATGTCCACGAAGAATAAACATTTTACCTGCCTAACAAAAACAATGAACTCGGGTATCATACTCGTACATAAAACAACGCACCCAGAAAGGTGAAAAACAGAAGGAAAAAGATAAAAGTAGAATCAGTATCCATACCACACGTGTACAGCAGCACAGATAAACAACAACAGCCTAATCCAACTCAATAACCTGAGGAGCTGGCTGAGGACTGCGTCCAGCACCCGTGCTAGGAGTGGACGACACTTCAGTCTTGAGCCTCTGCGGCAACGGAGATGCACTCGTGACATTATCATGCTTTCGTTTCGCAGAAACCCCATTAGCACTACCAGCCCTGTCCCCGTTCCAATCTTCAGCAGCTTGTGACTCCCGATCGGTTTTCAACTCCCAAGAGCCGTCCGCCTTGATCTGGATCGCTCGGGCATCGTCCACGCGGTTGGTGCGTTTGAGTTCGGCAAGCACTTCGGCCAGGAAACCGTCAATGATGAGGCTACTCGGACGAGCGTCTTCACCGCAGATCGGGCATTTCCAGTTCTCTTTCATGGGTCCCTTGCCGGACTTGGAGGCTCTCGTCATGAGGAATGTGTCGAGATCGAAGCATTCCTGGTGCGCACAGGTGCTACCGCGGACAGGGGTGTTGAAGATGCGAGCCATAAAGGGGTCGACCAGATTCACAGTAAGGTCATCATTGACAATGCTCAGCTCGTCATCTGCCGCAAGAGCCGACAAGCGCTGTTGAATTCGAGCTCGAGATTCAGACGCTGGCAGCTCACGTGCACTACTCTTAACCGTGGCATATTCCGCGATATCAAGCACCTCGACCCCGGCCACGTAATACAGATCCTTGGCCTCAGCTGGGCTGCGAATCAAGTGAATAGAAACCCTGTTGTTGCCCTCATGCAGATAATCCGTTATGTCCAATGGTATATCTTTTCCATTGTGCACCTTTCGACGCACGTAGAGCTCCACGTCATTCACGAAGATATAGAATACACTTGGCCAGACCGTCTCTGCGACACTCCAATCATGCCCAGTAAGTTTCAATGCTGATGGCGGTACCTTGATGCACCGGAGGCGGTAGGTCTGACAACCCTCGACGAGGACACGTAGCGAACGTTCTCCGGTCCCACAGAAGATAGAACGAGCCATCTTTTGGCAGTGGGCAGGACCTAGGACGAAATTCCAATGGAACCCACATTCGACCAATCCCAAAGGCGTGGGAGGCACCATGAACGCCCGTAGATACTGAAAGAGTTCGGCCTCTTTCTCGCCAGTTGGGGTCTGATGTATCATTTTCAGCATGGGATCTCGAAGATGAGCCTGGTGAAGGGCAACCCGAAGAGAATTTGGCCGGACAGTGTTGACGGGAATCCATCCAGGCTGTGGAAGAAGCGTGGTCTGAGCGACAGGTATCCGGGTCTGCTGTGGCCGGGCCGCAACAGAGCCGCGAGAAGCGGGCGTGGTCGGACCCGATTTCCGGGGTTGCCTATTCGTCCCATTTTCGGCTCTCGCCCGAGCCAGATTTTGTGTATTCGCTGTAATAGCGTTTGTTCGAGCCTGAGGAGCACGCAATGTTGCAGCTTGCTGGGCTGATAGTCCTGGCGCCGGTGGTGCCAGATTGGCATTGGTTGGAGGTGCCGTTTCACGAGCTGGCGGTAAGGAAGGTTGCCCGAACATTTGTTGTGTGATCATCCATTGCGGATTGTAGTACACACCAGGCAGAGCACCTTCAACCGGGGGTGCTGATGGACTGTACGGGACAGTGGCCACGCCACGGGATGAAGGCTGGTTCGCACCAGTGCTAGGGACGCGGATATGTGCATTAGTGCTGAATTGAGCGGGTGAATTGGAAACGGTTGTGGGAACACGGGAGTTTTGATTGACGTGATGGTGAGGCCCAGTTTGAACAGTGACCGGCCTTGCCACCGAGCCTCTACTCCCAGGCAACGATATCGCTGCAGGAGATGCAGGTTGAGAAGGTTGTTGAGAAGCTGCTGGCAGTGATGGTGTCGGTGGTTGTGACGGCATGCTTTGCCTCCTCGCATGAGAGCCAAATGAGTGAGGAGCGGTCACAAGCTGTGGCGAGTTGACCTGTGGTGAACCGACTGCTGGAGTGACGACTAGGGGTGAGTTGACATGCGCCGTATGCAATGCCAGGTACGCCTTGATCAATTGTTCGTTTTCAAGCCGCATTTGCTCGGGGTTTATTTGCTGTGCGGTTTGAAAGCGACGGTTGTAATTTTGCTTGTTACGGAGCCACAAATCTTTCAATTGTGCTTCGTGTCTACCACCGTACACCCGCCGGCACATAGCCAAAAATACAATTGATAACATCACCGAGGATGTTACTCCAAACCGCACCACCAACTCATCAATCAACGGAGGATAGGCACGCGCCCTCACTTGTGCATCATATGCCTGCCAGTTCTCATGGAGTGAGGCTAAGCATCGTGCGACCTGCTGCGAGGCCGCTCTGTACTGGGGGCTCGTCGCCATGAGCTTGGAATCGCGAGGAAATAGACTACACCATTCCAAAAAACCGGGAGACAACCGCTGGTTTTCCACCAGAAGCTGCTCAACCACCTTGAGACCGAGAATCGCAGACCCAGAATATTCCGGAAGCGATGAAAACTGGGATGGAGCCCATGTTGAGAGACAGTACGCTTGATGCAATGCCAAATACAACAAGTCTCGGGAATTGCAAGCGTCGCGGAGAAGACGCACGCGAGGAAGCTCCACGGAGTCTGACAAGCCAACCGTCTTGGAATAATCGTTGATAAACATGTCCAGAAACTGATGTGATTGTGCCCAGAAAGCATTGTCAATTTGTACATCGGTCGAGTTGGGTCCAGCCATTTGCTGGGGTGCTGAAGTAGTAAGAGTCATGGGAAATGAGTGTGCTCTATTATGCTGTGGGGACACCGCAACGGTGTTCAGAGCAGTCGAAGTACCCGCTACAGGCAGTCCCGCGGTAGGTAGCCCCGCGTCCCTGAACTGAGGAGAATTCAGCGACTGCGGAGTTTGTATCTGTGCCGGCCTGGTAGCTGGAGATGGGAAAACAGGACATGACTGATCTCCGTTATTCTTATCCACCGCACTCGAGGGGCTTGGATAGGAGAGATTGCTCGGATCAGGCGAGGGAAGGGAGGAGGCCTGACTGGTACTAGACGCGCTGGTCTGGCCTCCGCCGGAAGTGGCAGTCGTCGCAGGGATTGCAGTGGTTGACGCCGTGGATAAGCTCGAATTGCCCGGAGGAAAAGACGAACCCACGTGCTGCGTCTGCGGCTGCTGTTGTAATTGTAGGAATTGTAGTTGTTGCTGGTGGAGCGACTCTCCCGGGGTGACTGGAGACATTAAACTTGAATCCGGCGCGAATGCAGCGGTAACGGTCACCTGCGAATCCAATCGACCATTCTTATCCGGAGCAGAAACGGAGGGCCGCGTAGGACCAACGGGAGCAGGCAGTTGGTTGCCAGGGGGAGACGACGCAGCAGAAGCCGGAGTCGAGATCGACGGAGTGCATGAAGGAGAAGATGGCAAATGCGAGGACGGATTTCGCATGCCTTGCGGAGAGCTAGACGTGTGCTCGGGAGAAGATGAGGATGGGGTGGTGGTAGTGGTGGTGGCGGCGGCGGCGTTGTTATCGCTCGAAGGACGACGAGGACGCGAAGGTAACGGAGGTGGAGGAGGGGCAGGAGGGAGAGGGAGAGGCTGAGAGGTCGAAGCAGACAGTGAGGTACTAATCGAATTCGAGCGAGCGTGAGTGGGAGTAAGATCGAAGGTATTGGAATTCAACATCCAAGATTTGCGCCGGCCGCCTAGAAAAAGGCTAGCGGTGGAATTGCAAGACTCGACTTCATGATCGGCACGCGGATTAGATAAGTGGGGTCGGACTTTGGGCGGCATTTTGCCATTTTATGTAGTTGATAGTAGAGGATTATAAGAGTGTATAGTTGAAAGTGTTAAGAAAAAAAAGTGTTGAAGAAGTAGAGATGGAAATGTTTATTTAATCAGTTTGGTTGTCGAGGCTTGTTTGCGTTCTTTGTTTAAAATCAAACGGTGCAAAAATAAAAAATAAAAGAAAGTTCATATGCACTGTTGTACTTGTATAGTAACTGGAAGCAGAAGGAACATTGCGGAAGCCAGAAAGAGAAAGAGCAGATTATCATCTCATCCAATTCCCTCCAACATGAAGAGATTGGCATAAGCCGTCCTGATGAAAGCTGCAGGCGCGGAGATGGGAACGAGATCCGATTTGGTTACAAATCCGGCAGACAATAACAAACATGGGGAGTCTAGATGGGTCTTGACAGAATAATATGTATGTGCATGTACTTACCAAGGAAGGAGAGAGCAAACAACCTCTAGGGTTGGAGGGAGCAAAAAGAATAGATGTGAATAAGAAGAGAAAGAAGAGAAAGAAAGAAAAAAAAAAAAAAAAAAAAAAAAAAAAAGGGCCGGGCGAGGATCGAACTCGCGACCACCAGATTTGCAATCTGATACTCTACCACTGAGTTACCGACCCGTAGTGAAGTCTACAAAGATAACAACACTAGAATGTCATCTAGATAAAGTCGGAAAGATACACTTTTTGAATCGAGATCTTCTGCTGATCTCTCAGTTTATAAGTCAATTGGATATATAAAGAGTACTCTGTAGGATTACTTGGTCTATTCCCGAACTATTCACAATTGACCCAAAGAATGGGATGATACATATTCTGACATGCGTCACAAAAGTACTGTCACCAATAGTCTAGTTTTAGTCCGAAGTATTCAATGTGATTCTCAGTCTTAGTTGGGCGCTATTGGTGTGGCCGCTATTGGGCCGTCTGAGAAGTATAGAGTGAGACAACTCGTCAGCATACTTTGCAGAGAAGAACAAACAATTGGGCTCATAGACAGGACAGGACAGTACAGTACAGTAGTGTCTCTACGGAGTACTCTGTACTGACAGTCTTGAACTATGTACAGAGTACTCAGTACAAGTAGAACTGATCCTGAGTCTTCCATCTGATGTATCACCAGCGTTGAAACGAGCACCGACACCAGTCCAAACTCTGTGTCGCCTGAAAGATCATCTCACTGAAGAATTATTCCTTTCCGTGCCCTGTATTTTGTATAGATGGGAGTAGCAATCGTATATTTTTGTCAAGCCAACACACATTCTTTCCCGTTATTGTCAAACATCGAACTTGTCACACGCTCATTATTTCTTCCTTTCCTCTCGAACGCCTATTTATTGCCTGTTCTCTCTTTTGTTCTCATTTCTCTTCGTCTTAACTATTGTCATAAATTTTCGGACAGACTCGCCGGCGAACCTGAACCAGGGAACGCCTTCTGCTAAGCGCCACGCATTCATTTCTCAATTTTGTCATTCATTCCTCTCTTTCTTCTCTCATTCTCTTTCTCTTGATTATTCCCATATCATTAACTGCACTAAGCACTGTTTGGCGCCGCCTTGCCGCCGTGTCTGGCAGCCCTGTTTTGTCAAACCGAGCGACGTCGCTGCTTCATCCCTTCATCAAACCTCCCTTTTTAATATTTTTTCTCTCTCGTATTCACTTTTTCATTCATACTCACTCTCTTCTTCTTTGTCTTTCTTCCAATTCCACGTTGAAAACAATCAAAATACCCCGCGACTCGTGACTTTGTTCCTATCAAGTCCAAGGACTTCGATATTACGTTGGGCGGCCCCGCCATCCATCAGCTTCGTTCCAGTGACCTTCCATTCCAGTCCATTTCTTACTCTACTCTATCCCTCTCTTTCCTGCCACCTCTCGGATTTATCTTCCGTACCAGCAGTCAACTAGACTATTTTTGTCCTGCCACTGGTGACCGTTTGCCGGGGGAGCAAAGGAAATAATTTCCTGTCCCTTGTGTGGCCGATTTGGCCGGCCTTCTTTATTATCCTTAATTACCCGTGAGAGCGGCCGGGAACCCCATGTCCTTCCTGCGCAATCCGTCCGCTGCTATCGATTGCCACGACCACTCTTCGCTGTGATCTTCTTTTTGCTTGATTTCGGTGGGATTTTCGGTTTACAATGGCTTTGTCAAGTCCTCCCCGGGGTGTCCAGCCCGGCGATCTCCTGGTCGTTGTCCGTAAGTCAACCCATCCGCTGTGGTCGCATGCTAGTATCGCTTCCGCGAGAAGTCTCCCCCCTCCTTTCCCTGTCCCTCAAAGCTAATTATGATTGCTTCATAGACGACTTCGATGCGCGCGGTAACGACGAACTTACTTTACGCCGAGGAGACAAACTCGAGTTAATTGAACTGGACGATGGTTTTGGTGATGGATGGTTTCTCGGAAAGGATTCAAAAACAGGAACGACCGGTCTTTTTCCTGGAGGTGCGCTACGACTCAAAAAAGATCGCGTATGTTTTTGCGATCGCTGACATTTAATCCTACACAGTCTATACTACCTTCAGCCCGCGAATTAACACTCGACCGCAAACGGATACGTCACAGCACCGCGACTCCGGTTCGCAAAATGGAAAGCCCGATGTAATCCTAGGTGCGCCGGTTGCATTGAAAAGTAGTCAATCCACCCCGCAAGCTTCGCGCCATGCTAGCGCCTCCGGTCTGCAGGTGCCGGAAATCGATCCTCCGACACCCCCTTCGCCCAAGCAACAACTGCAGCCGCAACAAAGATCGAGCTCGTCTCCACTGCCGACTCGGAATATGACTCTTGATGTTCAGCAGTCGTTCAAACAGTCCCTTGCGCATCAGATGAGTGGTCAGGACAGTCCGGTCATGAACGAGACCTTGAGCGTTATCGATGAGCACATCACCGACTTGAGTACCCCACGACATAGCTTGGCGCCCCCGGAACCCAGGGTGCGAAACGATTCTGAGAGCGAGTACAGCAGCCACCTCGGTCACCGTATGTCCTACATCAATGGCCATGAGACGGACGAAGAGGAAGAAAGTCAACCTACCGAGGAGCAGGTGCGCGCCTGGGATCAGCATGAAACCGCAAAGCGCCTCCGAGAGCTTGACATCGATGACAGACACTGCGACATTTTCGAAGACCAAGAGATTACCGGTGACGTCCTCCTTGATATGTCCCAGGATTTCGTTATGATGAAAGAGTTTGATTTCGGTGTCATGGGCCGCCGTTTGAAGACCTGGCACAAAGTGAAAGCTTTTCAGGAAGAGATCAAGGGGCAACCCGCCTCCTATCCTCGGACGTCAGAAGAGCGTCCCGAACCTACGGGTACCTTCCTCCCACGCATCCCAACATTTTCCGAGAAGACTGGCAGTTACCCTCAGTCGCGAGGTTCGAGCATTTCGTCGTATCAACATCCCCGGTTCGGTGGAAATATGCAGAGCAATACATCGCCCGCTCCAACATATAGCATCGGTGTTGAAGAAAGACCCTCGGCCGCATCCATTCGAAACTTCAACCATTCCCGCCGTCATTCGTCGATCGACACGACCAATCGCTCCTTCGAGCTGGCTGACTCGGCCCCTCGTGCGTCGCATCAGCCCAAGCCCTCATTTGACCGGGCTTGGTCCATGGCCGGTGGAAACCAACGAATTTCCCCTCGTCCGGGTACGTCTCTCGGGACGACCACATCAGAGAGCACGTATTCTCAGCAAGGAACACGCGGCGTGGACCCTAATGAATGTGATTCAGCCATTTCGGTGACGGACCGGTACGATGACCTGGACCGTGGATACTTCTCAGGACCCGAGGGTGATACCAAGAAAAGCAAGCGGGTGCTGGTCAAACGGGGTTCCGCGGCTAGTGGGAGTATCAGCCATTCCAGGAAGTCAAGCTACAACGACGAACCTTTCAGGGTGGGCAAACGGCATTCCCGTATTGGAAGCATCGACTCGATTCGCGATGCCGCCAACCATGCCTTCGCCTCGTCGAAGCCGTCTTCTTCGGGCCCACCTGTTCCACCCCCTAAGGGCCGTCTCCGGAGTCTCAGCACGCGCATTGTGGACCGGTCTGGTCACAGTTCGCAATCATCCAATGCGGCCTCATTGGAGGACAAGACAGCTTCTGGAACCGGGTTCTTTTCGTCTTTGGTTGGTAGCAGTGGAAGTGGTAAAACCGGTGCAGAACCATCTGCGCGTTCTTCCCCATTGCCGTTCCAGCAACATATCAAGAATGCTGGTCCTAAATTTCGACGTGCTGTTGGCCTTCGGACGACGACGGACATTGTCGGGAAAGTCGACACGTCGGGAGTCCCTTCATCACCAATCAAGGACTCGGATCCGTCGTCTATCCGAACTGGATCGACCACGCCGTCTGCCACATCCAAGAGTTCGGAACGCATTAGCACTGAACGCCAAAGCACTGATGGATCTGGGAAAGCGGTAGATGGCGCCGGTGGTTTCCCTTTGCCACGTCCCAAGCCCTCTGCCAAGACCTCCGTCAAGACCAAGAAGGACACGAGTGCGTACATCCAAGGATTGGAGAAGAAGTCTCCAAATGAGCAAATGACGCAATGTGATTATTCGGGTTGGATGAAGAAACGATCTTCGAACCTGATGACAACGTGGAAGCCTCGCCTCTTTGTCTTGCGAGGTCGTCGCTTGTCGTATTACTATTCGGATAAGGACAAGGAGGAACGAGGTCTGATTGACATTACTGGGCATCGTGTTCTTCGAGCAGACAACGACCCGATCATCACGCTACATGCCACTCTCACTGGTGCTACGGCATCACCAACGTCGCCCGCCGGTGCTACCCAAATACCCACGGACAAGTTGTCCAAGTCCGAAAGTAGCGGGCCGTTTTTCTTCAAGCTGGTGCCCCCGAAAGCCGGCGTGGCTCGCAGTGTCCAATTCACCAAACCCGCCGTCCATTATTTTCAAGTGGATACTGTCAAAGAAGGCCGCTTGTGGATGGCTGCTCTCATGAAAGCGACTATCGAACGCGACATGGAAATTCCAGTCGAGACCACCTACAATATTGATAAAAAGACCGTCAGTTTGAAGCAAGCTCGACTGATGAACCAGCGACCGCCTGCGCTTCTCGCCACTCCAACCCCTCAAGAGGAAGACGAGGACATGGCCGAAGAACGGGCGCAAGAGGCGGGCGAAGAGCCACCGACCACGAACGACGGTACCGGTCTAGGTCTTGGTCTTGAGACTCCCACTAGGGGCGATGATGATGGCCAGACTCCATCGAGCCCGCTTGCTAGTAACCCTCTTGACAATGGTTCCTCGACTTTGGTTTCAGAAACGACTGACAAGTCGAGCTAATTCCTTTCTTTCTTTCGCCTTTCTTTCTTTTCTTAATCTTCCCCTTTTCGATGGATTGATGGGATAATCATTAATACCTGGTTATCGATTTTCAAATACACTTACCTCATAACGCGACGCCGTTTTTCTGGCAGTTGCTAATATCTTGTTTGGCGTTTATGTGATATACCCCTTGTTCCGGTTTTTTTTCTTCGTTCTCATGCTTTTCCTTTGGTTTGTACGTCTCGTTTTATGCCTGATATGGGGTTTCTATTTAGTTAGCTATCTTCGTTTCTGTTGTCAGATATTGTGGAAAAGGATATGATGGAATATGGAATGGATATAGCATGAGAGTTGGTAAAATAAATTATGCCTGTTGTTTTCATTTATTTCATTCTATTCTAATTGGGTATTCTTGGTACATAGAGATCTTGTGCTGTTGAATTTACTTTAATTGTTGCCCTACGTCATATAGTTATTTGCCCGGTAAGAACCTGCCCTTATCATCATGGAAGGCACATCATAAACAAGATAGAATTGAGCAGAAGAAAGCACACCATATGCCTGATAATATACCATAAACCTATTGATGCCCTTCCAAAATATACAATTCCCAGTGTCATGTCGCACCACTAGCGGCAGTAGATTCAGCCAACGCATTACCTAGCCACAATCATCGTGCAAAGAAAGAGAGGGTAAAGTCCTCATCCTCTTGTTTGAAGTCATACCATTTTGTAACGCGCAATACAAGTTGGCCTCCTTCCAGATTAGCCTCTATTGCGCGGACCATTGAGTCCCTGAAAGTAAAAAGCAAGACCTGGCAAAGAAAGAGATCTTTAGTCCCTATCTGCAGAATATAATGTGAATATGGGAAGGGGTCAAATGTTTCCTTGGCTTACTGGGGCATCAAGATATGTGCATAGGTGCTCATTTTGGAGACTCTGCTCTATGATGCTAAAGATTATAATGAGCTCTCCACGCAGAAGTGCCTTGCTGTTGCCATCTTAAACCCCGGCGATGGATATCATGCACTTGATATGAGGGAGTGTCTCATCTGGCACTTCGCCGACTGCTTTGGTTTCCCAAGAAGGCACGCGGGACTCGTAGATAGTCCGAAAATAAAAGGGCCCCGGCCCTCAACATTGACGAGTTAGCCTAGCCCTGATCGTCCAACGTAGAAAAGGGAAAACATAGATAGACCAACTGTTTGTCATAGACCCCCGGGGGACATTTATTCTCCTGCGGGAGTATTGCAAGAGAAATGGTGTTGAATACATGGGATTGTAAGTGATACGCATTCTCATAGCCGATTTCTAATTCTTCCTCACACACTTCATGTTCAAGTGTCGGGAAGCTTTCTTAAATGTATTCCTCTGCCTCTTCACCCTCCCTGGGCATTTTGATACCAGCCTGATAAGGTTCAAAGTATTGAGGATAGAAATATTTATCTTCAAGAGACATAGTACTGCGTTTAATACCAAGACCTAGCAATGCAGTGGCATCGAAAGAGCTACCCAAACCGTCAATATCCAGTCGAATTGTCTTGAGAACGCGACGAAGTTGCTTCCGCCGGCTGCGGAAGTGTTGTTCCATTTCTTCTGATGAGTGATCCATATCTTCATCCCGCTAGATCAAGTGAAGCAGAGCCAGTTTAATCAGTAGAATTTTGGAGAAGAAAGGTGGTGGAAATACGATATAGAAGTAAACAAAAGTCACGTGAAAGTTCCGTATTGGGAAACCACCTCCAAAGCTAGTAGCTGATTGAAGAACAAAACCACTGCTATATACAATAATGTGAATCCATCAGAGCAATAAAACCCACCAAAATCATGTTTCTTCAAGCAGCTGTGTTATCGGGTTTAGTATCGATTATTCCACGGTTCTCGAATGCTTCTGATTGACGATGATCGTCATCTCGTTTTCTATTTTTTCCCCTTTGCACCGTGCATCACCACTGAATCAACACCCGATTCGAGGCTATAGCCAGTGTATATTCCTACCTGGCAAGTATCTCTAGTGTGGCATAACTTAACAGAAGGCATCCGATTTTTCCAAACCCGCAAATGCTGGGTCCATTATCCGGGCCTCCTCGATGTCCCTCCTTTTCCTCGCTCGCCGTCTTCTCTTCGTCCTCCTTCCATTGGCGATAGCAGCCACGGTCTACCACTATCTTTACCCGGTCTTCCACGGCTGCGCATTTCCGCTGCCTCAAAAAACAGAAGAAGGGGTTGGAAAACAAGGCACAAATCCGCTCCTTGCTACTTTCCGACAGCATGTCGGCACCGCCTCCGCAGACGAACCGGCCATCTTTCGACTGCTAGTCCTAGCAGATCCCCAGCTGGAAGGGGACAGCTCGCTCCCGAGTCTTGATAATGCGTTCTCGGTGCGGATTCAGAAACACTGGCTTGCGGTTAAGTTGGCTCTGCAATACCGCCCCGACGATGACAACGATACCAACGAAAGTGATGCTGACGAGAACGATACCGACGACGATATCAGCAGCCTCGAACACTACTTACGAAATGCGTACGCTACGATTTCGACAGCTTGGCGCACCCTCATAACCAAGGACGTCCCACGCAGCTTGCGCGCTGCTCAGAAACGGCTTGATTTGCTGGGAAATGACTACTATTTGGCACATATATATCGGACGCTACATTGGTGGACCCGTCCGTCGCATGTCACAGTGTTAGGGGACCTGGTTGGCAGCCAGTGGGTGACGGATGAGGAATTCGACCGGCGCGGGGACAGATATTGGGATCGGGTATTCAAGGGTGGTGAACGGGTTGGCGATGAGATTACTGTGACGGGGCAAAAGGGACACGACAATAATGAAGTTGATGATAAATCTGGGTTGGAGCAACTAGGAGCCAATCCTGCTTGGGAACATAGGATCATCAACATCGCAGGGAACCACGATATTGGATACTCGGGGGATGCCAGTGACTCTCGGTTGGAGCGTTTTGAGCGCGTATTTGGACGCGCAAACTGGGACATTCGTTTCCAGCATCCCCTTTCCGGCCATGATAATTCGACCGTCATCCCAACACTGCATGTGATTAACCTGAATACCTTGACCTTGGATTCCCCGGCTCTTTCAGAGAAGATCCAAGCGGACAGCTACGACTACATTAATGACGTGATCTCCCACCGCACTTGGCCGGTTGAGGATCGCACGACCTTTACATTACTTCTCACGCATCTCCCCATGCACAAGGAGGACGGAATTTGCACGGATGGGCCTTACTTTACGTATCATGAAAACGACGACGAGGGTGACACACCCCGCTTCCTGGAGGGAGGGCTGCGGGAACAGAACCACCTTAGTGATCACCTCAGCACCAACGGCATTCTGCAGGGCATTTTTGGCATGAGCGGGAGTGAAGAAGCCCCCGTTGGCGGATTCGGTCGTAACGGACTCATTCTTACTGGTCACGACCACACCGGATGCGACGTGGTCCATTTCGTTAATCGCACAAACGAGGATGCGACTGAGCAACACGACGATTCACCATCCGAATCCGAACAACAGGCTTGGAAATGGAAAGCAAAACGGTACACCAGCCACCACGATACCCCGAAAGATACCCCGTCCATCCGCGAGGTCACCCTCCGCTCCATGATGGGCGAGTACGGCGGGAACGCCGGTCTACTCTCCCTCTGGTTCGATGCCGACCCAGCTGTCAACGAATGGAAATACGAGATCACCATGTGCGCCGCTGGAGTGCAGCATATCTGGTGGGCGGTTCATGTGATTGACCTCGTGACGGTGGTTGTGTTTTTGTTATACATTCTTGCTTTGGCTTTTGGATCTTCGAAATCAGGATCTCCTCAGTTGGAAAAAGGTCAGAAGGAGAGAAAGGACTTGCAAAAGGGACAGAACGGTGGTCCGCAGTCGAATGGGGCTAAGGGGCCACAGCAGACGAAGGAGTTGAAGTTGTAGTTGTAGGGTTCTGGCTTTCTTTTTGGATATTATATATACGAGCCTGGCACTCATGGTGTACTTGGATACGGTTTTGTCGCGAATTGTTATTCATACACGGATAGAAACTACTATTACTATAAACCACTTGAAGTTGGACAGAAATTTTGAAAGATTTTTGAATTCTCCGAGTCGCCATTAAAGAAAAGAGGAATAAGGTAAAAGAGGTCATCGAGTTCCGGGGTGAGTATTAAAAAAAAAAAAAAAAAGGAAAACATGAAATGGCTGCTTAAAAAAGGGATAAATTCAAAGCGCCTTTTTCCATTTTTTTAATTGCTTTAAATTCATATGCAACCCATAAGCCCAGCTGGTATCGTTCCATCCATATCAATTTTCGGATTTCCTTTTTTACATGACGACACCGGAGTTGGAAGCGATACGCTAGAGTACGTTAATTGGATGCTGCCTCTTGTCTGGGGAAGAATGGGGTGTCTTACGGGCCAGAGCTCAGCAGCCTCCTTACCGACGGGACCGGTGATGGCGGATCCCTTCATCTCACCCTTAGCGTTGACGATCTGTTCATGATTAGCAAAAGTGTTCCTCTTCAACCGAACTTAGGCCAATGGATAGAATGTCGGTTCAAGGGTGCTGGTGCTCCAATTCAACCAAAAAAGCAGAACCGTAACCCCCCATATTCCCAACAGCCTATCCAATGACCCTAGGGCATTACTCACAACACCAGCGTTGTCCTCGAAGTAGAGGTAGATACCGTCCGGCCGTCTCCAGGGCTTGCTCTGACGGACGACAACAGCAGGCATGACCTTCTTACGGAGCTCAGGCTTTCCCTTCTTGACAGTGGCCATGACCATGTCACCGACACCCGCGGCGGGGAGACGGTTCAGGCGCGCACCAATGCCCTTAACCGAGATGATGTAGAGGTTACGGGCACCGGAGTTGTCGCAGCAGTTGAGGACGGCTCCACTATAAGACGCATGTCGTTAGCGAGTTTGTTCCTCCAGTTTTTCCAGTTCGTATATTGCGATTCGTGTGTTTGTGACGACGGTGTTGAAGGGCGGAGAGATCTTGAAAGGGTAGACGATGTTCGACATAGTAGATTCTGATCGGATCGAAAAATAGTGCTGGGGATTCAGGGATTCATCCAAACGTACACAGGAAGACCGAGCGACATCTTCAGCTTGTTGCCGGCGGCACCACCACGACTATAATCGAAAACAAATCAGCATTCCCTTCTTCATCCGAAAAATATACTTCTTTTGTCCAACAAATGTCGCCTTTGAGCGCTGCCTTCCGTCCTCGTTGTCCATCCATAACCGCAAACTGCTTCGAATTTTTTCGTATAACTTCCCAATCATGCGCCCTATAACTTCCTCTTTTCGAATTTTCTTCGCTTCCCTGGACGGCGACAACGAACGACAACGGACGGCAACACTCGCGGGCATAACATCTGCTAACATAGATTAAACCGGACAGACAGCACTCACCCTCTCTTAGACATTTTGGCTGTTTGTTAGTTAAACGGTGTCGACTAACTGGGAAAAGGGACAAAGGTGTCGGGGGACGTCGAGATTTGGCACGGCGACTGGTTTCGAATTGGTCTCTCGCTTAGTGTGCGTCGTGGGCAAAATCTTGGCACCCACCGTCTATTGGTTGGGTGGGGTCCCGCTTGGGCTAGAGGATGTGCCCTAGCACCTTACTGCATCCGGATAGCGTGTCTTATGTAATAGAAAACCCAATTGGGAAGGCCTGGTCTCGGCTACTGATATGACGTCAGTTAATGAGCCCTATCTACGAAACGGCGACATAGGTAGAGATTTTGCTACTGGCATGCTGTACAGAGAAATTCGATTGTATAACTCATATGTACGGACTAGTCTAATACTTGTAGCGGCATCAAGCGTCAAGTGAATTAAAAAACAACAACGCAGTAAAAACAAGCCAAAAGATGTTCCAAAAAGAACCAGAAACGAGACAAGAATGGCTAAATAAGAAAAAGGCCTCTCGCGATTATAGCATAGCAAACTTGAACCCTATAGCATAACTCAATGCAATTCTTTCACCCAAACACCGTATTTGCCATATGTCCCCTAATTGCGCCAGGAACCGATAAGAAGATTGCGCCTTCGCCGCAGTCGGTGTTGCTGAAGTTTTACTCTTCGTTCTTCGCAGGCTCCTCAGGCCTCTGTTCCGAGGAGGCCTCTTTCGACTCTTCTGTATTGTTTGCATTGTTGCTCTCTTCTGTTGCCTTAGGTTCTTCCGCTCCAGTTTTTTCAGAAGTCGGCTCGTCTTTGGGAGCTTCAGGCGCTTTCTCCGGCTTTGCTTCCTCGGTAGCAGCAGGAGCAGTGGTAGCCTCCGTCGATCCCGTTGGCGCCACTGTCTCCGTCTTCTCTGCTGTCTCCGCTACCTCGGGTTGTTCCGCTTTCTCTCCTGCTGGTTCAGATACTTCCTTGGCGGGCGATTGGGATTTCGGTGGACTCGACAGCTCGGTTGCAGGATTATCGGTACTAGGTGCTGCTTCCTCGACTGGCTTCGTTTCTTCTTCTTGCTTTTCACTTGGAACGGTGCTCTCCGGATGCTCTGGTTCAGGTGCGGGCGGTTGTGCGTCTTCCATCGTCGTGTCCTCGTCCTGGACCTTGGACGACGGCTGGCGCGAAACTGGCACAGAAGTAGATGCAGCAGCAGGTGCAGCAGATTCCTCTTCTTGCTTGTCAATAGCCATTTCACTTTGCTCATGTGCAGAAGCTTCTTCGGCTCTTGATGGTGGCTCTGCAGACGGTGAGCGGGGACCTTCTGTCTCCACTTCAGGTGCTTCCGTCATCTTAGCATCGCCCATAACATCAGCCTCTTCATCAGCAATCGAAGATTCGTCTCGAGGCGTTGCAAGCCCACTGTCGAGCCCAGAGTCACCAGCGTCGAGGTGTTTGTAGCTAAAGTGATTTTTGGACTTGAGACTGTTGGGTTGACGGCGGATGCCATTGGCAGCGTTCTCTTCCTCGTCCTCGCTGTCGCTAAGTTCGCCGGGCTTCTCCACGTACTGATCGAAGCGTCGCCTGGTGACACGTACGTCTTTGTTCTCATCTTCATCTTCATCGTCAAGAATCGCATCCGCCTCATCGTCCATACCCCCTACAAGAGGGTCGCGAGGAACATCGGTCATTTGGACCGATGGCGCAAAAGCTGTGCGCTTAAGATTTTCAACCACCTGAGCACGAATTTTCTCTAGGTACTCCTTCGTGTTGGCATTGTCCATATTCGATGGCCGTACGTTTAGTTCGTAGTCCGGACCGAAATACTATAATTTGTTAATATCTTACTCAACGATGGGGCGAGAAGTACTTACCTCATAATAGTCATTATAAGGAAGCTGATGTTCTAGGTTTTCACCCAAGAGAATACCTGTTTCGAATGCCCACGTCCGCGCGACATTGCGCATCGTATACCCACCGCCACCGACGACCAACGTCGGCAAATTGAAGCTCTTGACGAAGTTTACGCAATTTGCGTGACCTCTCATGCTCAGGTTGAAGCATCCCAGACGATCACCAGAGAGACTGTCACCGCCGCATTGAAGGACCACAGCTTCAGGCCGGTACCATTCCATAACACTCTTGATAACAGGCTCAAAGATGCTCTTGTACGAGATATCATCAATACCATCGCGAAGCGGGAAATTGACGGCATAGTTCTTGCCCTGGCCCACACCAATATCGCGAAGTTCGCCGGTTCCGGGGAAATATTCTCCGTATTTGTGGAAGGAGACCGTCATGACACGATCTGTAGTGTAAAAGGCTTCCTCAACACCATCGCCGTGGTGTACATCGATATCGACGTAGAGAACGCGCTGCTTGAACCGTAAAAGTTCGAGAATACCGAGGACGATGTCTGAGCAAGATGTGGTTAGTCGAGCCTATTACGACCTCTGCTAAAAGCACACTTGAGCCATACCGTTCACATAACAGAAACCACTCGCTTCGCTCTTCTTTGCGTGGTGAAGACCACCAGCCCAGTTCACAGCGACGTCACATTTGTTGCGATTTAGCCGAGCTGCACCTTCCATACTGCCACCAGCACTAATACCGCAGAACTCAAAAAGACCATCGAACACGGGACAATCGTCACCAACATTGTACTTGCTTTGTTCCTTCGCGAAAGAATCCATGTTATCCGGAGTAACCTTCGAAAGGAAGTCGATGTACTCGTCGGTATGGAACTGCGTCATCTCAAACTTGGAGGCGGGTTTCGCACGCTGTAATGTTTGCCTATTAGCCGCGATGTCCAAAAGGGGCCCAAATCAGAACCACTCACGTAGATTTCCATTTTCTTGTAAAGGCCATAGTTCATGACCAAGCTATGGGCCATCCTTATACGGTGAGGCTTCATGGGATGTCCCGACACATAGGCATAGTTTCCCACGTCGGAATCGTAGAAGTAGGCGACCTTGCGGTTCCGGTCCCCAAGCCCGTTGATAATGGGATCCAGCGGTGGTGCTAAGTTCGACATCCTGAGGAAGAAGCACGGAGAATGCTTGCTCAGTTGAATTATGCGATATATAGGTGTGTAGCGCCGGTCGAAGGGTTAATCAATGTAGACGCCGTCGACGGAGTAGTAGGGAAAGACTATCGATAGTCCGAGACGAACTAGGCGAATGGACGGTGGCAAGTGGAGGTTGATATTAAGACAGTAACAGCGCAATGGAATATGATAATCCCATCGCCCTTCGGAATAGAAAGAGCAAAAAAGGAAAAAAGGAAGAGAGGAAGAGAACGAGAGAAGAAGAGAGGAATTGATGGAAGGGGACGGCCGAGCAAAGACCGCCGGCGCGCAAGAGGGGAGCTTATATTGGCTCACCGCCTTTGGTTATGTGATGCGCCTCATCTTGTCTCTGTTGGTACATCCTCTGTGAGCTCAACTCCTTCTGCCATCCCATCAACTGTCAATTTATTACTCTTGTCTTTTGTTGCTCTTACCATTTTCCCTCTAGCATTTGGCTGTCGTTGCTGTCTGCTTCGAACGCGCTCACGAGACCGTCTCTTCGTGCCACCCAACGAACTCCGACGTTGACGCTTCCGTACTGGAAGCTTCCCTCCTGCTATCTTCCAGTTCATCCTTCTTCCACTGAATCTTCTAATTCGTCATGGATCGCCTAAATCGGATGCTTCATGCTGCCCAGGGTATGGGCATGGGCATGGGAGGTGCTCCTGGTGGTGTAAGTGCTCTCGTTGCGTCACTCTCTACTGCATCTTATTCGGGATCCCTTCTGCTTCAAGTCTCGTGAATGGGTAGTTCAGAAGCAAGATATATTCATTACATTGCGAGAAAATTGTAAACTGGGGGGAATATAGCTGACTCGAGCTATGATAGGACACGCCCAACCTGATCGATAACGCCGAAACTGTCCACATCTCGTCCCTAGCGCTGTTGAAGATGTTAAGACATGGTCGGGCAGGTGTGCCTATGGAAGTTATGGGTCTGATGCTGGGTGAATTCGTGGATGAATACACTGTTCAGGTGGTGGATGTTTTTGCTATGCCTCAAAGTGGTACTGGTGTCAGTGTCGAAGCCGTGGACCCTGTCTTCCAGACCAAGATGATGGAAATGCTGCGACAAACTGGACGGTATGCTTTGGCTAGCTGCTCCCGCTTCTTATGTCAGTGAGATACTGATAGTTTTCTTTTATTCAGACCGGAAAGCGTCGTCGGCTGGTATCACTCTCACCCTGGTTTCGGATGCTGGCTCTCCTCCGTCGATGTCAACACTCAGCAATCATTCGAACAGCTCACACCTCGTGCTGTTGCTGTTGTTGTTGACCCCATCCAATCTGTTAAGGGCAAGGTCGTTATCGATGCCTTCCGTCTCATCCAACCTCAGACCGTTGTTATGGGCCAGGAGCCCCGGCAAACAACATCCAACTTGGGTCACCTGAATAAGCCATCGATCCAGGCCCTCATTCACGGCCTGAACCGACACTACTACAGCATTGGCATTAATTATCGCAAGACGGGCCTCGAGGAGAACATGTTGATGAACCTGCACAAGCAAGTATGGACCGAGGCATTGCAGATGAACGACTTCCACGATGAATGCCAGCACAATGTCGACCGTATGAAGCAATTGGTTGGCCTTGCTGAGGGTTATGAGAAGCGGGTCAAGGAGGAAACAGAATTGAGCAAGGATCAACTCAAGACGCGATATGTCGGAAAGGTTGATCCTAAGAAGCGTACGTTGTTCCTCTCCTTACTACTGCGTTGATTGATATTAACAATGTACTACAGATATCGAGGATGTCAGCCAGCAACTGATCGAAGATAACATTGTTGCGGTCTCGAGGCAGATGATTGACAAGGAAGCTTCCGTGGCACGGCCATCGGAAGCCAAGGGAGCTCATAATGGCGCTGCCATGGAGGTGGATGACGAGCTATAGACGGGTATGCTAATCACGGCTAGGAATTCAAACATAAGCCTACGAAGTTCTATCTTTGTGGGAATACGATGCATGCCATAAAACTATTTCCCACGTTTTACATCCACTGGATATAATAAGCGACATAGATGAATACCAGTCTATCAAAACAGCAATAGTGAACTTTCATCCTTCCGGTAATAATGCTATTCATATTCTATGCAGTATATACAACTGTAAAAAGGGCAACAGCCCAATGATGGTAATAATACACTCGAACCATCCCGGCAACGTATGTCTCATAATGTTCGTTGAAAAACCGTATCCGTCGAATTCGCATATCCAGCGGCGCGCAAGCAGACCCGTGTAACTCATGACAGTCCTGGAGACCAAAAGTCGACTTCGTAGTGCTCTCCCCTAAATCCGTGCGACTGTACGACAAACAATGTAGGCGTGATAAACAATGACACTCCTCAAGATACCTCTACAACCTGCTCTTCCTCCCCTTCGCTCTCCGACTCCTTGTCATGCCTCCACTGCCTCTCCGGTCCCCAGACGATCTGCTTCTTTGCCACTTTCGTCTCCTGCAATAGCCGCATCATGAGAGCTCCATGTCTACGGACAGAGGGATAGCCGTCGAATTCAACGTGTTTCAAACCCGGCAGTCTCTTCAGGATCTTGCGCAGAAGATCACCGGCAAAATCCGTGTAGAAGCCCTTGGAAACGCGGAAACCTTCGAATACCGGATGCGACGGGTCACACTCGATAAACACCTTCAAAGTATGAACCCGATGCATATCCTCCAGGCCAAGCGAATTGTCGACGGTCCAGGATTTCGGGGGTTTAGTCCAGCTCGAGCCTAGGATTAATTCGATGTTCGAGATTGACGGCCGGTAGAGCGGTGGCAAGGACCTGATGGTAGGCATTTTGGAGTAATCCTGAATCGGGAATACGCGGAAGGTCTGAATGGAGTAGTAATAATCGCTGGCCTCCAGGTGGACTTGCTTCGATACTAGGAAGAGCGAAAGACGCTCTGGCAGCGGCGCAGTAGGGGGATTTTTCGACGAGGCGCCCACACTGCCGGTTGTTCGGGTTTGCTGCAACCAGCGACGATGAGTGGTGGCGAACAGGATGAAGGAGTAGATACGCAGGCGAAGTTCAGATGGGAGGTCAAAGAAGCGAAAGGGCTGTCTTGGTTTTCTGGACTCAATTTTTTCTTCTTCTCTTTCTCCGTCGACACCCTTCGAGTCGAAGTCCGGATACAGATCCTGGAGAGTCAGGTCCTCCAAGGTCTTTGTGACAGAGAGCATGGTGAAAAAGGGGCTGTACGAGAAGCCTCTAAAAATCAAACAAATACTCCAATGTGGGTGTGTGAAGGTCTAAGGTCTATATCGATCGCTGAAAGTGCTTGAAAGAAAAATGTTATGGGTCTTCCCATTGTTGCATTAATTGAAATTTTGCATTAACCATAACACACTCCTCTCCTTCCAAGCAGAGTACATCACCTCTGAGAAAGAGAAGAATCAAAAAGAGCAATAGAAAAGGGAATTGTATCCCACGAACGGGGCTGCAGCTGCATGGAAGATCTTAGCTGCGCTCTTGGGAGTGGGAATATTGGTCTCCCCAGCTAATACAACCCGGCATGCATGGAAGCGAAGGCTTGAAGGGTCAAATTAACATCTGGGTTTCAACTTTCAAATTGGAGAAAAAAGAAGAAGAAAAGGAGAAAAGAATTTGGTTCGGAGGTTCTCAAATTTATAGGCGGCGGCGGGACGAGTTGCGCAGTGGGTGTGTCTTGACTCCCGTGACAGCATCTGTCCCGAAGCGAACTTTCTTCGGAGTGTGAACCGCATAGGCAAGAGGACCAAAGAGGCACTCGCAATTCAACGCTGTCAATTGTCTACGGTTATTTGGACGGTTTCTCTTTGTGCCCTCTTTACTGAGTGCAAGACATGAGTACTTGAACGCCTTTACTTGTCCGATTTATGCCCCTCCGTCATCATGCTTAGCCGTGCTATGCTGCCTCTGACGAGGCCCAACATCCTTGCTTCTACCACTCGTGTTTCAGCCCTGTCGGTCCCTCACTCGCGATGGTACGCAAAGAACAATAAGCCCAAGACACCATACAAGGTCCCGGATTCGGTCAAGCCCCCCAAGCCGGAGCAATCAGAAAATGCATCGCAGGAGCAGTACTCGACGGAACAAGTGGAATTCAACACCAAGGCCGACCCGCAGCAGAACACTGCTAACAGCACGTCATCAGCTGTAAGTAAAGAATGTTCAGCCGCTGCTGAGCGTGATGGACTGTGTCTAATTAGATTGATCTTATGCAGCCCGAATCCGACCCCACCACTACCGAGAAGAGCGCACCTCGAAAGCCGCTTCCCGACCTCACACAGGGTATCCCTTCGACCTTGGCGGCAGAGCTGGAAGGCCGCACTAAAGGACAAACACCATTGAACTTGACCGAAGATCCCACTCATGCAGAGGATGAGTACGACGACGGTGGCCGAGGCGACATCCCCAAGGACGGCTACGTCTCGTCCACGGACCGTCGCAGGGCCCGCATGGCGAGCCTGATGTGGGCTCTATTCGCGCTTGGAGCCATTGGTGGTACTGCATACTTGGGACGCAATTGGGAGACCGAGGAGGAGGAGAGGGCTCACCCGGAGCAGCCGTCTGGCTGGGGCGTGGGCCTCTTGTACAACCGCATCAAGGCCCGTATGAACGACATCACCAGCTACTACAAGGATCCTCCGTTCCCTAAGCTGTTGCCGGATGAGGATCCTAACATGCGTCAGCCGTACACCCTGGTGATCAGTTTGGAAGACCTGATGGTGCACAGTGAGTGGAGTCGGGAGCATGGATGGCGGGTTGCCAAGCGGCCTGGAATTGACTACTTCCTCCGCTACCTGAACCAGTACTACGAGCTTGTGCTTTTCACCAGTGTGCCCAGCATGATGGCAGATCAGGTGCTCCGGAAACTGGATCCTTACCGTATCATTCGCTGGCCCTTGTTCCGGGAGGCCACCCGGTACAAGGACGGAGAGTACATCAAGGTAAGGTTTAATGCATGCCGTAGATCAAACTCAATGTTAACAACCCTACCAGGACCTTTCGTATTTGAACCGTGACCTGTCTAAGGTGATCATGATCGACACCAAGGAAGAGCACGCCCGTTTGCAGCCTGAAAACGCCATTATACTCAACAAGTGGCAGGGTGACTCTAAGGACAAGAAGCTCGTTGCTTTGATTCCTTTCCTTGAGTACATCGCTGGTATGGGCATCGACGATGTGCGCCAAGTCCTGAAGTCGTTCGAGGGTACCGACATTCCCATCGAGTTTGCCAAGCGTGAAAAGGCCATGCGCGAACGCTTCCAGAAGGAAGTGGCCGAGGAGCAGAAGAATAAGCCTCGTGTGAGTGTGGGTAGCTTGGCCACGGCCCTGGGACTTAAGTCCAACCGCACTCTGGATGGCGAGCAGACCCCATCCGAGGGACTGGCGCAGGGTAAGATGCTCTGGGACCAGATCCGCGAGCGGGGCCAGAAGAACTACGAGATGATCGACCGGGAGATTCGCGAGAACGGTGAGAAGTGGCTGGCTGAGATGGCAGCAGAGGAAGAAAAGTTCCGAGAGGAGCAGATGAAGAGCATGAAGGGGTCTTTCACCAGCATGTTTGGTGCTGGTGGCGGTGAGGAGGAGAAAAAGCAGTAATGGCCTTGATGATGATGGTTGATGGATGGCATTACGAAGATATGGAAGGGTATGGCGCATCAGAGCTGAACCTCTTTTTTGTTCTTTTTTCTATTCGTTCATGTACTTGTACCTGAGGGATTGTTGTTCTGTGGGTTTCCTGTTAGGGGTTTTCATGGCTCTGCGCGTCAAAAGTACTGGGATTGTATTTCTTTTGTTTTTGCATGTATAAATTGGGCAATATTAATCTGTGATGTCACCTCTCTACTGCCTTACTTGGAGAATTCTTTTAGAACGCGTTCTGCATATGATATCTGCAACTAACCCTGTTTTCTCGCCCTGGCCCAGAATTCCAGATCACCACAAATGCGCATATCGCATACAATCCTTGGCAATAATCCGCAGCACAACCCACAGGCCTTAAATTCCGCCACAGACAATGTACAAAAGGGACTACTGACCATTCGGTGAGCATTCAGCATCTGCACAGCGTCGCGGCTTGCATCGGCGATCTCAAAACTCGCGTCGCTTGGAGTGTGGAACAGCAGCAATGCACCTTTAAGGGTATGTACGCCCTGCAAGTTACAAGGGACAGAGGTATTCAGATATGCATGTACTTGTATACCGGTTCTTTTTTATTTCGAGATCGGTGTTTCACAGTTATCCTTCTGACCGCAATTGATCTTGTATTCAGATATTCTTGGACAAACTCAAGGGGTTCTTGTCGTGCATATGGGAGTTGAGATCAAGATATAAGAAGGATGAGTTGTTCGTTTGGTCTTTTGTAAAACCATCATCAAAGATTCATTCATACTTGCTATCACCATGGCTCCCATCTTCGAAGACAGTGTCAGCAATGCGAACGCCAACCCCAATATCACCAAGACATCTCTGTGTCAGGAAAACGGCCCATCATGCAAATACACACCAACCAAGAAACTACAAGAAGCGCACCGACAAGTCGCAAATGACTTCCGATCCGACGTAGTAACCGTCCCAACAGAGGAAGTCATGCAGGTACCTAACCACCCCAACCCTACAACCACTATAGCGAACAACAATAATAATTCGGAAAAAAAAAAAAAAAAAAAAAGGCAATCATAGACGCAACCTTCCAAGACGACATGTACAACGAAGCCGGCGACCCCTCTGTCAACGCCCTCCAAGACCGCATCGCTGCCCTCACCGGCAAAGAAGCCGGCCTCTGGGTCCTCTCCGGCACAATGGGCAACCAGATCTGTCTGCGCACGCATCTGACCCAGCCACCGCATTCTGTGCTGTTGGATTCCAGGGCGCATGTGCATAATTGGGAGTCGGGCGCGTTGCCGGTCCTGTCGCAGGCGACGTCGACACAGGTGGTTCCGAAAAATGGGGTTCATTTGACCGTGGATGATGTTAAGAAGAATATTATTGCGGATGGGAATAGTAAGTTTCGTCCCTTTTGCTTTGTTTTGCAGTTTGCTATTGGAAGATGAGGAATGGTTTCTAACATGAGCAGTCCACTTCCCACCAACCCGCGTCGTCTCCCTCGAAAACACATTGAGCGGCACAATCCTCCCCCTCGAACACGCAAAGCAAATCTCCCAGTTCGTCCGCAATTTCCCCGTTTCCGAAGGCGTCAAGCCAATCGCCATGCACCTCGACGGCGCGCGGCTGCTCGACGGCGTAACAGCCGAAGGCGTCGATATCAAAGAGTACTGCTCGCATTTCGACACCGTGAGCATTTGTATGTCGAAGGGTCTTGGTGCGCCGATGGGGAGTGTTATCGTGGGGAGTAAGGCGTTTATTGAGCGGGCGAAATTTCTGAGGAAGATGTTTGGTGGTGGGACAAGGCAGGTAAGCACTTACCTTCAATGCCCATGCTTAGCGAGAGCAGAAACTGATATGTAATAGCCCGGCATGATGGCTGCCGCCGCCAAAGCAGCCATGGAATACACCCTTCCTCTCCTCCCGCACGTCCACGCCCTCACCAAGAAAACAGCAGACTCGCTCCGCGAAATCGGCTACACAATCAGCCTCCCCGTGCAAACGAACATGATCGTGCTGGATCTGGAAGTCGAAGACATCCCAGCTGCCGCGTTTGTCAACTACGGGAAGAAGCATGGGTTGATATTCTTTCCGAGTGCGCGGTTGGTGTTCCATCATCAGATCTCGGAGGATGCGGCGGGTAGGGCTGTCGAGGCGCTGAGGGAGTTGTATACGGATAAGAAGGCGGGGAAGACACTAGAGGATTATGCGGTTAGTGGGGGATATACTTAATTTTCTTAATTGTAGGATGAGGTTGGGTAGAACTTGTTTTCTTCTTTTTACTGTTGAGTTTTAATATATAGATTGGGAATCAAACAACCCGGGTATATGTTTGTTGGAATATGTCCCACCGTAACCATAAACCAAAACCAGTCATGGCAAATTAACATCCTGAAAAACAGAAACATCCCAGATCCCCGTCATATCAAACGGAAACCCATCCATCGTCCCAAACGTCCCCGAAATCGACATCATATCATCCACAATATCATTATTCGTCTGCGTCTCTGGCAGCGAGATCGCAGCCGGATTTACAAGCCTGGTATCATTGGGTCCACTGCCGTTGGCCGTTGGATCGACGTTGCTCCAGGCCTCAGGGAGTCGGTTTAGGATGCGCTCGCAGTGGTCAAGGCACATGTCTGCTACGTCCCAGTCTTCTTCTTCGCGAACACGGCGGAGGATTGTACGGAAGGTTTCGACGTTGGCGAGGCAGGAGCGGGCAACTTCTGCGTCGGTTGTTTCGAGGGCGCAGCGGACGAGGAGGGTTGCCGTTGAGGTTAGGTGGAATGCGCTGTCTATAGGGTGTCAGACCGCCAATATCTCTAGGGAGGGAAGAAAGTGACTTACAGGGTAGCCAGAATTCTTTAAAGCTCTCCCTCTGCAACGAAGAAATGAATCGTACAATATCTTCAGCTGATTTCCGGCATTCTGTCTGGAAATAGCGCCGCGCCTCGGGGTTATCCGCGTCAGTGTTGTTGACCTCCTGCACCGTCTTTCGTAAGTATATACCGCTCTTAGGGGACCTTTGGACATACATTCAACTCCACCCGACTGACGAGCATTTTGACGGAAAGGAAAGCTAGCTGCAAACTGCTTGTTCCCGCTATCCGTTCCTCGCCAGTACTCGTGGGTGATTTCAGCAAGTCAGGAAGGGAATCTTCCCATCCATCCAGATCAGTTCGGATTTGCCTGACTTTTTTCGAAGTCTCCCGTGGTTGTCTGTGTTGTAAGCCATATACAAGGGGTAGCAATTCGCCTAGGATCTCTGTCAATCGACACAGTCCGATGTGGCAGTGTGCCGCTCGCAAGCGTTCTGTAGTGCGTGAACCTTGTGGAAGAAGGACATCGATGGTAGGAAGCGGAACGTCGTATTGGTTCTTTGCGATTTGCGGGGGAACCCCATGGCCAAAGCTTCCCCTACATGATGGTCAATGCACAGGTATAGTAGAGCATGTTTTCTTGACACTTACCAGCGATCGTGTATTACAACACCCCACCATAGACGGATGCGGTTGTTCTTTTCGGTCTGAGACAGTCGCCAATTTGTAGGATCACGGTTCAGGCCCAGACAATGAGCTAGAGAGACAGTGCGGCCGCAACTGATGGCATTTCCTGTCATCGAGAAGATCGGCCGTCCAGTGAGGTCAACGAGAGCAGCACTGACGGTCGACAGGCCAGGAGCAGAAAATTCCTCATGGAGAGCAGCTACTGTCATGTTAACGGCGTATCGAACATCCGGTTTAGGGTGAGAGTAAAGTTTTTGTGTGTGCTTCCAGTAGACCAATGACATCGAGTAGACCTGGCATAATAGAGATGCTGGCGGTTCACCCGGGCAATCTGACGTGTATGCTGCCCAGAAGCTTTCTCCATCGAATATAGGAAAGGCCACATTAAACCTATCTAGGAATCTGGATGAAACATTAGTTGGAGTAATCAAGCAAATTGAGAACAAAGACATACAGTTTGACCAGGTCATCCTTGAACGGCCCGAGAATTTGTTCAAGGATCTCTTTCTGGTTCTCCCCCGGGGGAATGCCAACTCGCATTCCCTGTCTTCTTCTTGAAACAGTCGTATAAAGAATAGGTTTTCTCGGATCACTTGAATAAACGTTGTACGGATGACTTTTCGGTTCCACGGACTTGCTGGTGCGTTCCGGAGGCATATGTTTCTCAATGACCTGCGCATCATCTGCGACAACCGGTCCAACAATGAAAACCGATTCATTTTGAGGATCATCCACCCCCAAGCGCCGGAACTGACTTCCTCCATCCCCAACCGACGTAGCGCGACGGAAATGACTGGATGTATCTTCCCTTGGCCGATCCGGATTAGGAAGGGAGATGTCATCCGATGCGCGCTTGCGCTTTGGGGGCGGCGGCATACCGTCCAGACTCTGGTCTGGGGGCCATTCTCTAGTCGCAATAGGATCTGTAGCAGTGGGCATCGGAGTCTCACTACCAGACTCTTCCTGGTAGTGACAGTCCGCTCCCTGGACCCTGCATAAAAGACAGGATTGTCCCGGAATATCGACCGTGCATCGGGACTTGCGCTTGCGACATAAATCGCAGGCTCTGACTTTATGCGACCTGTACGGACGCGCGCCGGCATTGTTAAAACCCGGGGAAGGGAGCTTGGGGGCCGAGTTGGCCGAAAGCGTGGTCGAGGTCGAGGGCGGCATCATGTCGCGCCACGCCGTAAAGCAAAAGCAAGAAATGTATAACTTTGTCGCAAAACACCGATAAGGCGAATAATCGATCCCAATCAATCAACTGCAAGATGCATTCCTTAGACCAATCACCGCTGGTACAATGGCTGTGGCCGATCTCTGAAACAGCCGAGGGAAATGAATCAGTGGGCGAGATGCAGGCGCTGTCAAGACAAGGCGGACCGCGAGGCATACATCGGGGAGAGCCGTCACACTGCGCTCGCCATAGTTGTTTGTTTCTTTTCTTTTTGTGCCTGTGGAATTAAAGCAATAAGCAAGGTCCTCTTTTTTTTCTTGTCAATTTCTTTAGGTTTTTATCGTCGTTTCTGCTGCTTCGGGAAAAGTGTGGGGGAAAAGACCCCGGGCTGAGTCAGCACGGCATCGGCCAACCACGTGCCACACTCATCATATCTCTGTATGGTCTCTCTGTATGTAATTGTTCCTTCTGTTGTTCTCTCTTAAAGAGTCTCTAAAGAGCAAATTGTCGCATCGTGCCCTACCAATCAGTAGCTGACTCCATATTACTCGCTGTTTCGACTACTGCGCGCTGCGGCGGATCGTCGTTGCATTCGGAACCAGCGCAAAAAGGACAGAGACACAGCCACCAACGCTGAAGAACCCGCCTCCCACACCTTTTCCTGTCAGCGCTTTATATTTTTTTATATTTTTTTTTAATTTAATTTCTCAATTTAATTTTCATTTTCTGCTCTTTGAATCTGTCTTGATCTGTGCGATACTCCTGCGGTGGTTCGCTGGAAAATGTCGAAAGGCTGCAATTAAACACGGAATACGCGCTTGTTCCTACAAATGTAGGCCGACTCGCCAGGTGAACCATGGAGCACAATGCCCAGTCACCTGTCATTGAGCGGCCTGGGGCTAAGGAATTCCGGAATGGCGACGCGCAGCACCAGCAGCACCAGCAGCACCAGCAACAACAGCAACAACAGCAGATGGAAGGCGCCACAGCAAATACGGACTCGCTTAGCTTGAAGAGCACCAAGCAGAGCTCATCGCCGTTCAGTCGTCTACCCCGCAATGTCATCGAACGGTATGTACCTTTTTCTATTTATATTTTCTTGTGCTGCAAAAAGTGCCATAGCACCGTTATCATGTCCATTCAATTCATGACGTTATAACATTGTTCATCGTGGTTGCTTCAGGATGGATCGAGTTTAACATACTCCGCAGCATTCTCTATACGGTTGATCCAAGCGCATTTGCGTCTCTGGCCTTGTTGAATCGAAAATGGAGGCGCATTTCCGATGCAGCTCCGTTATACGCTCACCACTTGGCACGTTGTCCATCATATTCCGCGACACGGGATAGCGTGCCATATTCGGAAAGTCTGGATTCGCTCAAGCGCAGGCTCTTTGCAGAGATTAGGCGCAATGCATTCGATATATTTTTGAGGCCTCGTCAGACACTGGTCAAACTTATATCTACATCTATGAGCTCCTCTACAGCGTTTCCGAAAGGGGAGGCTTTTCGTTTCAGTTTCTCGGCCAGCGGACAGATGATCCTTTGCCTCAGCTCTTCAAGGATTGTCGTTCTCGATGTAACGGCAAAATTACCCGTCGTCAAGCATGAGCTCAAAACTTCAAGACGCCCTTTGGATGCTACCATTCTGGATGACGGGTTGCTTCTTGCTGTCGTATCCTCGAGGCATCAGATCAACATCTATTCCCTTTCGGATGACGACAGTAAACTTATCCAATGTCTCGCGTTAAACGATACACCACGTGCTTTAGCGCTCTCCCCGACTGGCGGCGTTCTTGCCATCGCCTATGATGATAAGATCGAAATGCAAGCTGTTGGTGAAGGTGTACTTGCAACTGATCGACGGGCCGTTCGCTGCAATAGCGTTGATTCGATTTCATTCTCCTCAGACGGATTCATGCTACTTGGATCTTCTGTTCGGGGTCAAACTAGCTCCATAGTTAGTGTTACCGTTCCGTTCTATACGGGAACAGAAGATGACGTATCTCCCGGTGATGCGCAAGTCCGAATGTGGACCACACAAGTCCTCTTTCCCGCCAGCTTGCAAGGCTACACGAGAGCTTGCTCGCTTCCGTTCCACGAAGAGGGAGAAGATGACTGGGTTCTAGGCTACGACGAACAAAGAGGGGCCTTCAGGGCTGTCAGAATCAGTAATGCCAATTCGGGCACCGTATATTTCCCGAGTCCCTTTTCACCAAACATTTACCAGAAAGCGTCTCCCGCAATGTCCCCTGCGGTCGATGGCAGAGGCGAGCTGGTTGCGTTGGGATATGAGGACAGTGGCCTTTGGGTTCATGGGATACCTAACCATCTTGATGTTGCCTCGTCAGCTCGTTCATCACGAGGTTTCCTGCAACAAAGTGGTGCAATCAGTGGCCATAAAATGAGTGATATCCCTGGAATCACGGCTGCTTGCTGGGTAGGCTATTCGCACTCCTCTGCTCATCCAGCGTCCAAGGGCCTAAGATTGGTCACCGTGGCTCCTGGGGGTGTAAGTCCTCCATCAATTGGCGAAGAAGACGTCCCAGTTGACGGGGGCAGAGTGCTTCTCTTGGATTTCGACAGGTCTTCGAGAAATGGGGAGACTGTCGAAGTTAGCATTGAACTCGGAGAGGCGGAGCCCAAGATGCTCACTGAACCGAATTCAAGCATGGACACCGAGGTCGAGCTCGAGCGACGGAGGACGCAACTACGCCGCAACAATACTGCCGCACCACGACGGTTACGGAACCCTGCTCGAGAAACTCATCCACCCTCGGCTTCGAGTGCCAGTCAAAAGGCACCATACCGTCACCGTAGGAACAGTTCATATCAGTCCAATTCGAATACTCCGAGGCTCAATGCTACCTTGTTTGGAGACGCCCAGTCGAGAACAGGTGACACTCTGCAACGTGCTGCTACCGCGGCCGCGGTCAATCCGCGACGATACAGTAACCCACGACAACCTCAGACTCAGCGATACATCCCTCAAGTTCCACATGAAAGTGATGCGGATAATTGGGTCCCACCACCGCCTCCTTATTCTCGTGAACCTGATGCACCGTTGCCCGAAGACCTACGCAGAACCCTCCTCCCGGTACCGCCCGAGCTTCGTAGGGCTCAGAGTACGTCACAGGACAATGCTTCGCGAAACCGGCCTGCCCTCCACAGATTGAACACCATCACTGCTCGGATGATGAGAATGGGTGCCAGGGATCCGCAAACAGACGAAGATGACAATGGACAAAGACGGGTGCTCCAGAGAATACGAGAGGGCGCATTGGGGCAATTTAACCAGGGTCGTGATGAGCCAGTGCCACCAATACCACCGATTCCAGAATTACACCAACTCCCTGCCGCAGAAGAGTTCACCATAGTTCAGTCTCCCCAGTATATTAATTCGGCCCCTGCAGCTCCTCAAGCTTCTCAAGCTCCACCGGCTCCTCAGACTCCTCCAACTCCTTTGGTCCCTCCAACACCGTCAGAAACCCCAGCATCAAGTCGATCCCGCCGACGATCAACCCGCAGCAACCAAACGGAGCACGTGGTCAGCCAAGCCGTGGCCAGCAACCTAATGGAACCAATCCCATACATCCAAGAAGAAGAATCCCCCACAACAATAAACCAAAACCAAAATCAAAACCAAAATCAAAACCAATATCCATTCTCCTTTTCATCACCAAACCTCGGCGGCCCAGGACGAAGATTCCCCAGCGCAGCAGAGGAAAGCCCAGCATCACCCACGGCACGACGAACATGGTACCAGAGGGTCCCACCAAACGGTCGTTCCCAGTCTCAAGACCTTCGGGAAGTGTTACCGCCTCGACCAACACCTGTTATGAATCGGAGGGCGTCGACTGATCCTACGCTTTCTAATCGGTCGCCTTCGACGGCTGCAGTTAATGAGAGTTGGCGGAGGAGGATTGAGGAGTGGAATGAGAGGACGATTCATGAGACGAATAAGAAGAATCGGAGGTGTGTGGTTATGTAACTGTGTACGAAGAAGGACTGGCTTGGGCCAGCTTGTACAGTTTAGTGGATGTGTTGATATTTTTGCATTTGTTGGCATTTGGATCTCGGCATTAGTATTTCTTTGTATCAATTGGAGGTTGCATGTTTATCAGATTTGAATACCCAGTGCGCATTCGAGCTTCATTCGGTTCAACTTGAAATTCATTATTACATCCTTCGAAAGCCAATCGGCTTGCTCAATTAACAATTAACAGATCTAGCATAATCTAGCGCATGAAACAGGGTAGCTATGAAACCCAACTCAACAACCCCCTCCACCTCCACCACATCCTCCTCCGCATCCTCCGCCTCCACATCCACCACCACCACCACAGCTACCTCCAACATCACCACCTGCACACCCTCCAGAACCACCACAACTCCCAGCAGCCACACCACCACCACACGTCCCCGCCGCACAATTCCCATGCCCCCCAGGCGCCAAGTTCATACAAGCCGGATTCCCCACATACGCATCAGAATTAACACCAGGATCACACATATACGGCGCATAGTACGGTATGTAGACCGGCACACCCCAAACAATCGGAAACGCAGTAGTAGCAGGACCACCGTCATTGGAACTATTCCTTTCCTTCTCCTTGTCCTTGCCGTTGGCAGTATCATTCTTGACATCCTTGGAGTTTCTGCGTTCACGTTTCTCGGCGCGGCGACGGGCTCGCTCGTAGTTGGTTTGGAGTTGCATTGCTTTCAGACCTCTTTTGATGAAGTAGTGGCTTGTTAGCGTTGTTGGTTTCACGGCGTTGTGCGTGGAGATGTGTGGGTTTTTCTCTGGGTCTGGGGAGATATCTTCTCGATCGTGTAGGGCTGCGGCGGTTTCGCGGGCTCGTGCTGTAGCGGAGGAGACGAAGATTCCGCTGCGGAGGTCTGGGGCTCTGATTGCCTCGCAGTACCAGCATGTGCATTCGCTGTAGAGTTCCCCGTTTGTGAACTTTTTGTACATTTTGCTTGTCCATTCGAAGCCGTCGGAGAGTTTGTCTTCGCCGACTTTGTCGTCGTGGTCGATGAAGACGTGTTTGTGTGTTACTGAGGATAAGTTTGAGTTGATGACAGAGTATTGGAAGTAGCGGGAGGGGGAGAGTTGGTGCGTGTGCCAGGCTAGATCGACATCTAGGGTTGGGACGGCCATGCGCTTCGGGTTCGAGACCATGATGTGGAAGAAGATTTTGTATTTGTTGATTAGGCGGGTCATTGTTTCCATGGCTGTTGGTGAGTGCAGCCAGTCGATGTTGTCCATTTTCTGGACGAAGGTTCCTTGGCGGATAACAGCGCCGACGAGGTCTAGGGAGAAGGCGGATGTGTTTTCCCAGTAGCGGGACATCATTCGGCGGAAGGCGACTTTTTCTTCTAGGTTGATGCGGCGTCGAGGGGGTCTGCCGTCCTTTTTGAAGAGGTCGTCTATGTTTTTGAGCTTGGATTCTAGTTCGTCGCGTATGTCGGCCATGTTCTCGCAGCGGCTGATCAGCGGGTGCGTGACCATGAGTATGTCCTTTCCCACGGCCCGTAGGAGCCAGTTGGGGAAGAATGACCCTAAGCCAACTATAGCGGTTCCTGCTGCTTCTGGGATGCCGTTCAGGTTGTAGAGGGTTCCTGGCATTGGCGAGTCTCGGTCTAGCAGTCTCTGGATGTCGCGTCGGAATCTGGCGACCTTGATTTTGTCATGTGTGATAACGTAACGGCACTTGGAGCAGGTCGTGTTGAAGCCCTTATCCGCGAAGCCGTGGAACTGTTCGAATGGGATGACGGATTGGTGGGGTATGCGTCCTGCTGTCCACCGGACGTGCACTAGGGCTCCGCAATTGGGGCATTTGATGTCTTTTCGAAGCGGGTCTTGGAGGTTATCCCAGGATAGTTTGGTTGCCTGTTCGAATTTGCTTTTTGCGGTTTCCCCTGCATTGTATTCCAAGGTCTTATCGTTCAAACATCTGTTAATAACAGCCCAGGGGAAGCCAGTTTCCCAGAAGTTCATTTTGCCGTAACGGATGCAGTCTTCGAGAAAGGATCGCGGATTAAGCATGTGGGCATGCCATACCATCAAGACGTCGAGAGGCGGCATATATTGATGGCTCCAAGAAATCCTCGACAAACATCCTGTAATGCTCCCATAGTGAATATTCTGTAGTGTCTTGAGCGTGGGCCGCCCCTCAGAACTCGAAATGCACTCCCTCCACCAAACCAAATACCGCTCAGCCGCTCGGCTGACATACACAGCCCATCGCTTTTCTCGTATTTTAGCAAGCATGTGATTGCGCCCATCCCGGTACTCTTCTGCTTGAGCGTCATGTAGGCCGAAGAGACCATCTTCTGTGGAAATGCTATCGCGCAGGTCTGCGAAGGCTGCTAAGAGCTTTAGATGGGCGGCACACTGATCGGGGGTGACAGTGGAGCTGCGAGGGGATCCAGCGTCTTTGTTCAGATTCAACAAGGGTATCGTCACGTATTTTGGGACTGATATTTCGTCGTAGGCCGGAGGTGAATCTGCTGAGGCATGACCCTTGCCATTTTCTGTATCTAGTACAGGTGAGCTCATGGTGTCAATATCGCTTCAGTTCATGTATATGCTAGTATGTCGACTTTAATGTGAGAACGAAGCAATCTGCTCAACAAGGCTGGGGCGGCTGCTTTTGTAGTGAAGCGTCTGATCGACAAGGCGCCTGGGGATGACCTCCCATGGCATCATAGACTATTTAGGCAAGGATGATAGAATCCTGGCAAGTGAAATAGTGGTAGTTGGCTGGCAGACAGGTAAGAATCAACAAGCCTCGTTAAGGCAGATTGTATCATATACGGGCGATGCATGGCGGAGTCGGGCAACAACACAGCCCATATTGCGCATTCTAGGTTTAGAATGGTGCAGCATCTTGCTTTTCGACAAATAATATGCGAAATGGAATATTCATGCATGTACTTGTGCCTGGTTAGTTAGTCCAATATACATGGTTGTTGTCTTCAGTCACCTGACCCATATCACGTGTGTACATTCACGTGACTGCGAGATCGGACTTCCCCTCATCGAATCTGCGGCCGGTTTCGAGGGGTCTTTGGAGAAAAGCTTCACGAAAAGCGCTTCTATCGCGTGCCAAAGTCTGTCTCCTGCAGGGTTTATTGGCAGCTACTCTGATTAGCTCTTCTATATTAAATTAATAGTCACTTACCCTATCCTGTGGCCTAAGTCGAGGTCTCCGCCTTCGGCCTTTTTTTTTTTTTTTTTTTTTCCCTTCTGACTCCAACCGAGCTTTATCGATTATCGCCCTGCATCGCCAAAACACACCAACGCAACCCAGTCTGGCGTCTATCGGAGGATCGTCAAGCGGAATCGGAGGCGGGGGATTGCCAGGAGCAGGGGCAATACTCGGACCAAGGGTAGGGAATCCCAATAATGCTGCGCCCAGCCCCATAATGGGAGGTGTCGGTCATTCTGCTGCTGTCGGCCCCGACGGCCTGGGGCAAGCTAGAAAGCGTAATGTCACCATGGCGGGGCTAGACAGCTCTCCGGGGAGTGTAGATGTGGATGATATCGAGGACAGTGAGCTCCGTGACGAGAAGAAAAGACAGCCTGTTAAACGCGCATGCAACGAATGTCGCCAGCAAAAGGTACGCCCCGCTCTATGCGCTTTGCTTGGCTTGGCTTTCTTGCTGCAATAATTAGTCGCTAACTTTTTGTTGTTGCAGCTTCGATGCGATGTGTCTCAAGACCCATGGAGCGATTGTTCGCGATGTCGACGTCTAAAACTCGATTGCAAAATCGAATCAAACTTCAAGCGCGTTGGAAAGCGAAGCCGAAATGCAGAGATGGAACGCGAGATCGTTGAATTGAGGAAGAAGGTTGCGAATTCGCAAGCGAATAATGTCGCCCAGCAGCAGCAGCAACCTCTTCAATCGGCGCATCCTACACCAAAGCAAGAATCAAGCCATGTCAGTCCGGCTGGGGCTTACCAGACACCTTCCGCCATATCGTCTGACCAGTACATGGGCTCTCAAGAGGCTGTGGCGTCCTTGTTGGACTTACGTTCGGGCTTTGATGGTTCCAACTACATGCGGAATGGCAATCATCAACTCAAGCGACTTGAAGATGTCATTATCATACCAGAGACGATGGCAGAGTTATTCAACTTGTAAGAATATGTCCTTCATCCTGCACACGAGCGATACTAATACTGCTAGGTTTTTCCTATTCTACCATCCATTCCTCCCGTTCCTCGACCGAGAGCGATCGCCAGAAGACTACTATAACACCTCGCCGCTGCTTTTCTGGACTATAATTAGCGTTGGTGCACGACGGTACCAAGGGGACTCTCATCTCCTTAATTCTCTGGCCGGTCCAGTGTCGCGACTCGTATGGAGCACATTAGCAGATATCCCACAGAGCTACCATGTCGTCCAGGCTCTTTGTCTGCTTTGCACATGGCCTTTTCCAACCAGCAGTACCTCCACAGACCCGACGTTCATGCTGTGTGGTATGATGATGCAAGTCGCCATGCAACTTGGTCTTCACCGGCCTTCGCACACTCAGGACTTTAGCAAGTTCACAGTGGAGCTGATTGAGGAGGAGCTCAGGGATAAAGTGAGGACATGGGCGATCTGCAATATTGTGGCTCAACGGTATGTTCTTCTCTTTCTTCCTTTGGACAATCACTGACTAGTTTAGGGTTGCAACTGGTTATGGACAACCACCATTTACTCTTTACGACTGGACACTGTCGTGGAGCGAGTTGACGGACCCGAACTTCAAGCTTCCTGAAGGTATCAGGCCAAGACTTGAGATCGAGAGGTTCTGCAACAAGGTCACAAAATCTCTTTACACCAATCAGCGGGACCCAGTTGGACTGTGCAGTGACCAGGAGCGATCAACCTTGATATCGTTCCTCTCGCGAGATTTCGACGAGCTTGAGCAAAAACTCAAAGTACGAAATGACTGTACGTTACCTTATTTCTCAGCAAAAGAGTTATGCTAATCTTGAAGGTATCACCGATCTCTACCTGCGCGCTTCGAACCTCCACCTTCACCTATCAGCCTTCTTCGATGATCCGACTACTACGAAGGATTACCGTGAGCGTCTCTTAACTCTCTATGCCGCGACAACATCATTCCTCGAAGCAGCCATGAACCTTGAAACAGAAGTCGGACCTGTTCTATCTTACACACCTTACTATATCTACCAGATGATGGTGGCAGGAGGATGCACGCTGCAGAAGCTGGGAAAGAGCTTCTTTTCCACTCACATCGATATGGATTACACCAGGAACCTCTTCAACCGAACTATCTGGGCCATCCGTGGCGTGTCCGTGTCCAGCAACGACCTCCCAGAACGGCTGGCAGAGGTTCTGGCGCAGATGTGGAGATTGGGAAGTGCCCCGGCGGCTAATAATAGGGAGGTCGACGACACTCTGACGTTGAAGGTCCGGTGTCGCATGAGTATGTCCTTGCTTTATGACTCTGTATGGAGATGGCGAGAGGATGCAAGGACCAAGGGTCGGAACATCGAAGGTATGCTTATCTACCTTAATGAAGTAAAAATGAAAAAAATCGAATTCCAGCCAGCGTGTCGCGAGATACTATTAATATGTGCAAGTATGCGTTGTTGTTGTTGTTTTTTTCTATTTTTTTTATTGACACGTAAAAAAAAAAAAAAAAAAAAAAAAAAAAAGGGGGTAACTAACGTTCTATAGCATACCTCAAAAACCCCACAAACCCCGACTCCAACGCAGACTCCTCAGCCAACTCCTCCGCCGCCGCAGGCCGTCCCGCATCCTCAACACCAGTGGTCAGTGGCGGGGATCCCAGCCTAGCACCCGCGCCTATACTCGCTCAAGCAAATCTCGGGGTGCAAGGAGAATCACACAGCCTACCGAGCGGGTTCATGGAACCGAACTACGAGGTGTTCGACCCGCTAAACTGGTTACTTGATGGCTTGGTTGATTTGCCGTATCCGTACTCGACGGTTTCAGGGATGGAGGCACAGGGCATTGCCTAAGCTTTTCCTCCCTCTTCTACTTTTTCATCTATAATCGTATTTCATGCTCTTTCATGCTGTGATGTACTATACCATATAGGGTTTCAGATTACGTTGACGAGGGCAAAAGGAGTCCTTGGTGTTTATTTGCTTTGCGTGTTTTTGATTCATCCAGCGAATACCATGTGCAATGCGTTTTCTAGCTAGCTATTTACATTACATAGTACATAATGCGAGTGTTTGCCTGATGTGTATAAACCTTCATCCAGCACAGAGCGAAGACCATCTTCTCTAGCCTAACATCCCTATGTCAAACAAAACACCAACATAGTCTATCCCTCACTCGACATAGAAAGAATATCCCTCAACCTCTCAACCGCCATCTCAGCCCCTCTAGCAACAGCCTCATCCTTCGAAAAACACCCCAGCACAGTCACCAACTCTTCACCATCAAGTGTAACACGAACCCCAAACCCAACATCCTTAACATCCCCCTTCCCCCGCACATCATTATACTCAACCTTCCTCGACCCAACCATGGTATACAGTCTCGTGCGCGGATGTTCAACGATGACATTATCCACAAGCACGCGGTCGAGATGCTTCGTCATCCCCATACGGTGTAGGAATTTCTCGCATTCGTCGATGTCCCCGTGTGTGTCGATGAAGATCGCGCCGATGATGCTCTCGATTATATCCGAGTAACATTTTTCGGCGCGCAGTTGGATAAGTAATCCCCAGGGAAATGTATCCCCGCATTCTAACTGGTGCTTGATCGTATCGCGGAGGTTCGCATGGCGCTGGAGGAACGCGCGCTGGGTGGTTAGGAAGTCGGGGTTATCGAAGCGCATGAATTTCCACAGTTCAAGCGTATTCTTTGTGGTTATTGTATCGAAGGTCCCGCTTTGCGGGGACTGCTGGATCGAACGGACGCCTGTTTCGAGGTTATGTTCCATGCAGAGAAAGGCGAGGGTGTGTGCGTTCACGAGCGCGGCTTTGACGTGTGTCATTGTGCTTTCTGGCATGGTGGGGGTGTGTGCGAAGATGTGGCGGTTTATGATGAGGTCTAGGAGAGCGTCACCCAGGAATTCGAGACGTTGGTAGGATCCCGTGGAGAGGTCTCGTTGCCACGAGGGGTGGGTAAGGGCTTCCCAGATCAAGGAACGGTCTGTGAAGTGGTACCCGACTAGTTGGTCGATGTTATCGTCGAGATGTGGTGGTGCGATGGGGATAGGGCTTAAATTGTGGTCTGGTGAGGAGCCGATGGACGGTGGTGTGTTTTGGACGATGTTGGGGAGGAATAGGTGGATCATTGACCAGGCGAGGGTCATGCCGCCGTCAACGTATGCTGCGCCGATTAGGGCTTCCAGGGCGTCTGCGGCCATTTTGCTGGATAGTTCTTTTTCGGGGGTTGCGGGGAGGGATTTTGCTGTTGTTAGGGTTGGGACTGTCCATTTGCGGGCCATGAGGGCTTTGGCGAAGAGATATTTCTCTAGGCCTGCGCGCATGGCAGCGTCTGTGAGGGATTTGTTGGAGACAACATGACTCTTCCGCTGGGTTAGATAGCCCTCGGGCCAGAGCGGGTTGTCGTGGAAGAGCTGGATGCACACGGCGTATTTGAGGACGGCATCACCGAGGAATTCAAGTCGTTGATAGTTATTCGTCCACTGCACTGAAGGACAGGTGATGGCTTCTGCGACAGTTCGGATAGTCAACCCGGGAATATCCCGAAGTAACGTCTCGCGGAGACGTGCTGCTACCAGATTCCGCTGCAGCTCGTGCATCAGCTGAGGCAGAAGGACGCTGATCCGGCCCATTTCCCAGGGCAGACGATCAGAAGTGCAAGCCCGGGCTTGAATCTGCGTGTCCTTGACTTCTGGTTTCTTGCCATTGGGGTTCGGTACTGCTGATAATGACGACTTTTGATGTAACAAGTCCCAGTTCCTCTTGAAAGGCCGCACTTGCACCAGTAGTTCCGAGCCATTCTCGGGGGGTATCCAGCGGACAAACTGGTGCGGTCTGTTGTATACCATGTGGCTTCTGATGATTCCAGGCGGAGCAGCAGGGGAGTTCTCGTTATACCACATTAGGCAGTTATATGTCCCTCTGTTGGCACCCAACCATTTTGCGAGACTGGCTGTTTCAGCCGGAACGTCTGGGGTTATCAGAACAGTATAGTTCTTTTTGTCATCGCCCTCGGGCATTTTTGTCCGCGCAGAGCTTAGTAAAATATGCGTGGTCTCTCGCATGAGCTTCAGGTCCAATGGCGATACACTGACGGCCTCTGATTTCTTCAAGGAGATCTCGAAAGTAGTCTGACTGTCCCAGTATAACGTCAATGGTTCCACGTCAGGTATCTCAACCGGTGTTATCATGGCTACTCCAAGATCAGGACGAGATATCCCGTTCTGTTTTATCAAAATGCGACTCCTATGTACGTCCGTGCCTAAGCGAGACCCCGACATCTCTTCCCAGGGGTCGTAAGAGCTAAAATTAGCAAACTTTGGTCTATCGGGCATCTCCTCATCACCCTCGGCGTTTTGTGCCAGGAATTGATTCTGGGTTAGCGGAAGGAAGTTGTCGTTCACTAATTTCGCTCGATGCATTGCGGTGTATGCTTGGAAGGCTGCATCTTTTTTGGCTGCGCGCTCTGTGAGCCACCACAGAAGACCTTGCGCAACACGGAGTGTTGGGTCGAGACTACTTGGAAGGATTACTGTAGCTCTGAACCGGCCGGTTTGGGGTTCTTTCTCGATTTTGAATCTAGGGCGCAAGTCGACAAGCTCCTTGGACTGGAGTGTGGTGCAGAAATGATAGAGATGTGAGACCGCAGTATCTGCTGTTAGCAATGCACTGCAAGGAATGTTAGCTAACAAGCCCAAATCACACTGTTAAGAATAGAAGGGCGCACCCCGTCCGCAACCTCAGTTGGAATCCAACATCGTCTGGTGAATTCTCCAACTGTTCGAGCTCTTGGAGCGTTCGCTTTTCGTCTTGGTACAACCGGATCATTTCTTCCTCGAGTTCCTGCCACCGTGTAACCGCATCTGACGTGTCATCATCTGCAACCATAATCGCAAACGTTGATTGTTGCTGTCGAGCACGACCTCGTCGTTGAATGAATGATTTGAGGTTACTTGGATGGTCAAAACACACAACCAAATGACAAGCTGTCAGATCGATTCCTTCCTCGAGAACATCAGTGGCCACAATCAGATTCTTCCCGCCCTCTCGAAACTGCAGTAGCGTCTCGCCTACTGCGTCCGGATCCAGCACATTGAAGATATCATGTTTCTTGCTTCTGTTCGTAGACCCCATGCATGATGCGCAACGAAATACATCTCGAGTCGCTGGATTCTGTGCAACAAGCTCTGCCAGTACATATGAAGCAGCTCGTTCTTTGACAAAGACAATCCCAAAGAAGTTCCCATGATGCTCTTGTTGCAAAAAAAATAAAAGACGCTCAGCTTTCCCGGAGACAGCACCAGGAGCAGAAAGCGGGATTCGACTAGTGTGCAAAAGGGGCTCTAGCCTCTCAGCTAGGCCTACCTTCGCTTGGTCCACCCATAAGCTGTTGATGTTTGATTCCACCTGACCCACGATCCTGCGCGTCGTCTCTATGATGAAAAAGTCTACAGCCCAGGCACCCAGTGTGTAATAGATTCTCATGGCTTTGATGAAAAACCTGGTCATCTGGCCTTGCGCTTTTGCGCCTATCAGGCTAATCAAGGCACTGGTGAAATCTGAGCAAGGGCCTTCGTTTCGGTCAGGAAGGAGTTGGAATAAGACTTGAAGAGAGGGTATGTCTTCAGGAGGGATTGCATCAGCATATACGGCAGGGTATAGTAGTAGAGATAGGTTTGGCCGATGGACGTATTTCATGAGCTCTTGTCGTTGTAGTTGCGGAGTCCGGCTCACTGCGTCGAGATTTTCCTCGATTTTTCTGATACATGAGTTTTTTTGTAAAGAAAACTAGAGAAAGATCAAGACGCACCGGATATCAGCGACTTTGGATTTCATGATTGGACTCGCTGTCAGTCCCAGAATGTGCGGCACGGCCTGCAGTCCTCTGCTCTTCTTCATGGGATGGTAAAAATCTCTCATAATGCGGTTACCCGGATGATTCTTGACACAGTGATGAGCTAGACACCAAAAATCAGTATAAGCCACTACATTATACTCATAGAAAAATACTTACCCTCATCAAAAACAATAAGTGCCAATTTTTCCATCCTAACAAACCCATGCGCCAACGCATCCGCCAAAACGGCGTGCGTCGAAACAACGACACTCATATCGCAAAGCGCAGCATCCCAAATCCTCTGCTCACTCCAGCGATCCACGCCATCATCCCCGATCAACAGTCTTATATTGATAGCTGGGATGTGTAAAGCGATAGCTTCTTTCTGCTGAGCGGCGAGCGCTACGGTGGGCGCCAGGAACCAGACTATCTTTTCCGAACTGCACCGCGCCAGTTCGGCTGTTATTCGCATACTTGCCCTATTTTATATGGTCATTTCTGAGATTTTTTCTTTCTAGAGACATAGTGTTGGATTTTGGCTTACACGTGTGTTTTCCCGCTCCCAGTGTCCATCTGCTTGGTTAGCGGGGTGAATCTGCAGTATGGCTGGTTGTGAATGCGACATACCACCAGGATTATATTCTCCTTCAAGCTCTGCTCCAGCATTTCTAGCTGGTAGCCTCGAGCTACATATCTATCCATTTTCGTTTCTCTCGATCAGAATACCGTTTTGGTGAGGAGGTTGACCTGGATTGTTTATGCATAAACATTGCCCCGCCTCCATAATTTTCTGCCTTTGTTGTCGTATCTGATAATCAACAACTACATTCCTGCGGAGGTGACGATCAGTCTGGAAGCTCTCCATTCTTTTCTTATTTTATTATCAGCTGGAGGTTTTAAGACATTGACCCCTCTAGTATGTTGAAAATAACCATTTAGACCTATTCTCCGCCATGGAAACACCGCACGCAGAGATCATCATGTGGTCTCTTCCCTCTGCTCCCTCTTGATTGCTTCGTGAGCGTCATGAAAACTGTTCAGCCTCTGATAAATCGTCATTGTTGCGAACAAGCAAAGGCCTACACACATCCACCAAGCCTTTTCTCTACCAAGAGATCAACCTAAACTGGTCTACACATGTGATCCCCCTGCAACGAATACTGCAACTCCTCCGAACCATTCTACTACAAAGACCAGATCTAGCATCCGCAAAACAACACTTCAGTATACTCTCTTCTAATCCCCCAACAGCAAATCCCTGGGTCCTCACCCAGGATGGCATGGACTGGAATCGAGAGGCACCGCTCTTCGCAGACGTGGTTTCGGCTGCACGCCGCATCATTTACCTTACGCGGTCTCCCCCGGAGAAAGAGCCTGAGTGGGTGGAGTTTCTTGAAAGAGGGATGTTCCACATCTTTGTGGCAATTTTTATATCTCCAGGCTGCACCGTTTGAAGACCCTTCGTTTGGATCACTTTTTTGTCTGACTTGGTGGGTATCCTGGGAGGATGGTGATGCATTCGCTTTTCTCGGGGGAGCCTGATTCTGCCAGTATGCTTGTCGAAATTTGAGTCGCTCTGGCCGGTTGACTATGGAGGGAATGTACCTCCATCAGAGGGTGACACTTTGCCTGTATACGAACCAGGGGATATATGGGATGAAGGGGGAGAGACAGATGAAACAGAGGAGGAAGAGGATATGTCTATGCTTGAGCAGGAGGAAGGAGATTTACCTGCAGATAGATTGGAGCCAGAGGGAGAAGATTGGCCTATGGATGAGCCAGAAGGACAAGCTTTGCCTACGGATGAACCAGGGGCCGATGGTTTCCAAGGTAGTTATTACTTGGATCAATTTGTTTGCTGGTTCTGTCTACCCTCGGTTCGCCATATATCGATCTGGCTGCGGGACAATGCGAGCATCGAGGGTCTCGGCAACAAGAAACTCAACCTCCCCCAACTGCAAACACCCATCTTAGCTCGTTCAACGGCCTCGGCGCAATCCATCGCCTCTCTACTCACCCAGACACAATCTCTAAAAAGCCTCCATCTGGGACTGGCATATGACTGGCACACACAGACAGTCCTCGAGGGCAGCGAGTTTATCGCACAGGCCCTAGAATCCATTAGTGAGACCATCGAAAATTTCTCCATGGAACTAGAATACTACCCACGCCTCAATGGCAGTCCCCACGACGACGAGAACAAAACACACCTACTAGTGCCATTCCACGGCATCCTCAAAAAAATCCCCACGCCTCCAAACAGCCTAGATACCAATGCTCGTCCTTCTCGGCTTGAACTCAGACTTCGACAGTCCCGGTGAAATGAAAGACCTCTTACCCAAAACCCTGCGTCGACTGGTCTTGAGGGGTAATTTGATGAGTGTTGAGGAGCATGAGCACTGGGTTGGATGGATAGCGGACGCTGTGCGTATCCATCTCGAGGGGGACTGGAACGCGTCGACACCTCTGCTTCAATAAGTGTGTGGTCGGATTTGGTTTTGGTATTGGTGTAATGAGCCGGATGACTGGTGGCTTATGAGGGAGCTGCTGAAGGAGGTCTGTGAGAAAGCGGGAATCGGGCAGGAGTTTATTGCTGATAGTCTTGGGTCTGGGTTGTGGGCTCGGGAGTTGGGTATGGGATGAGATGGAGATGGAAATGTGCTTATATACCCTTTTTCTTTCGTTGTATATACGTCGGCTTTCATGTTCTTGCCGAGCATATCAGAGCGACAATTTTAGCCTTGATTACTCAACGATAGAGTAAATGTGATCAGGAGGAATGCAATTCAAATGCAATGCAATCTAGGCTATCTTAGTCAAACAAATATGCCATGGTTAACTATCGTGTTCATCTGGATATATCAAGAAAAAGAAAAATTCAAAAACATGAAAAAGGCAAATCATCGTAAGTCATAACATATGTAACATCATATCATGAAAAATGCAGTAAAATCCAATGTAATCAAACGCAGCACAATGCAATCTTGATCAACCAAAAGCAAAGACACGATTGACAAATGCAGGCCACTTCCAAAAGATTCACAACCCCCGAGTCAACACCGCACTCCCAGCACTCGACTGCACCTGCACCACATTCCCAATACTCTGCTTCAACTTCTCCCGTCTAGCTTCATGTTTCCGCTCCTCACGCAGCTGCATCCTCCGCCGCAACCGTTTCTGCATCGTCGCGAACCGAACCCGGTATCCCATCATGGAAACTAAGTGGAAGCTACGCCGGCGTAGGGGCGAGGTGCGGGTGGTGCGGTCGAGGAATCCGGGGCTGCTGAGGGTGTTTCCGAGTGCGAGGGTGCTGCGGTTGAGAGATGGGTTGTAGAGGCGAGTTCGTTTACGCGTTTCGGACCTTGACGGACGGGCTTGGTGGCGTGGGTGGACGTCGGGGCCGTTGAAGACCACACGGGGTTGAGGCATTCCGAGAGAGTTCTTGACGATGTGCTCATTTTTGTTGCCGGTTTGGGAGGGTGAGGGCGGCTTTGCGCTGGAATTAGTGGAGTTGCGGAGGCGCCAGAATCGGCTATTGGGATCTTTTCCAGCCTTGCGGTTCGTCGCCGACGTTGAGAAGGACCGTTTGAGAGTATCGGTGGCTCCTGGACGAGAGCGAACGGTCCAAGCACGTCGCAGAGATCCAAATCTGCGAAAGGCTGGCTCTCGGTCGTTGGTATCCGAATCCCGTTCGAGTTCCTTAGGTGGAGTCGGCGGGCTGACTTGAATAGGTGGGCTCATAAGCTGTTTAGGCTTAGCCTGAGACATGGCTGTTGTCTGCCGGCGCTGAGCCTCAGAAGCTTTCCTCTCCCTGCGCTTTTGCTGGTCGATAACCAGAAGCGATTCGTTGTTATGCGGGTAGAGGCTCACAGCCTTGGCTTCGCTAAGTTCCCACCCTGGGGATGAAGGCATGGAGCCTAGGCTTAAAGGCATCGAAGGGCTAAGAAGGTCAGACGTATCCTCAATTCCGATCAAAATCGACTGCGTTTTAGTGTCAGACATGTGGGAATTGGGGCGTGAAGTTTGGCGCGGAGGTTCAAGTCGCGGTTGCTCTGCTTGACGTTTCCGCCTCTCGACGTCCTCTATGGCCAGTGTATGGCTGCGAAGACTGTCGGATGTGAGAGATGTAGCCCGCGAGTTGTTTGCACTCGTGGGTGTCGACAATGAGGACCTGCGCGGAGGTATAACAGGCCGACGACTTCCAGCAACCGAGTCTGTTCTTCGCGGAGGGCCCAAAGAACTAGCTCTGCTCCCTGGTGCTGTGGCTGCACGCCGACGCGACCGCTGAGAGGAAGCCTTAGATGGGTTACGGCTAGTGGACGTTGATGGCGAATTCTTCAAAGATGAACGCCGCTCCGGGATGACAACCACAGGAACTACATCAACATTCTGGTGCGGTGCCTCGGATGTTGGAGCCGCCGCGGGTACGGACATTTCGGGTGCAATGTTCCTGCGATCTTCGTCCGTTATACGGGCTGCTTTGTGCACTAATCGATGTTGCGTGTCGGGGCCCGAAGCCATTGATGCATGCTCTAACTTTGTGACAGGTGAACTGGCCGAGCGCAATGAAAATCGCTTCTCCGTGTGTCGTAAGATCGGTTTCGTCGACCGCACAGGATCAACAATCACGGCTTCCACCGTCGATGCTGTGGACACCCCCGAGAATCTTTGATGGTCCGGGTCTTCGGAATAATCCACTGGCCAACCAATCTCTTTGCGGAATTGCTCAAGGGATAGACTATGCGCAGGACCGTGAGCATAATCAACTTGGTCGCGCACATTGCTTTCGTGGCCCAAAGGGGTTCCCAAATCGCGCGCTTCCGTATCAATCGCAGGTGGTCCCGACGGCTCTGTATCCTTGCTTCCATGACGATCATACTTTCTCGAATGCTGTCGTTTGGGTAGATTGATCGACAATTCGTAAGAGCTGGGTTGCGGAGAGTTTCCTGATCTCTCGGGTCGATCTGAATCGTATTTGACCTCCGTCCTCAAAGGATGTTCGCCCCTTTCCAGCGGACTTTGTGAATGCACATTCCTTCTTTCCTGTGGCCTTGACGAGCTAGACGAACGGCGAGTCGTGTCTGGACCACCGTCGGAATACACAGTTCCACGAGTAGTCTCCGTGCGAACTGAGGGTGTTGTTTGTCTGGATCGGCTGGTACTTCGAGATACTCGAACCGGAGTTTCCTCGACCGTCGATACTCTGATTTCAGGAACGCGGTAGCCCCGAGACAGTTTCTCATCGTGCCTCTCGCCGTCGTCGCTAGACAAGTCGTCTTCAGTAGGTTCGCGACGGGCTAAAGCAAGAGTCGGGGAATTTCCATGGTCATGAAGGTCTGAGAAGCTGTCTCGTGCATCCGAGGCAAATATCTGTATGACGATTTCTCTCCTGCGAGGGGCTTTATGGGACTTGGAACGAGATTGTTTTATGTCCGATGCGACAAGGGAGGAATCGGAATCGCGCACGCCGGGCATATCGATATCAGAATCCAAATAGCAATAACAAGAATATCCTGACAAATTGGTTGAATACAATAAGAGCACGACACTGCAAAGCAGATTCAAGAGTTATAGGAAAAGATATCAAGAACGGAGAGGGGATCGCATAGCGAGACGAGACAATCCGTAACTGGGGCAGTCAATGCAGTACAGGTCCACGTGCAGAATGTAAATTCCGACCCACGCACAGAAAGGGACCAGCCCGTTTCCTGCACGGATAACCGATATTTAAGGCGAAACCAGGTCTGAAACAAGGGAACCCGACATGCAACGGCAAGGGCTGCTGTGAAATATGCGGGCGGAATCTGTAACAGATCGGTCCGTCGGGCAGCGCAGTACAAGTACAGGTACTGGTACAAACAAGTATGTATCCGGGGGCGATGTTAAATATGGACGAATTCTGAAATATTCAATCGAAAGAGCTTTGAGTAGCGACGAGCGTTCGAAGTCAGAATGAGGCGCGGTGGAGTTGCGAGTCGGGGAAATGAGAGGGAAGAAACGTTGGCGTCAAAGCATGAATCGTAACATCATCAGGTCATTAAACAGTCGAGTCATAAGAATAAAACATGATAAAAAGAAGAAGCGATGAAAGAAAAAGAGTAGAAATGAAAGAAGGATGAAGAGGAGAAAAGTTGAAGTTGGAGAGCGGGGACAAAAGCGTGATTTTTTTTTTTTTTTCTCTCTTCTGCCAAACAACTCATCTAGCCCCACGAGGCATGTATCACTCACTCAATAAAGTGAATGTTTTCTTGTCGAAAAAGATATTACAATCTCGCATTTATAGAGACCATCAGGTTTCTGAAGTCAGCGACTCGCCTGCCAGTGGAGTCTCACAAGCTCAAGCAAACCTAGTGTGTTTTGATAAAGCCGTTGTTTGCTCTCGGGCTTGACCCTGCCCCGGATCTACGGCGTCCAGCTTGTCCTTGCCTGGCATAAGAAATTATGGGCGAATCTGATTATACAACTTCGTTCATTTTTGGCCGTGGTGAAGCTGAGCCTAGCGAAGATGCTTATACTCCTCATATAGTCCAACCAGCGCAGTACATGCGCGACCTGAATATGGCATTTCAACTTACAATGAGACCATTTTCCTGAGACAGGTACCCGATGGGTATCGCAATGAACAAGCTCTCCAGTCTTATTTGACTGTCGCGTGTCACCGAAGAACAATCTTGCACAGAGTTGTCAACGTTATGACAATGGACTATCTACCAACCAGAATCATCGTCGAGGTCTGGCTCATTCATTCACCAGATGAAGAGCAGGGGTGTCCAGAGGTAGCTGTTGCAAGCCGTGAGTTCCTTGGATTCGATGTGATCGACTTACGCTAGAACGGCATCTGCATCGGACAGATGTCTAAGCGTTTTCAGGCTCAAGGTGTGGCCTTGTCAAGCTTTCTTGTTTCACGCTTATGCTGTGGATAATCGGCAAGTAATATTCCTGGCAACGAATAGGCCTGCGCATCGCTATATCTACTTCCGATTCATAATCACACTTGAACCATGGTTTTTCAATCCAATACTTTGAAGTGCAACCGCCAGAGCGTTTCTTGCTGGTGAAGTTCAAGTGAATGCTCGGTGCACGCTCGACAGGATGTCAAGCGGCCTGGTTTGTCTGTATGCTGCCAATATGTTTATGAAAATCCACATAAATCCACAGACACATTGGACCTGTGGAGGAAAAGTTGGAGAAGGGATATGTAATTCTCGGTAGTAGTTGACGAGTATCTCGCAGATAGACACCATCGAATCGAGAACCTAGTACGTGTTTATACGAGTGAAGCTGTCATCCGAAACGCCATTATCGTATGGGACCTACTTGTGTTATTTACTCCACCGTCACGACTTATAGGCGTTTCCTCCACCGGTTTATTTGCTTAGCGGCCTCGGCGTCAGGCTGCTTGTTGAGAGGATACTGCGTGGGTGGGCTGGTCGGTTTCTTCTGTATAGGGAGAAGTCGTGCTTTAGAGAAAGGCGTCGATCTCACTAGGATGACTAGACAGTCTCACGGGAACCATGAGCGAAACAATGGAGTCTTTCTATTGGGGAAAACCGCAACCAGGCAATGCGTGCGATGCATAGCCGGACATGGTTGACCGCGGTTGGGGATTCGTGTTGTTTATTCTTGCTTTGTGACGGTGAGATAGTGGATACTTGGAATACTCATTATGGACAGTGCTATCCCAGATCAGCTCCATTCTTTTAATCCT